AAAACCAAACCCATTGCGCAGACTCAGCAGGTAAATTTCTAAACCAATATCATTAGTACGAATATGCACACTTGTATGAATATATGTACATAATTAATTATAAAAAATCTTCCAAAGGTTTTAAAATGGCGCTATTATATAAACTGGTGTTTGTATATATGACCCAAGCCCTAGGGTTGTATTTGTAAACAAGCTTTTATATATGGCCATATAACCTGTCAGGAATCTTTATAACAGATTTATAACAGCAACCTTCTTTTTTAATGAGACAAAAGAAATGTTTTTTTTTCTTAAAATGTCAGCAGCCATGTATATAAAGCTATCCATGCTGGTTGCAAACCACTATGTTGGTATTGTTCATAACGCGGCTCACTTGTACTTGAAAAGTATAGAAATAAGAAATGGTTCATAACTTAAGTTGAAAAGTTAGAGCTTAGAATGATATAAATAATAAAAAGATACTATCTTACCCCAGTAAGTTGCATCACACTGGCATGTATCTTCAAAACAGCTGCCATGACCGTTGCAGGTTTTCCTTACATGCACCACCTGTATAGCAAGGGAAACAATCACAAGTGAAGTCTGCTGTAACATTTCCATACAAACATTCAAACTCGCACTGTATGCCCATATAACCCTCGTGACATTCGCAAGATGTAACACCCCCGTTGTTATGCAATTTCCACGACCATTACAATCTGGGGTTCCCGGGCAATCAGGTATATGGCACGATGTTTTGTTTTCTCTCCAGCCCTCGTCACAGCTACAGTCACCTTGAATACACTGACCATGTCCACTACAGGATTCTAACATTCCGGGACATTTCTGTATCTCACAATGATCGCCCCAGAAGCCGTCAGCATTGTATCCAGTGTCCTCATCATAGCAAACGCATGTTTCGGATTCACTACAGGTACCATGTCCACTACATGTTAATAAACAATTGTCAGTCTCCATTTGGCAGGCGTTGTCACAAACGCAAATACCTGCAATAAAAGTTAATACATTTTCAAGTTGTATATTAAATTTTATGCAAAATAATGTATCATTATTTTTCTCACTTTTGCAGCCTTATTTAAAGGATAGTAACCCTTTGATAAGAAATATACAAGTATGACACAATTGTGACAAGCCATAACATCTCCAAAACACATCATGCATCATGTTATACTTCTCTAACCAGAAAATAACACCCCAAAAAAATGTAAATATATCCATAGTACATGGTTGTCCATGTTCTCCACCGTTACTCAATCTACGAACGAACAACAGGGCGCAGGTGCAATTCCATATGCCCCCCCTCACCCCCTTAATAATGGGGGCATAAAAAATATTTTCTTGAAAGGTTCAATTTACCGCTATCCATAGGCGATTGTGTACCATAACATGGCTCACTACAATCAGGGCCCATCCATCCCTTCTCACAGTTTGAACAGAATGGTGTGTCTGTTGATGCGTTAAAAAATCCTCGCCCGGGAAAAATTTGCAAGGGTTTTCGGGATGAGCATTTCCCATGTCCGATGTTTTTGCAAGTCCCATTTTCCTTTTAGGGGTTTGTTTTTAAAAAAAATAATACTTGATTAACAAAATACTAGGTATAATATCATTATTATGCAAAATAGTAATATAGATTCAACACTCGTTTTTATCATCCATTCAGAATATAATATATGTATGAATTCCGTAAATTTCCAAAAAAATCAAATAAGCTATTAAGTTTTATATAACTCCATTATTTGAATGGAATAGGTCATTTGTGGTTTTTTTTTTCGATGTACACTAAATAAAGACGGCATATTCTCAAATTTTGAAACTTTACATTAAAGGGTCAAGGTCGTTTACACATGTATGTCAACTTCATTTACTCAGTTCATATAGGTTCTTGCTCTGTGAATGACAAATTGGTATGTACAAGCATTTTTCTTAATTGAGTTCATGATGATGATAAAGGCTCACTGAAACAACTATAACAAATCTCATTATTTGAAACATAAAAAAAGAAAGAAAAGCCAAAACAATCTATAACTAAATATAGAGCCATTTAAATTGTTGGAATTTACCGATATCTGTATTTGATGCAGTCACACATGATCCATGTCCAGAGCAGTCAAGTCCATTTGCTCCAGGACAACCAGCCTTTTCACAGTTATCGCCCTTCCAACCATCTGACCCACAATCACATGCGTCTCCTGCACAGGTGCCTCGACCATTGCATTCTATGTCACAATTAAAACCTGAGAAGCATTTGTTACAGCTGCAATATTCGATCTCCTTCTCTTCAACAACTATAACTGTTACGTTACCATTGTCACAATAACTTCCACAATCACTACCAAAGTATTTTGGGCTACATTCACAGACAGGAGTATCCAACGGTAAACATGTACCAGACCCACTACAATCATTTTCACATTTAGCTATGTGGCATCCAATACCAGTCCAACCTGGGTTGCAGCTACATTTTCCAGTTCCAGCGTTACAACTTCCATGTCCTGAACATGATGTTACATTTCCTGGGCACTCCTCATTCTCACAAAATTCTCCTCGGAACCCGTCAAATCCACAATCACATGTGCCTGAAATAAAGAGTCATACATGTTATCATAAGTTCAGAAAATCTTCACATAAAGATTGCCCAAAAATTGTTTAAGGTTATGAGACTTTCACTGGATAGAATGTTAAGCATACAGTCGACTCTCGTTATCTCGAAGTCATCGGGATCGTACAAAAAGTATCGAGATAACGAAATGTCGAGATAAACATACTAAGGATTGTATAAGGTAGAGACTGGTTTTTACAAAAGACATGTGCCTACTTATGTCAAATGAACTATGCTATCCCCATGTCTTGTTTTCATAGGCCTAATCAATATTTAACAAAGTAACATTAGCGGATGTTTACCAGCGGAAAAACGGGTGTCTGTGATAAAAACACATAGTGAGGTTTACTCGGTAATACACCAATATAGTGAAAACATTGTTTCAGGGTTATCCTTCCTGGTTATTTATCTGATCTTTCTCGAGATTGTTCGACCACTGATTGATTTGGTGGTGATGTTGTGAAACAATATTGCAACGATAGCCTTTCTATACTTTCACTTTTTCATTTGCATTTAAAGTCATAATGAGTTGATACAGTTTTCGAATATTTATAAAGAACTTAAAATTCACTCATTTTGGACACAAGTCAATCAACACGCTAAATAGATTAACTTTTATAAAAACAGCATAAATTGTTACAAACATAATCATCATTATGACACGCGCTATTGAGCAATTATCGTCTAGTTTGTATTTTTCACACGTCTGAAGGGAACAAAAACTATTAGTCAAGATAAACAAAGGATAATAGTGTGAAAATAACTGTTGGGGCTGAAATTTTACATAGAGACACTGAAAATATCGAAATAAAAATATCAAGATAAACAAATATTTTCAATATAGATAAAGAAGGAATTAAATCTGGACTTTCAAAATTTTATTGAGATAACGAAATATCGAGAAAAGCGATGTCAAGATAACGATAGTTGACTGTATGTACATATATGTGTAAAAAATTAAAAACAAAGCAAAAATTTAAATTAAAAAAAACATGAATCTGTCTACCAAATGCATAAACTGTTGCTCCAGTTTATGAATATGCTTGTTAACAAGGTTTTATATGGAGCCATAGATTATGTATATTGTTGATTATTCTAAAATCAGACAAGTGCTATAAAGAAAATTAGGAGGATTTTCCTAGAAGTCAAGTCAAGTGATTTTCCAGCTTTACTAGTGAAATAGGACCACAGGTGCACCTTGCACAAACAGGCTTTATTTGTGTAGAATCACTGATGATTTGTAAGCTAGCTAAATACCTTCCTAACATGAAAGATTTCCAAAGTTCATGGCAGGACTTAAAAAAGAGTGATAAGGAGCAAATGGTTTGAATTCAACGACCTTTACCATTCAGCCACTGATGCCATTCAACTCAAAGTCAACAGCAATGAAGGACAAGTAATAAGGGAAATTTGTGGTAATATCAATTGGTTTACTTGATATTTAAAGATACACATAATTTTAATGAAATATTTATTGAAGAAAAAATTGCATAGGAATAATAATAATAATAATAACCTTCAGATGTACAGGTTCCTTCATTGTTACATTGAAGATCGCACTCCTCACCATTGTAGCAAGGCAAACAGTTACACATGAAAGTTTCTGGATCTTCCACCCCATGTACACACCTGTCAAAAATATTGATAAAATAGTATGGTTAAAATAGTATGGTTGAAGACCACTTGCAAAACAGTCCCTGAAAACCAATCCCTTTAAATCCATACACCTCATAATCTCAGGCTTCATTTTAACCAGGCACCTTTCCAAACTGGACAACCATTCCTTAAAATCTGTCCACTCCTATAAACCAGACCCCCTGTCATATGTACAACACTATAAATCAGACTTCCTTTATTCTGGACAACTCTTCAAATTAGACCCTGTATTTTTGACAACCTTTCAAAAAGGGTCCACTTTTGATTTGGATACTTTATGAGTTAAGATTTTGCATGTTACAGAAACTTACACATTAATCTTATCATATTCATTAATCTACATGCACTGCCATTCTCCTTCAAGTTAAACACACTTTTACCAACCCACACCGATAATCTGAACAATCGTCTGGCCCGAGTCTTTGTTTAAACTAGACAGACTTTTATGCAGAACGTGTGATCCTGCCTATCTCAGTCTGCAACGGTGGCATGAGTAAAATCAGTTGTCGTCAATAGACTAAGTGTAAAATGCCAGTAGCAATAAGGTTTTAATCTTAGCTTATGATAGAGAACCAGTCAAGCCTGCGTGTATGTTTTGACCTTATACAATAACTATGCTGTTGTACTAAGACTTCTGCATGTTGATATTTAAAATCTATTAAGATTAATAGTGGATGTTTTTAACTTAATGCATGGCAGGGTGATTTTAACATAACAAATTTCAAATTTTGTGAAGTACAAACTTAGGTTAACCCTAAACTTGCCGGAATGATGTGTGATTTCCTTTTGCCATATGTGTATTATGAGAGCCTAAGGTAAACCTGAACGTTTTGTTCACGTGACCAGACTGACTTACTTTCAATAATAATAACGACAACTCTATACTTAAAATCTGAAAATGAACAGTTAAAAAATGGAATCTGTACAAGTTCATTTACAAAATTCTAGGGTTATGGGTCAATAAATAGAATAAATGTAACCTGTATTGGCACTGATCTCCAATATATGGAGGATCACAATCATAGCATCTTGGTTTAAGGTCACCTTCTCTTTTTTCACAAGTTGCGTTTACACCACTGCAGTCACAGTCGGGAATATGACAGGCATTCCCTTTATAACCTTGCTCGCATGTACACTTTCCATTAGCCTCATTACACGAGCCAAACTCGATGCCCATGCAGTTTTCTGGCCATCCAGGGCACCCATCTAACTGGCACTGATCACCTGATTAATGAAAAAGTATTCTAATGTTCTTAATATATACAATACAATACAATACAGTTTATTTTCTTTAAACATTATAACAACATTTCTAGCATAATAATAGACAGGTAACATAGTTATTAGCAACAATATGCAAAACAAAATGTTATGAAATCTGTGTTAGCGGAGGGATATTTGTTAAGTGACAAAAATATAAATCTTGATTTGATTTTTTTTTGTGATGAAAAACATAAAGATTACTACATAAATATATAATATTAACATATGGGAGAAAACACTAAGGAAGGAAGGAAGGAGAAAACAAGGAAGGAAGGAGGGAAGGAGAAAACACTAAGGAAGGATTTGTTTGTTTGTTTGTTTCATTTTACGCCTTTTTCAACAGTATTTCAGTCATATAGGCGGGTAGTTTCCTAACCATCGTTCCTGGAAAGTTACACCAGTACTAGACTACCTTCCTCAGCGCTAAACTACCAAAGCATCTCCCGGGGATCGAACCCACGCCAGAGAGGTAACTGGATTAGAAGTCATCGACTCTAACCCCTCGACCACGGAGGCGGTCACTAAAGAAGGAAGGAAGGAAGGAAGGAAGGAAGGAAGGAAGGGAGGAAGGAAGGAAGGAAGGAAGGAAGGAAGGAAGGAAGGAAGGAAGGAAGGAAGGAAGGAAGGAAGAGATATTAATAAATGAGATAGATCAGTTAAAAGATATAAAAAATGTAAAAAAAACAACAGAAAAACATAATTATAGCAAGTCTTGAAGTTCAGACATAGTCCTGAAATTTTTGAAACCATGCATGTAATTTCTTACCTTTGAATCCAAGATCAAAATCACATGTACACTCCCCATTCTCTTCGCACACCCCACGTCCATTACAAATTGAATGACAAGAAATTCCTACAGAATATAAAGTTTATTTATGATGAAAAATAAGAATTTATTTTATTTTTTTAGTTTACAGGTCATGGTAAACTGTTCACCTTAAGAAAGGGCACCTGTCATGGACATTTTATCATTATCTGTATAGTACCAAAGTCTTTTATTCAAATTTTAAGTCCATATGACAAAAAAAATCATGATACTTTTAACCCTTCAACAATTTTTACCCATTTTCTTAACTCTCTGTAGTAAATAAAATGTTCATTTATATTTTTTTTAAATAAATCCAAAGTAGATTTATGAATTCACATTGTAAACTATGAACACTCCCCATCAGGAACAATTATTTTGCTAATTATATGAATTATTTAGGACCGTCAATAATTTTGTTTATTTTTTTAGAAATACTGTTATCTCGCATAAAAGCTCTAAAATTAATCAATACACATTGTATGTAATAGCATTTAGAGTATTTTGGTAATTTACCCTTTGTCACATAGTTTCTAAGAAAATTGACCTTAAAATATTACCTGCTAAAGGTCACAGTGACCTTGACCTTTGACCTCAAACTTAACTCATCAGGGTCAACATATGAAGTTTCAATGTTATAGCTAAATTAGTACTAATGTTATTGACCACAATTGAAAACTAAACTTAAAAGGTTAACCAATGCCTTTGCCAATGAGTGGGTCATGCAAAAATTGCACAATATGCCTATTTCTTAAAAAAGTGCAGCCAAAAGTAGGGCTAATAGGAAAAATTCAATACTTTACCTGTATCACAAGTTCTGTTACAAGTGCATATGCCGTCTCCAAGATTTGTTCCATTTATACATGGCATACGGCAATCTTTACCTATCCATTGTTCCGAACACCGACAGACAGCTGACTCTATAACTTCATCATATTCACAAATACCATTTCCTATGACAATGGTGAAAATCAGGTAAAGTGAATTATCATAGAAAAATATTATGTGTTAAATCATAGTGGGCAAGTGGTTGACACATTGGACTAATAATCTATAAGGATTGCTGACCATGTGTCAGTGGCAAGCTGTTGTTTCCTTGAGCTAGATTAAACATTACACTCAGCAATAAGTACTGACACTGGTTAGATCTTTAAGGAATGGATTTGAGAGTGTTTTAGTAAGACCCTCATGTGACCATTCAGTAGTTTATGTCATACTAAAACAAATACAAATTTGTAGAAACTCCCGCCTTTCATGACCTTTATTGATATATTCTCAAAAAGAATAATAAAGGACTCCTGACACTAGGCCATTGACATTTGATTCAAATTTGAGCCATGTCATGACAAAACCAACATAATGGGTTTGCGACCAGCATGGATCTAAACCAGCCTGAACATCCGCGCAGTCTGATCAGGATCCATGCTGTTTGCTTACACACCCTATTACATTTGTAGAGAAACTGATAGCGAACAGCATGGATCCTTGATCAGACTGTGTGGATGCCCAGGCTGGCCTGGATCCATGCTGGCCGCAAACCCATTATGTTGGTTTTGTCATGACGCATCTCATTTCATATTCCTAACAACATATCATTTGTTACAGATGTCCCACTTTAGCTTGCAATGTGAATAATTACAATTCTATACAATGAAATAATTAACCAAGACTTGAAATATTACTACCTGAACAATTGTTAGGACAAAGTGGCGTGCCGCAATCATCCCCTTGCCATCCTACGTTACATAAACACACCATATTCACACATGATCCATGTCCGTTACAATTCTTGTCTTCTCCAGGACATGCTTCGTCTTCACATAGGGTGTTTGCCCATGCATTTTCTGAAAATATAGTACATCAGGGGTGCGTTTCACTAATGTACTTACGTTATCATAACTCGAGTTCAAACATAACTTTTTCGCGAAATTAGAACTTACATATTTATTTATGTTTCACTAAACTTTCTTAGCTACGCATTTGCGTAAGGTTTGAGTGCTAAGTTACCTCACTTATTGCTGACGTAAATTGCAGGTTCTGTTTAGTGAAACGCAACTAACGAATTGAAGCAGAACTTCATGCATTTTCACAAATTTAAACTACTAATAAATCAGTAATAATCAATCTTTTTACCAATATTAATTATTGTACTCCTGTATTTTAACTAATTTTGCCACTGCACTGAATAAGTACTTCATGTATTTTTACCAATTTTTAAGCATGGAATTGGCATTTTTTAATCAACAAGAACTTTATTAGGCAATTTTACCAATGTGACAGCACTGAATCAGTACTTTATGATTTTTTACCAATCTTTATCAGCTTTAAATAAGTACTCATCCATTTTTATAAATCTGTATCAGCACTTAAAGCAGTACTTCATGTATTTTTTACCAATCTTGCAGCATTTAATCAGCATTTTATTTTGAGATATAATCTTTAAATTTGATGCATGTTTTCATGTACAATACATTTTTTTTCATGCATGCATATATATTGTTTTCTTCTGTTTGTCTTTTTTAATACAAAACTAAAACTTACTTGGTTCATTGAAACAAATGCATTCATTCCTGTAGGTGTTATTGCAGAATCCATTATTAGAGCATTCAATCTGGCATCTGTCACCATTGTAACAGTTAAAACATTCGCATTCACCTCCATGCGTATTGTTCATATTCACCACTGTACCATTCATACATTGCTTGTCACAATCCAGGCCAAACCATCCCTGACATTAAGGAACAAAATAAAATTCATTCATCCAAAGGGGAGGGAGGTGTACTGATTTAAGTACTTTTCAAAATCCATATTTTTTTTTTTTTAAGATATAGTTTTTTTTTATTTTTTTATTGGGAAAAAAACCAGGGTTGCCCAACAAATTGGACCAAGGGTCAAGGGGGATATTTTGATATACAGGCTGAAATTACTAATGATTTTAGTGGTATTTCAAATGATGATATCAATCATCAATCTGTTAATTGTGAAAACCCTGGTGAAGACTTTTCGGTTCCCTATTTAATAAGATTAACATGTATTTATTTTCTTGATATTTTCCCTAAAATAATGGTTGTGTCCAGATTGAAAAACAGACAAAATCTTTTCTATATATTAAGCATGGTAAGGGTAAAAGACTGAGCAATTTAGAGCATGATTTCGCAATAATGCACACAATAAGAAAATATTGGTCCTTACATCATATGGCATAAGATTTGAGACATCAAGAAGCCAAATGATAAATGTCATAAAGATTCCCTCTCTGTTCTATGTAGGTTTATTTTAAAGGTACTCCTTTAATATGATTGTAACACAATATAACCATGCATTGACACTATGATTGTATATAATGCAAATGATGTCTCGTCAAAGTGTTATTACACTAACTGTGTTATCAGTTCTTATTAAAAGATTTCATTACACTCCCGCGCATTGGTATGTAATAATCTTGCATGTTTTTACATTTTAAGTGCCTCACTTGTAGGATTGTAAAATTTTATGTTTCTAAGTTTTAGATCTCTGCGGAGTTCTTTTATAATGTATTTTCCGTGAAATGATTTCACATTTTATGTGTCATACATTACATAAGGTCACTTACATCTTCTGTATTGCACACACATTTAGGTTCTCCCGTTGACCCATCACAATAACCCCGACCTTCTTCTACATAACATGCCCCATATCCACAGTCTGGTATACTGCAGTCCTCACCAGTCCAACCTTTTACATACAACAAAATGATTGCTTATCATACATAAAAACATAACATTCTAACAATCTGTAAATAAGCTATGGATAAATTTAAACCTACTTACAAAAGGTTTACTTATATCTAAGGTTTTAATAATGAATTTAGAAATGACAACTAGGCTTAAATGGTTATACAATAATGACATAACTAGGAAGTGGCTTACTAGGCACTGGTTAACTAGGCACTGGTTAGACACTAGTGACAGTGGCTGAATAGCACTGGTTATACACTTAAGTGACAGAACTAGATTTGGTTATGCAATAATGACAGAACTTAATAAGGCACTGATTATACAATAACGACAGTGGCAGCAACTAGGCACTGGTTAACTAGACACTGGTTAACTAGGCACTGGTTATACACTTGTGACAGAACAAAGCATTGGTTTGGCAATAATGACAATCACATTTGAAACTATCTTGCCAACAAATCCTATGATTAAAATATATATAAAAGATATATATTACTATGTAAACAAAGGGGCAATAACTGCAATAAGAAAATGTAACAATAATATAAGTAGCTTACCTCCCTTACATGCCTCTTATTATCTAAAAAGACCCCCCCCCCCCTCTTTGATGTTTCATGTTATTTAAAATAGACATCTAAATAATGGTCTTGAAAATGAAACATTGAAGAATTGATCATTTTTCTGTTACTTCAAAATCTAATCAATAAGTACCACTAACTATATTCTTTGTTTAATCAAGGGCCATAACTGCACAAAAAAACTAATAATCTGAACAGAACAACATGAAAATTTTTTGACTTAGTTTTTGATATCTTGAAACACAAAAGTTGTAAAGTTAAGGTAAACAGGCCAATGAGTGATATTTTTGAGTGTTTTTTATGCCAATTTCAAGACAATTTTGGTCATATCTAATAATGGTCAGTTCAACTAATAACCTTAACTGAGTAACTAAATCAGTATTAACCTATTTGTCAGTAAATAACTTACAATTATACAATACTAAGCCTGGACTATTTCCTAACCCTGGATTGACAATGCAAGCAGCAACCCCTGGGCTGAGCAGGTAGACTTGTCGAAAAATAGGAAAGGGTCCAAATGGTAAGATATTAAAAAAGTTCTTGAAAAGTGATTTGCTTGTTTGTTTTTTCTATTTTTAGCCAAATTTAACACAAGTTTTTGGTCATATCTCCGTAGTCACTCAAATTAATCAACTTTCCTAGAAAATAGCACTTTTTCTGCAAGTGGCAGACTACTAACCCCATATTATCACCTTAGTGCAGCAACAGAATAAGTCCTTCTAAATCTAATAGGAGTAAATCAATTATTGCACTTGGGTGACAATATGATTTCTTAATCAGTGGTGAGAGTGATTTGACCTTTCGATGTCTGAGATCAACTGTTGCTGAGAAATAACACCTTGCAAAAGGATTAAACCAGAAATCCCTGGATTACTAAACTGAAGCTCTCACTAACAAGCATACATGGCATAGCAGGAAAACAATCGTAAAATTTTATATCCAAAGCAAATTTTGAAAAAAAAAAGTTTTAATAGGAATATTTGGAAGCAGCATATCAAGCATATATTATACTTATGTATTGTGTTTACCTGTAAGGCATGTGCATTCATGTGTAGCTGTGTTGCATGCTCCATGATCTGAGCAGTCAGTGTTGTTTCCAGGGCAACCGGGATCTTCACATTTTGAGCCTCTCCATCCAACTGTACAGTTGCATTTACCATCAATGCATGGTCCATGGTCACTGCATTCAACATTGCATCCTTTCCCAGTATAGCAACTGTCACACTCACAGAACCCGCTGTTCATTGGGCTCTGTTTACCATGAGAAGCATCGCAAACATGTTCACATGATTCTCCCATCCAGCCTGCCATACAGTTCTTACATTTGGGGACAGTAAGTGTGGAATCACACTCGCCCACATCACTACAATCAGGCTGACCTGGGCAGTCGGGAACATCGCAAGCATTTGTCAACAGATCAAGGTAACCGTTTCCATCCTTCTCACCTGTCCATCCAGGGTAGCAAGAACATACATGCTCTTCTTTGTTGCATTCCCCATGGCCACTGCAATCTGTAGTCTCTCCAGGGCAGCCTGGTATATCACAGTATTTACCACGCCAACCTATGTCACATTGACATTTATCTTCAACTATAATGCCATTGAAAGAACACTCTATGTTACAATTTATACCAACCCAACCTGGATGGCACTGGCAGTTCTGGCTGCCTACTGGATTCATTTGCCCGTTTACACAAGGTTCACTGCAGTCATCTCCAAACCAACCATCGTCACAACTGTACAAGAAAATCAAACCATTTATAATATTCTTAATTATTCAAACAGTCTTTAGATTAATATAATATACAAAACAAGACCTATCATTGGAAACAAAAAATTACATCAATGTATTTCAATATAACATTTCAAGTCATGATTTCATGCTGTTATTATACTTTCTACATACGGACCAGCAGTCGTCTCAAGACAAAGAGTAGATTAACCATTATTGAAATCCTCACGTAAGATACTACATTTGTACATATTTTTTATAAAATTCAAGTAGAAGGAAGACATTATACCATTCTATGAATATAATCAATTGAAAAACGAGGTTAATAACAATGAATTTACATTTTTAAATATAGGACTTATTGACGTATGGATCCTACTTACCGACAAATTGGAGGATCGAGTGTATCATCACAAGTACCATTGTTATTACAGTCTGGATCGCCCGGACAGTCCGCCTCCTCACAACCAAGACCTTGCCAACCTCTATTACATGTGCATGTAGCCGATGCACTGGCACATCCACCTGAAGTTTGTATAGTAATATTTATATAAAAACTTTATTCTTTATTGGCCGGGGAAACTAACTTTGACCATTTATATAAGCACAGTGTGTCAGTACTCAAAATGGCCATCGATGGGTTTTCTGTCAGTTTGCAATCTTTTAGGCATGTTACAAAACATAAGTCAAGCAGCATTTGGTTGAGAGGCTTTTGGTTGGCTGACTTCCCTTATGAATCAACGAATATCCAATCAATGAATATCCAATCAATGAATATGCAATAAATGATTATCCAATCAATGAATAGCAACAAATTTTAGGGCAATACTTTAGTAATCCTGAAGCCACTCTCGCTTTCTTTCAACTGTTTTCAATTATGTAACATTTTAAATAATCACATGTAAGGGTGTTTTCCAATGTGATATTATTAATTTAGAGAATAACAATAATGGCTGGTTGCATGCATGGTCATCAAGAAAGGTAATTCTTAAACTTTTATAGACTAAGCCAACATTGCATTTTGATTTCATCATCATAGTACAAAAAGTGGGCAGCCAAAAATACTGGTAACAAATGTTCAACTTTTTATACTTACACACTTTGGTAGTTCATGCAACCTAGTCATATTTTTAGAACATAAAATAATCTTGTGAAATATGAAAGTGTTAACCATTTCAGTTGTTAACATTATTACCCTTCAAAATATACAGGATATGACATACAACCTTTATGAGTGACCTTGACAAATTTTGTACTACATTTGTGTATATTTATTAAGAACAATACATTGTGTAGTTAATAATTATTTTATCAACTACATTATTTTAGTTTGTAATTAAATCAGCATGCCTCCAAAAGACTTGGTCAATTTTTTCAATGATTAAATTATGAAAACATAAATAATTTAAGTCTATGATTTTTTACAATTCATTAATTGTGATACTTTACAGATTTTTTTTTTCAAAATGTAACTGTATTTCTATATTTCGCACCATAATTTCTTTAGTGTATTAAACGAACAGAGGGCTATTGATAACCTTGACAGGCTAAAGGTTATGTCACGTATACGTACCTCTTCCGCTACAGTCTTTATTGAAAAGGCCCGGACATCCTGGAATTTCACAGACTCGTCCTTTCCAGCCAAGTTCATATGTGCAAACACAGAAACCAGTCACATCACTTATTTCTCCATGTTCCGAACACTCAGAGTTGCAACCGACACCTGTCCAGCCTTCGACACAAGAGCAGTTACCACTGTTCATTGGCTCCTGAATGCCGTGCAAGCAAGGGTCGTTACAAGCTGGACCCATCCAATTCTCGTGGCAATTCACGCACAAAGGTGGATTTGTGGATTCATCACACTGTCCTCGACCAAAGCAATCGATCGGATCACCAGGACAATCTGGTTCATGACAAGCAACACCTATCCAACCAGCAAAACAATCACATTTGTGTTTCTCAGCGTCACAGTTACCACGGCTACTGCATTGCACATCTGTATCTGGGTTCCGAGGGCATCCTTAAGCACAGATAAATGATCAATTATTACATCATATTTTAAATAAAATACATAAAGCAAAATAAGATAAAACATCAATCATTCTCATGTTTTCTTTTTCAGGAATGCTGAAAAAAAAACTTTTTTGATACTGGAGCTGAACAATTAAACATTCTCCACAATCTAAAAAGACTTTACCTTATACATCACTTGTTTACTTCACTTAAACGGATAATTCAACCATCAAATATACATAAAATATTTCTACTCAATATAAATGGCCAAATTCACTTCCAACCTACTTTTGTCAAAGGACTGAAATATCTTTACAAGAGCGATCAGTGATAACATGTGCGCCTTATTATAAAATGTCTGCCAATTAGGCAGCGGTATTAAGTAGTGATTGAACAGTTTGTTGATAATGTAAATTGACTGTTTGGACATTTGAATGCTTTCTGTAAAATAGAGAAATTTAGAATAATCCAAACATAATTTACAGGCCAAAACACCTTTTCTTATTCAGCCAAAAAAACATTTGACCTACAAACCCGTTAAACATAAAATACATTTGTATGTGCAGATACTTAAGCTAACCATCTATCCTGTATTTTTTTTGTTTAATATACAGCCATTGGTCCCTTATTCTATTTTTCTGTTTGAATTTAGATGGCTCCACGATCCCTCTTTGGTACAGCGGACGGACAAACAAAACAGAAGTGATCCTAGTATAATGTCTCTGCTATTCTGTAACAGGAAACACAAGAATCTGAAACTACCTAAACTTGTGTATTAAATGTCTGCCTACACCTACCTGGAATTTGACAGTAAGTACCACTCCATCCGGATAAAGGATCGCAAAAGCAATCTCCCGTACCGTCCTCATGACATTTGCCGTTTCCAGAACATTCAATATCACATCCGATGCCATGATGACAGGTTTCAGTACAATTACATACAGTCTCGTCTTCGTTCGGTGTACCGTACAAACAAACTGTGCCACAATCTGCTCCCATCCACCCATCATCACAGTTTGTACATTTAGGAGGATCAAACTGGGTGTTACAGATCCCTTGTCCGAGACAATTTGGTTCTCCGGGACAGTCAAGCTCACCACAGTCATCGCCTGTAAAAGGAACCAAAAAATAAATAAATATGACATACTTTTTGCCTTTATGATTACGTTATATCACTCATGAATCTCTGAACTGTCAATTGTTACTTTTATACAAATATTGGTAATATGTAGCTTCATAATTAAATATTTTGAATAGAAACAAGAGGGCCATGATGGCCCTGAGGTCGCTCACCTGTATATAGGGCCCCCCCACCCCCTAGCCAATTTTTACCCAAGGGCTTTTATTTGTTTATTTGAACAGACTTGGTAGACACCCATAAGAAGATGTTTCATGCTAAACATCTAAGTTCTAGCTCATTGGCTTTTTTAAAAGAAGATTTTTAAAGTTTTTACTATACACATATAGTTAAAAACAATGACACCCCTGGGGCAGGGCCAGTTTTGACTCCCGGGCGTTTATTTTAACAAACTTTGTAGATATTTACTTAAAGATGTTTCATGCTTCATATCTAAACTCTAGCTATTTGGGTTTTTCCAAAGAAGATTTTTAACTTTTTGCTATACATATATAAGGAAAATCAATGACCCCCCCCCCCGGGCGGGGCCAGTTTTGACCCCAGGGCTTTTATTTGAACATACTTGGTAGACACCCATTAGAACATGTTTCATGCTAAATATCTAAGCTCTAGCTCTTTGAGTTCTTTAAAAGAAGATTTTTAAGTTTTTACTATATGCATATAGGGAAAATCAATGACCCCCTGGGGTGGGGCCAATTTTGACCCCAGGGCTTTTATTTGAAAAAACTTGGTAGACATTCACTAGAAGATGTTTCATGTTTAATATCTTAGCTCTAGCTTTTTGGCTTCTTTAAAAGAAGATTTTTAAATTTTTACTATATGCATATAGTGAAAATCAATGACCCCCTGGGGCAGGGCCAATTTTGACCCCAGGGCTTTTATTTGAACAAACTTGGTAGACATTCACTAGAAGATGTTTCATGCCAAATATCTAAGCTCTAGCTCTTACGGTTCTTTAAAAGAAGATTTTTTAAGTTTTTACTATATGCATATAGGGAAAATCAATGACCCCCTGGGGCTGGGCCAATTTTGACCCCAGGGCTTTTATTTGAACAAACTTGGTAGACACCCATTAGAACATGTTTCATGCTAAATATCTTAGCTCTAGCTCTTTGGGTTGTTTAAAAGAAGACCCCCCCGGGCGGGGCCAATTTTGACCCCAGGGCTTTTATTTGAACAAACTTGGTAGACACTCACTAGAAGATGTTTCATGCCAAATATCTAAGCTCTAGCTCTTATGGTTTTTTAAAAGAAGATATTTAAAGTTTTTTCTTTTGGTTGCCATGGCAACCAGAGTTCTGCATGGAATTAAATTCTTTGAACAATTTTTAAAGGTGACCACCAAAGGAACATTCCTGTGAAGTTTGGATGAAATTGGCTCAGTGGTTTATGAGGAGATGTCATTTAAAGCAAAAGTTTACGGACGGACGGACGACGAACGGACGGACGGACGACGAACGGAGGGACGGACGCCGGACGAAAAGCGATCACAAAAGCTCACCATGTCACTTTGTGACAGGTGAGCTAAAAACAACTGTATCATATAGTTCTATGAAATAGTTCAATTAAAGCAAAAATTTCACATTTTGTGATTATGTATATACATAACAAAATTTTATTTTATGCCAGAGAAACAAAAGATATAAGTAGCAACCAAATCATATGTTGGTATTCATGTTCCTTCAAATCAATTTAAAACATGAACTTCTCTAATGCAATCCATTCATTATACTATCAGCAGATATATTATTTATATTTTATATGAAAATCAATTATTTGAAGGAAATAATTGAAAATATACGTATCAAACACACATAACTGAATACATCAATTAAAATATGTTTACCTAGCCAGCCAATGTCACAGAAGCATGTGCTTGTCCCTGAATTACAGATTCCATGTCCATTACAATCAAGATCAGGTCCTGGGCAGCCTTTTAGAGTACATTTATCTCCACCCCAGTTTGCATCACATGCACATGTGTTTGAATCACAAGAGCCATGTCCGTTGCACTCAGATGTGCAATGGGCACCTAAATGGCAATCGTCACACACACACTGGTCTGCAACACAAGTACCGGCACCACCACATTCAATGGAGCAGTCTGGCCCAGAGAAGCAAGGATCGCATACGCAAAGTCCGCAGGTAGAACATTCACCATTTCCATTACAATCAATGTCTCTATGGCACTCATTTTCACAATGTGTTCCAACGATACCACTTGTACACTCACATTGCCCCTGGCTATTGCACTCGCCATTGCCTCTACATGTAATTTCATTATCACAGACAAATTGGCAGTCATATCCAACATGACCATCATTACAGTCACATAGCAGTGTTGATGCATTCCAAGCACCATATCCACTACACAAGTCACCATGAGTACTGTAAATTGTACCGCTATTACCATTTCTGTATGAGCCTGAACCTCCGGCAACTGTTCTATGCTGCCGTAACACTTTGCTAGACACATCTTTACCCCAAGTTCGTATTTTTCCACCACCTCCACCACCACCTCTATGACTGGTGTAGTGACTACATGTATCTGAGCCACCAACAGCTCCATCTGCATTAATGTGACCCCATCCTTCAACAACTTCCCCATCAATCCAAACAGACCCTCCAGCTCCACCACCTCCACCGCCAACTGAATCTTCTCCACTCATTGTCACAGTACCATCTATTACAGTAAAGCTATGTGCCAGTCGAACTGCCGAACCACCACGTCCTCCAATGTCGGTTTTTCCATGAGAGCAGATTCCAGCTCCACTTCCTGCCATTGATGGAAGAGCATCGTTGTCATAAGATTCTCCACCAGCACAACTTCCACATCCAGAGCAACTTCCTCCATCTCCCCCATGACCTCCACCTGATCCACATCCTGATGTACAACCGGCACCGGGTCCGGAGCTGGAACCATATCCCTCACCGATCCCGTCCAGGATTGACTGTTTCTCAATTTCAAGAACTCTGCCCATGATATTAGCTGACTTGTTGATATATCCATGTGATTGTCCCTCCATATGGAATGTATCCGTGAACATTGTAATGCTTTCTTTGACATCATACATGGTATCGTCAGCGATCGAGAAATGGCCATCACTTAATGTAGTAAAGGAAGTAAAATAGTATGCTCCAACATCACTTGCTAAGGAACAACTTGACTGTCCTGTTGAAATCAATTTTGTATGTCCTCTTGAGTACCAGTGTTCAACACCAATGATGGAACCCTCATTTGTAACATATTGTTCTGCGTAAGTTGTTGTAGGGAAAATAACGGCTCCATTGATATAGAGCGAAGATTGGACATGTGTACGCAGGTAACCGTCAGCTAGATACATTGTTATGTTCTCATTTATCTGTATCTCAGCATCGCCATCTCCTCCTACATGTTCAACAACAATGTCCTGCCAAAGCAATGATGAAATGTACATAAAATAACATAAAAAATATCAGAAGTAAAGCTACAATATTTCATTTAATTAGATATATGTTAAGTACAGAATGAAAATGTAGCAGACTTGGTTTATTTTAGTCGCTATATTAATGGAAAGCAAACTAATTAAAATTTAACATTTTAACAATGAAAATAAAATTTAAGTTATATCTGCCATTACATGTATGTTTTGATATAGTTTGATTTATATTTCATCAATTATCGAACCTTTAATATCATACAATTATGCAATATCATGAAAGATTGCCAATGGTTCTTAAGTGAAACAGTATGCCTGTCTTAAACAAGGAAAAAATTTGGTGTACCTATTCAAATGGTTTCATTAGAGAGTACTATCTATTTTTCCCTCTGGATATAAGACAATAATATTTCTAAACTTTTGAATCTATATCATTTAACCTACAAACTAACATCTGCATGAACGTATCAACATATCAAAGAACTAAACTACTTAAGAAAAACCTACCTGTGTTGGAAACACACATGCTTTTCTCATTGGATGAAAGTTGTTTACTGAATCAATGTCAATGTATACAGGGTAGCTAGCACAACTGAATGATCGATCTGCATGATCTACCCAAATATGACTGGTAACGTCCTCGCCTACAGTTGACTGCACCCACACAGTACCTGGTGATCCATGGTGTGTTGCCCCACTTCCACCTAAAGCTGACATTGTTCCGAGGAATCTCAAGTTCTCTCTAAGCATAACACATATTCTTCCACCTGATCCCCCTCCATTTCCTGATAAAATGATTTGGCAGATACAATATATATTAATGAGTCGCGTCAGGACAAAACCAACATAATGTGTTTGCGACCAGCATGGATCCAGACCAGCCTGCGCATCCGCGCAGTCTGATCAGAATCCATTCTGTTTGCTTACAAACCCTATAACAGGTAGAGAAACTGATAGCGAACAACATGGATCCTGATCAGACTGTAGGGATGCGCAGGCTGGTTTGGATCCATGCTGGTCGGAAACACATTATGTTGGTATTTTCATGGCGCAGCTCATTTGATGAAGTAAATTAATTTAACTACAATATTTGAAGCCAAAACAATATATAACATCAAATTTTTGAAGATGAAAAAATAAAAATCTCTAAATTCTGAAACAAAAACTATTGTAACCATTAATCTATGAAAAGGAAATAATATAACATCCAATCTAACAGCAACAACAACAGTATATAATATAACCACCAATCTTCTAAATACTTTCAAAATAACCTTCAAACTTTGAAGAAGAAATTATATAACCTGTAATATTCAAAATAACTCCAATATAACATCCAATCTTTGAAACAGAGATAAATTATGACCTCTTACATTTAAATGAGCAACAATATAGCCTATACACTTTGAAACAGAAACAACAAACTCTTTGAAGCAGAAATTATACAACTAAAATAATTGAAGCAGATACAAGACGTTGAAACTCCAATCTTTGAACTCTCAAATCTTTGATGCAGAAACAATATAACTTTTAACCTTGGAAGGACTTGGGATCAAAAAATCTTTTACCTTTGACTTTTTACAATGATTTATAAATTACATTTTTCTATAAATGTATTTTCAATATTTACAAAGAATAAATTGAAATATAAATATATTGATATAGTTTATATCTAAGTCATTGCCTTTCATTTAGCAAATATCATTCTTTCTCTTATAAGAACAAACAAGAGGGCCATGATGGCCCTGAGGTCGCTCACCTGTATTTTGGCCCCTGGAGCGGGGCTAGTTTAAACAAACTTGGTAGACACCCACAAAAAGATGTTTCCTGCAATCTAACATCTAGCTCACTAGAAGATGTTTCATGCTTAATATCTAAACTCTAGCTATTTGGGTTTTTTCAAAGAAGATTTTTTAAGTTTTTGCTATACACATATAAGGAAAATGGGTCAAAGACAGAAAAGGCCGGGTTGCATTTGTACACCAAATATCATGAGGCTGTGATGTTACGAAAAAAAATTTTCCATTGACCCATTAATGTCGAAAATTTAATTCTGTAGGTAAACAGGAAGTGGATTAGCTACACACCTAAAATCGAATCCCACAGTATGGGACCATGTGTCAATGCTGTATGCCAAATATCAAGAGGCTGTGATTAGTAGTTTCTGAGAAAAATGTTACGAAAATTTCCTACCATTGACCATTAATGTGAACAGGAAGTGGATGAGCTGCAGACTTGAAATCGAATCCCACAGTATGGGACCATGTGTCAATGCTGCATGCCAAATATCAAGAGGCTGTGATAAGTAGTTGCTGAGAAATCTGTTATGAAAATTTCCTACCATTGACCATTAATGTTGAAAAATCTAACTAATTTAACTAAGTGGATAAACAGGAAGTGGATGAGCGACAGACCTGAAATCCAATCCCACAGTATGGGACCATGTGTCAATGCTGTATGCCAAATATCAAGAGGCTGTGATAAGTAGTTGCTGAGAAAACTGTTACGAAAATTTCCTACCATTGACCATTAATGTCGAAAAATCTAACTAATTTAACTAAGTGGATAAACAGGAAGTGGATGAGCGACAGACCTGAAATCGAATCCCACGGTATGGGACCATGTGTTATTGCTGTATGCCAAATATCAAGAGGCTGTGATAAGTAGTAGCTGAGAAAACTGTTACGAAAATATTTTCCCCGCCCGCCCGCCGCCCGACATTCACCATACTTTAACCCGGATTTGCAGTTTTTACTATATGCATATAGGGAAAATCAATGACCCCCTGGGGCAGGGCCAATTTTGACCCCAGGGCTTTTATTTGAACAACCTTGGTAGACACTTATTAGAAGATGTTTCATGCTAAATATCTTAGCTCTAGCTCTATGGGTTCTTTAAAAGAAGATTTTTTAAGTTTTTACTATATGCATATAGGGAAAATCAATGACCCCCTGGGGCGGGGCCAATTTTGACCCCAGGGCTTTTATTTGATCAAACTTGGTAGACACTTATTAGAAGATGTTTCATGCTAAATATCTTAGCTCTAGCTCTATGGGTTCTTTAAAAGAAGATTTTTTAAGTTTTTACTATATGCATAAAGGGAAAATCAATGACCCCCGGGACGGGGCCAATTTTGACCCTAGGGCTTTTATTTGAACAAACTTTGTAGACACCCATTAGAACATGTTTCATGCTAAATATCTTAGCTATAGCTCTTTGGGTTCTTTAAAAGAAGATTTTTTAAGTTTTTACTATAATATGCATATAGGAATAATCAATGACCCCCTGGGGCGGGGCCAATTTTGACCCCAGGGCTTTTATTTGAACCAACTTGGTAGACACTTATTAGAAGATGTTTCATGCTAAATATCTTAGCTCTAGCTCTATGGGTTCTTTAAAAGAAGATTTTTTAAGTTTTTACTATATGCATATAGGGAATATCAATGACCCCCTGGGACGGGGCCAATTTTGACCCCAGGGCTTTTATTTGAACAAACTTGGTAGACACCCATTAGAACATGTTTCATGCTAAATATCTTAGCTCTAGCTCTTTGGGTTCTTTAAAAGAAGATTTTTTAAGTTTTTACTATATGCATATAGGAATAATCAATGACCCCCTGGGGCGGGGCCAATTTTGACCCCAGGGCTTTTATTTGAACAAACTTGGTAGACACTTATTAGAAGATGTTTCATGCTAAATATCTTAGCTCTAGCTCTATGGGTTCTTTAAAAGAAGATTTTTTAAGTTTTTACTATATGCATTTAGGGAAAATCAATGACCCCCTGGGGCGGGGCCAATTTTGACCCAAGGGCTTTTATTTGAACTTTGACCCAAGGGCTTTTATTTGAACAAACTTGGTAGACACTTATTAGAAGATGTTTCATGCTAGATATCTTAGCTCTAGCTCTATGGGTTCTTTAAAAGAAAATTTTTTAATTTTTTACTATATGCATATAGGGAAAATCAATGACCCCCAGGGCGGAGCCAATTTTGACCCAAGGGCTTTTATTTGAACAAACTTGGTAGACACTTACTAGATGATGTTTCATGCTAAATATCTTAGCTCTAGCTCCATGGGTTCTTTAAAAGAAGAATTTTTAAGTTTTTACTATATGTATATAGGGAAAATCAATGACCCCCTGGGGCGGGGCCAATTTTGACCCCAGGGCTTTTATTTGAACAAACTTGGTAGACACTTACTAGAAGATGTTTCATGCTAAATATCTAAGCTCCAGCTCTTTGGGTTTTATAAAAGAAGATATTTAAAGTTTTTTCTTTCGGTTGCCATGGCAACCAGAGTTCTGCATGGAATTAAACTCTTTGAACAATTTTTAAAGGTGACCACCAAAGGAACATTCCTGTGAAGTTTGGATGAAATTGGCTTAGTGGTTTATGAGGAGATGTCATTTAAAGTAAAAGCTTACGGACGGACGCCGGACGGACGCCGGACGAAAAGCGATCACAAAAGCTCACCCTGTCACTTTGTGACAGGTGAGCTAAAAAAACACAACAAAAACACCCATATATTTTTAGAAAACGACTGCAACAAACTTACCTATGTAGGTTTCATAATAATATGTTCCTCCATATGCCATTCCACCATGGCTAGTTATTGTTCCATGTCCAATAAGGGAACCTGTTGTGATCTTGCATGTACCACCACTACCACCTCCGCTCCTCACATTCCCACTTATACCAGATTCTCCATTCACAGCTATTGTACCATCAACAGTTGTTTGCTACAAGCAATAATGATCAAAATTATCTGCATGACAAACTAACACACATCTGAACCAAATGAAAAGGAATGTTAATGAAGCAAATTTCTGCCATAAACTAGAAAGAAATTTTGCAGATATGACTCCCTACCTAGGACCTATTGGGTTGAGTTCTACTGGGTATAAAACAAAATTGTTTCATATGGTACACAGTGGTTCAAAAATGCTACAAGCTTGTCTCACCATTACCCTTACATGTAATGTAATGTAAACAAGACCTGTATGACTGGACAGCTTTTGTTTAATTTTTCTCAGAGATTGACAGTAAGAAAAGCCCGGGCATGACTGTGTAAAAAATTAACAAAAGAGTTATTAGACCAGTGCTCATCAATAAAATGTAAATAATCTGGCACAATTAACATATTAGCATACAATCAAGATAAAAACCATTCTTCTTTACTGTCAGTGCACTTTATTTAAGGTTAACTCAGAAAGTTATTAAATAATGGTCTACAGTTTGAATTTTTTTTTAACTAATACCACCCTAAATGTTTTAAATTCAACTGTCCATCTTTGAATAAATAAAAACAACCCCCACTCATCATTTTAAGGAAATTTCACAATATGTACTGAATGAATAGCAAACATAAGAAACAATGATCAGACAACATGGATGTGCTGGTAGACACTGGTCTACACAGGTGTCCTAGACCGATTCAATTACTGCAAGAGTGCTTAAAGTTAACAAGCAATTATCATAGTATTGCAAGCAATTCATAAGTCCCCTACCGGTTAGAACCCCAGCAACATTCTGATGGGCCATTTGCCATTCAATTTTACCAGTGAATGAATGACATGAATGAACTTAAATCTTTTGAGTTCTAAGTTTGTCTATATCACAGTAATGTGTTAAGTTTCCATGCCTAGTAAGGAAATTATGTTTATACAACCTTGTCATATTATTACGATGTGGGATTTTAAAGTCAATCCTATAAGGAATGAAGAAGTTGGAGTGAAAATAGCAGTTTCTCAAAAAAAAATCTAAGTTCAAGGGGGACATAATTCTGGAAATAGTCTTGCTAGAGTATTTAACCTTCTCAAAAATGTTGAGTGATACTAAGAAACATATATATGAAGTTTGAAGTAGATACATTAGGAAATAAAGAAGTTATTTAAAAAAGACAACATTTTTTCCCCCTAAAAAAATCTAAGTTCAAGGGAGGTAATACTGATAATTTTTGTGCTAGAGTTATAAACCTTGTCACATATGATGCGGTTGATGACCAGAAACTTATATTTAAAGTTTGAAGTAAACACCTTAAGAAATAAAGAACATATAGTGAAAAAGCTGAAAATTTTTAATCAGAAATCTTGAAATTCAGGCTATTTGTTGCCATAGCAACCAGAATTTTTAACATAGGAAGAAAAGAAAAAGATGTGCATAATCTCCAGACTGCCATCTACCCATATTTCAAGTTTCATAAAAATATTTTCAGTACTTTTTGAGTTATCACTGGATCCAGTTTATGTGTAAAATTTGCCATATTTGAGACTATTTGTTGCCATAGCAACCAGAATTTTCAACATAGGAAGAAAAAAAAAAAGACGTGCATAATCTCCATACTGCCATCTATCTATATATCAAGTTTCATAAAAATATTTCAGTACTTTTTACGTTATCGCGGGATCCAGTTTTGTGGACGGACTGACTGACGGACTGACAGACAGACGGACAGATAGACGGATGGAGGGTAAACCTAAAGTCCCCTCCGGATAAACCGGTAGGGGACTAACAAGAGCACCGCTAGGCTGAGCATTTTATGCCCGAACGTGATTTTTACTTTGAATATTGTGGGCCAAATGGAACTTAAGTTATGCCCCGGAAACTGTGTAATAGTGACCTTGACCTTTGACCTTGTGACTTAATACTTACAGTTCCAACAATGATGTCTATGTAACTGCCTCCAGCTCCCCCATTAGAACCACCACCACCACTTCCATACTGTATATCTGAACAATCTGTGTGACCATACGCCTCACCACCTACTGCTCCATTATAGCTATTGCCACCTGAAATTTAATGTACAATATTTGTTCCATGTTACATACATCAGTGATTAAATGTTCCTTGTTTTACATATCGGTGACATGTTCAATTGTTCAATATATTAGTGAATTGTTCCATTAACTTAATACATGATTGATGGTTTCAATGATTTATACACAGTAACTATTATTCAATATATCAGAGTTTTGTTCCATGCTTCATACATCAGTGACTTGTTCAATATATCTGTATTTTGTTCCATGTTTAATATATCAGTGCTTTGATACCTGTTAAATATATCAGTGCTTAGTTACATGTTTAATATATCAGTGCTTAGTTACATGTTTAATACATTTATATCAGTGATTTATTACATGTTTAATATATCAATGCTTAGTTAAATGTTTAATATATCAGTGCTTAGTTACATTTTTAATATATCAGTGCTCAAAAATTACATGTTTAATATATCAGTGCTTAGTTACATGTTTAAAATATCAGTGATAATTATATTTTGAATATATATCAATGCTTTGTTACATGTTTAATATATCAGTGCTTAGTTACATTTTTGATATATCAGTGCTTAGTTACATGTTTAAAATATCAGTGCCTAGTTACATGTTATATATATCAGTGATTTGTTACATGTTTAAAATATCAGTGCTTTGTTACATTTTTAATATATCACTGCTTTGTTAAATGCTTACTATATCAGTGGTTAGTTACATTTTAAATTTATTAGTGCTTAGATACATTTTTTAATATATCAGTACTTAATTACATGTTTAATATATCAGTGCTTAATTACTTGTTAATATATCTGTGGTTTGTTACATTTTATTGTATCAGTGGTTTGTTACATGCTGAACATAATTATAACAGTGATTTGTTACAGTCATGTTTAAATTGTACACTCTTAATTATCCTTTTGTAATCATAATTAATACCCATTGATTCCATGGGAAAGTAAAATGATTACTGATCCTAAGTACGTAAACATATTTTGATTTCATATTAAAGAAAATTAGAAATATGCAAGGTATAGTTATATGAAAATATTGACTTTTTATATTCAAATTGCCAACCTGCTATATTAAGGAATAAAATCTAAATTTTGAAATTTGATTAATCTAATTTCCAAATAATTATATGAGCTTACTGAGAAAATCTGACTTACCAATACCGAAATGATATAAGTAAACAATTAAAATAAATGATACACAAGAACACTAACCTCTGCTAGCTAATGCCCCGCCACTTGCATCATGGGAGCTGGAAGAGCCAGCACCAGGCCCTTCCTCTAGCAGATAGCCTTGTTCTGATCCATCGACTGAACCTCCGTACTCTACATCTAGATATGCAGTTTCAATGGTTATTTGGAAAGAGTTTGCAGCAAGTAATCCACCATTTCTGACTGTGAAATGACCTGACTTGATAATTGGGTGGCTTGGATTCATATCCACTGTGAATATTCCAAGGTTGTTCACAGAAATTGTTGGAATATTAACTACACCGGTATTATGTGAACCAATTTTTCCCAGTTTAAAGCTGTCTAAAGAAACTGTGGATGCATCCTTGTCCATAACAAATTCAGCATTCCTTTCTATAAATAGCTCCTCCACACCAACCATTGCTCCTCCAAGAATAGTTTTCTCTGTTAACATGACAACTGTCGAGGGAAGAACAATTTCACCATCTGGGTCAACATGGAAGCCGCAAGGAGCATCCAAATAGGTGTGTGTTGATTCAACAAAATTTATTATCACTTGTTGCATGCTTTGAACCCTAATCATTCCTTTCTTATTGCCAGTCAACTCATGAATAATGACAGTGACTGCTTCTGCAGACTCTGGATGGTAAAAATGTACATAGCTGTTGCCCTCCACTTGTAACTCCTCAAACTCATAATAATCACTGTCTGATTCCATAACAACAGCTGGATTTGGCGTTATAAGATCACCATTTTCTACAGTTAACTTCCTATGTTCGGGTTCCACGATAGTTTTATTCAATCTTGGATTATATTTCAGCTCTCTGTATTGTGGGCCTCTTGCAGACTCGAACTTGTATATAGTTCCAGGACCACCATCACATTGTGCTACATTGTTACCACTGTAACCTCCATGAGAAAGGTACTCTCCTACAAACAAGTTCTCACTGTCTATATGTGCGGCAATTCTTCCACCACTTCCACCACAGCCAGTCCCACTCCCATCGCCACCAGAGACATCTAATACTCCACGACCTGACATGTCATAAGCCTTTATAAAAATAGAACCACCACTTCCGCCTCCTCCAATTCCAGAACTGTCAGCACCATAAGCATCAACATATCCGTCAATATGCAGAGATTTACCGATTGTAAAATTGACAAAACCACCACCAGGTCCACCGTCAGTCCCACCTCCACCACTACCAAGATGATTAGGATCAAACGCAGAACCATAAGAGGAGGTATCATCTGCTCCGCCGCCTACACCTCCGTAACTGCCACCATTGTAGCCTGTTCCTTTACCATCACCTAACTCAGCTCCATGGCCCTTACCCTCTAGACTAAATTTACTTGATGTTTCCATATCTACATCTCCAGCAACAATGAAACCATGATTCATATAGACTGTGCTTCCGTATTTCATTTCCAGAAAAGCTGCACCAATTATAAAGTCAGTTGTTATTTTCGTAAATTCTAAGATACCATCCATCTTGACATTAATTGTTGGCAATTCAAAGTTTCCGCCTTCAGTTATATCTACAAACTCACCATTTTCTATCTGAGCTGTTTGAGCAGTACTTGATACAATAAGATTACAGTTGTCTTCCACATATAAGTGATGTATACCTATAAGTAATCCATCTAAAGTAGTGTTGGTCCCCTGGAAATGACTCTCGGTTGGCATGACAAGTTTTGCTCCATAGTCTATGATATAACTAACAGGTGCTTCTGTGACATTAGTCTCGGATTCTACATACTCTACATAAACAATCTGGTGTGTTCTAAGATGGACTTGGCCAGTTCTATCTCCATAGAATTTGTGCACGATCACAGTAACAGTTGAGTCAGTTGGATGGTAAAACAAAACTCGAGCATTGCCATCAACTTGCGTCTCGTTGAATTCATACAGTGTTGTCTCTTCTTCCATTATCATTGTTGCTACAGGCGACAGAATGCCTTTGTTGTCCATGTGAATATACCTTAAATAGACATACATTTATTCATTTACCTGTTTATATTCTACTATATTTCATGTTTGCATTAGTAACATAAAAAAAGCTAAATTACACTCATTTAAGTGTGTTCCAAAATGATCATGTTGATGATGTTACGCACAGCTGAATTTATAGGATAAATTCAATAATGTATTAAACAGAGCTGTTGATAGGACAGTGTGCTAGACTATTCTTAGTGCTCAAAAGAAAAGCATAATGTAAATTTTCTAAGTTCATAAAGGGTCATAATTCTGTCATAATGCATGTTAGAGTTATGAGCCTTGGTCAGTGACATCCTCCTAAGCTCTGATATTTATGTGTAGAGTTTCTGTACTTTCACAGGTACCTACTAACATGCAAAACCTTAACCTAAGTATGCCCAACCTTAACCTAAGTGTGACACTCAACGCCTAGGTGATTACAACAGCTCCACCTATTCTTAAAAAACTTGAGCTTATGAAATTGTTTAAGTAGTATCTTGATCATTAAATTGTATTTGGCTCACATGGATGTTATTAGAGAGGATCAAGCTGGGCACTTCCATGCCTAGTGAGATCCTTTCTTAGTAAAATCCATTTGAGTCAAAGGTTCAAGATCTAGATGATCTTAAAATAGTTCTATTTGTATTACGCCTACTAATTTGGTTCAGTGCTTGAATCTGCATCAGAATACTGAAATAAACAGTTGAGCGGCCTAATGCATTCCTGCCTAAGTGATTAAGTATTTTTGTCATATCATATTTTGTCATAATATTCAGCAAATTAAAGCAGTTCTTATCAAGTATGTATAAGTAACTTTGAGCCACAGTGTATCAGTAATATGTAAGAAAACTGTTTAGTACTAATTTAATTAGTTCTTAGTTATTATTTTAGTATTACAGTTGTAGAACTTCAGTACTGATTTATTTATTATTATACAACCCATACTTGACAGGAGCTGGGACAAAAAATATCAGGGACAAGCAACTTGCACTTTCTTATTAGTCACTATGTTGGTTTCCCATTGAAATTGACTAACCGATAAGCGCAGTGTTTAAATGCTGTAATTATGGTACATGCCAGATCTTTTCCGATTGAAATTTTCGGTGATTTCGGATATTTTTTGTACCAGAAAGAAGAAACACATTTATTTTTTTCTATGACAATATTTCAGTAATGTTTGTTACCTGTGGTCAACTTCAAAATATTTTATATCAGAGTCCTTTTTGTACTTGACAATTCTGTATTCAAGAGGCCTTTTGTTGTTCTTCACAAAAGTAGTCCCGGCAGCGGCAGCATGACTATGAAAGGTACTGTTGTCCCCGCTCACACCACCTTGGTTGATGAATGTACCACCAAATGTATATCGCCACTGAAAATCAAGGTAAACATAATACGATATATATCTAATTTTATAGCAGCATCATATAAATAGTCAACAATTAAACATAAAAAATTATATCATGGTTACTTACTGTCTTATCAAAAATAATTCAAAACTTAGTTTTATTTCCCTCCATAACTTAATTCATTTCTTGTAATTTGTAATGGGCTTGCTCTATATAAAATGTTGGACAGTTCATTCATTAGTATTTAAAAAAAAAATATATAAAAGATTTCTAACTTGATCAGCAAACAGTTATAAGTCTTGTTCAACATTTCATAAATAAGCAGGTACATGTATGCCTGTCCTTACATTAGCTGCATATTTTATGATCAACACTTAGCATCATAAATGTTTTAAAAATTGTCTGCATATTAAAAATGATACAAAATAAAAATCTATGCTCAGAATGGATTATACACTGATTGCTGAACAATAATTGTAAATTGTAAGTGTTATTGAGTTTGCATCTAAAAGTCTGCAATATTTCTACAATGTACCAGTGGAAGTTTCAAAGTTGTTGTTAAATTACACATCATGTTGAAAAATTCTTAAATTTCAGAAAAATCTTAATACAACAAGTTGGTGGGATTGCCATAACAAAAGGAATATAGAATAAATATTACCTCACAATGAATAGCTGCTCTTCCGCCTGCACCCCCACCTCCGAGACCTGTACCGTTGCCACCAGCTGTATCAATGATGCCATGTCCCGTAAAATTCATTGATTCAATAAGCAAAGAGCCACCACTCCCGCCTCCAGCATTTAGTCCTTCTCCATTTGTTCCTTGTAGTGCTAGGGTACCCATAAGTTCAAAGTAATGGCTTGTGATCCAATGTAGCACACCTCCACCTTTGCCACCTGTGCCAGATCCATCCCCACCGCCACTACCAAAGTCAGATGGTGCAAAAGCACTTCCGTAGGGCAAAGGTGCCTGTGTTGGATCAGACCCACCACCATACCCACCAAAGCCTGCTCCATAACCAATGTCATATTCATCAGTAAAGCCAGCCCCAGGACCTTTTTGCGATTCATATCCGTGTCCATTTAAATGAAATATTCCCTCACTCTCAATCCATGAGTATGTGCTATTTATTCTAGCTCTGTTCATGTATAAATTACCCTGATATTTAACCTTTATTTCACTTGTCCCAATTGTTACATAGTCTTCCATGGTAATATCCAAGAAACCTGCATTACCATTTCTTTTTATATGAAGTTGGTCCCAAGAGAAACTGCCAGGCTCTGTTTCATCAAAGTAATCACCATTCAAAAGACTTGCCGTGTTACCAGTACTCATGAATTCTACCCATGCACCATCTTCAATGTAAAGATTACTTACTCCAGTCATTTTGCCAGCAAAAGTGGTGTTTGTTCCATGCAAATGTAATTCAGATGGAAATATGACCTCAGCCCCGTCATCAATGATATAACTGACAGGAGCTTCTGTTTTGTTTGAAACAGATTCAACATATTCTACCCAAATTTTCTGTTTCTCTCTGATGTGCACAGTCCCTGATTTGTCGCCAAGAAATTTATGAATAATCACTTCAATATTTTCAATATCATCAGGATGGTAGAACCAGACATAAGTAGAACGGCTTATATCCATTTCATCAAATTCATACAGAATTCTCCCAGGGTCCTGAATAACTGTCGGAGCAGGACTGTATTTAAATTCATTATTGGAGTGAATAACATGATGATCGACATCCATAAATGTTGTATTATGTACAGGATCAAACTTTTTCTCTCTATATTCAAGTTCTCTTAAATTCTCCTCAATAAACGTTGTACCAGACGCACCTGCATGTTTTCCATCTTTCAGGTTTTCACCAAAACCATCCCCACCATAGTTGTGATATTTTCCACCATACGAGTACCTTAACCTACAATTTATAGCAATTCTACCTCCAGAACCTCCATATCCATTTGCAGCAGCATCTCCACCAATAACTGCCATAATTCCATGGCCAGTAACATTTAGAGCATTCATGAGGACACTTCCACCACTCCCTCCACCTGCATTACCTTCACTGCCATCTGTTCCTGAAAGACTCAGTAAACCATTAATTTCAATAAGGTCGGCAACATTCCATTCTAAGTACCCTCCACCTGAACCTCCCACACCATTTCCATTTCCACCACCGCTACCTGGTTCGAGAGGCCAATAAATTGAGTTGTATGGTATTCCACCAAACTCCAGTGCGGGTCCTCCTCCATATCCACCGTGACCAGCTCCAACCCCTGTTATACCATCCTCTAAAGTGAATCCTGCACCAAAACCTTCTTCTGGGCCAAAACCAACACCATCCATATTCATTTCACCTTGACTTTCCAAATGTGCATAACTTGAATCTATTTGAACAAAGTTCAATCGCAGTAGTGCTAAATATTTCACATACATTTCTGAAACACTTATAACACAAAGCCCAGTTATATCTCTGAATTCAGCTATTGCCCCAGCCATTATTCTAAGAATAGAAAATGTGAAATTTCCGTACCCAGTTACCATAACATATTCTCTGTTTTCAATAAGTGCAGTTCTTCCAGTGGACATGAAAAGACTTGAGCCACCCCTAACCATCATTTCTGTTACACCTGTGACTAAACCAGCAATAACTGTTCTTGAGCCAAGTAAATTTGTTGTTGTTGGCATGAAAATCTCTGATCCATTGTCAACTCTAAAACTACAAGGAGCAACTGTCTCATTAGATTGAGATTCAACAACTTCAACATAGAGTCTTTGTCGATCTCTAACTCTAAAAACACCAGTTCTATCACCATGGAAAAGATGAATTTTTACCTCAACATCCCATTTTGTTTCATCATCAAGCTCTGTTGGATAGTCAACCCAAATGTTAGCATGGCCTTTCAATTCTGCTTCATCAAATTCATATGCTTTTTCATTTTCAAACAGAGATGTATAGAGCCAGGGTTCGTTATGATCAACATACAAATGCTTATCAATATCATGATTATTAACCTCTAGTCTCCTATGAGTAGCTGTAATTATCTCTTCACCTGTTATATCATCATATTTAACATCTGCATACTGAGGGCCTCGATCATTTTCTTGAAGGTAAACAGTTCCAGCTGCCCCAGATGGCAACAGTCCCAGTCCAAATCCTCCCATGACATGTAGATGGCCAATGTAGCGATTTGAGAAGTCAATATGAATTGCAATCCTCCCTCCAGACCCACCACCTCCATCACCACTGCCATTACCTCCATGACAATCCACCAGTCCAAATCCAGTAAAATTTGTTGTGTGTATAAAAAGACCTCCACCACTTCCACCACCACAGTTTAATCCTTGCCCTGACTGACCTTCAAGAGTCACTTCACCATCAATCCAGAGAGTTTCGCCAATATTCCATCGTAAATAACCACCACCTTTTCCGCCACAAAAAGAGCCATCATCATTTTTTCCTCCACCTCCACTACCTGGATACTCAGGTTTGTATGTAGAATCATATGGCATTCCTCCCTTTTCTGGTTCAGGAGCACCACCATGCCCTCCATGGGCTGCACCATAACCATAAAGTACATAAGTGAAACCAGCTCCATACCCGTAACCTCCTTCATAACCTTGGAAATCGATATCAAGAACAGCAAGACTTTCAACTACAGCATTACTTGAATTTATTGTTCCTGCATTCATATACATAAGTCCTTCATATTTCAAGCTCAGTTTTATCAGATTTAATGTAAGATCCGTTCCATCTTTTTCAGTGAATATAATCACTGAGCCCCTTTGTATGGTCAGATGACTAAAGTTAATGTTGCTTGGGTCAGATAGGTGGACATATTCTCCTGCTTCAATAAGAGCAGTCCGGGCAGTTGAGGTGAATAAACAAGTTGCTCCTTCAGCTATTGTAAGATTCTGTACCATTGTAAGCAATCCACTAAACTCTGACCTTGATCCATAAATAAATGTGGTTGAGGGTAGAATGACCTCTGCACCACTTTCAATTTTGAAACTGACAGGTGCTACTGTATATCCAAGAGTTGACTCAATATATTCTACATACACTTTCTGTCTGCCTTTGGCATGCATAAGACCTGTTCTGTCACCATTGAATAAATGAACAACAAGCTCTGAGTCATCACCTCCAATCCATAAAACTACATGATTGTTAGCTTCAATCTCTTCAAATTCAAATGTGTAAGGTGTGCTGCCCTCATCACGCATAATCATTGTACCAAGAACATGGTTTCTGTTGTCGTTATCTAATAACAAGTAGGTGTAACCATCTAAATAAGTTGTAACTCCATCAATAACTACAACCTCCTTTTTGTCTAAACCAATCGAGTTTGAATCAGTTGTGTAAACAGTTCCAGCCGCTCCATTCCTTGTTTCATCAGTGTCTGGTACTCCGTCCCCAGAAAACCCTCCAAATGCTTGGTAGTCTCCACTGTATTCCTTAAACCACTGTACATGTATGGCAATTCTTCCCCCTGCTCCACCATAACCAAGGTCAAACCCATTTCCGCCGGTAGCTTCCACAAGTCCATGTCCTGAAAAGTTTTGAGTCACTACATATACACTTCCGCCACTACCACCTCCACTGTTTGAGCCTTGTGCTGACCCTCCTTGTGTCTCTATGTTACCATCAAGATGAAAGCCACGAGAAACCTCTACATTTATGCGACCACCGCCACTTCCTGGTTCACTTCCACCACCTTTACATCCAGTGTGATGTGGCTTTATGTATGATCCATATGGTTCTCCTAAAACATGAAATATGATATTACACTACATCACTGCAATTACTTATTTCATTTTGTAACAATTACAATAATACAAGTCCTAAAGATTTAAAAAATTTATATATATTGAGGGAAGATCACAAAACTGTAAAACATTTTATATAGGGTAAAGAAAGACATGTGAAATATATGATACAAATACATATGAAATATGTTATATTTGTACATGAGAGACAATTGTTAAATATGTTAAAGGGAGACACAGGCAAAATTTTCATTTCTTCATTTTGAATTTTTCATAAATCATTCCATAAATGTCCTGAAAATTAGTACACTATGCAGTCACAGGAACAAAACTTTTCTCTGTATAAGGAATAAAATGGTCGTTTACGAACATCACCAATGTGGGTCAGGTTAGAGCCTTAAGATTTCAAACAAGAGGGCCATGATGGCCCTAGATCGCTCACCTGACTTATCAAACTCATCCAAACAATTACCTAGACAAGCATTCTGACCAAGTCTCATGACAGGTGAGTCAAAAATGTGACCACTACAGTGTTAACAAGGATTATCCATATTTGAGCAGTGCGACCTAGTTTTTTACCCAGGTGACACATATTCAAACTTGACCTAGAAATCATCAAAACAAACTTTCAAACCAATTTCCAGGATACTTGGATCAAAACAGTAGCAACTACAGTGTTAACAAGATTTTTCTATTTTTAGCTCCGGTGACCTAGTTTCACATGTGATTTCGAACTCCTCCAAGCAATTACCTAGACAAGCATCCTGACCAAGTTTGATGATAATTGAGTCGAAAATGTGACCACTAGAATGTTAGAATGAACAGAATATTTGGATCACAACAGTTAAGAGGGTTAACAAGATTTTTCTATTTTTAGCTCCTGTGACCTAGTTTTTCATCCGAGATGACCCATGTTCGATTTATTCCCAGCAATGACCTAAAAGACAAGTTTCCTGACCAAGTTTGATGACAATTGAGTCAAAATTGTGACCACTAGAGTGTTAACAAGGTTTTTCTATTTTTAGCTCCTGTGACCTAGTTTTTCATCCGAGATGACCCATGTTCAAACTCATCCGAGCTATCACCTAGACAAGCATTTTGACCAAGTTTGATGATGATTGATGCAAAAATGTGACCGCTAGGGTGTTAACAAGGTTTTTCTATTATTAGCTCCGGTGACCTAGTTTCTCATCCGAGATGACCCATGTTCGAACTCATCCGAGCTATCAACTAGATAAGCATCCTGACCAAGTTTGATGATGATTGAGGCAAAATTGTGACCTCTAGAGTGTTAACATGGTTTTTCTATTTTTAGCTCTGGTGACCTAGTTTTTCATCCGAGATGACCCATGTTCGAACTCATTTGAGCTTTCACTTAGACAAGCATCTTGACCAAGTTTGATGATGACTGATGCAAAAATGTGACTGCTAGAGTGTTAACAAGGTTTTTCTATTTTTAGCTCCGGTGACCTACTTTTTCATCCGAGATGACCCATGTTCGAACTCATCTCAGCTATCAACTAGATAAGCATCCTGACCAAGTTTGATGATGATTGATGCAAAAATGTGACCGCTAGAGTGTTAACAAGGTTTTTCTATTTTTAGCTCCGGTGACCTACTTTTTCATCCGAGATGACCCATGTTCGAACTCATCCGAGCTATCACCTAGACAAACATCCTGACCAAGTTTGATGATGATTGATGCAAAAATGTGACCGCTAGAGTGTTAACAAGGTTTTTCTATTTTTAGCTCCGGTGACCTACTTTTTCATCCGAGATGACCCATGTTAGAACTCATCCGAGCTATCACCTAGACAAACATCCTGACCAAGTTTGATGATGATTGAGGCAAAAATGTGACCTCTAGAGTGTTAACAAGGTTTTTCTATTTTTAGCTCTTGTGACCTAGTTTCTCATCCGAGATGACCCATGTTCGAACTCATCCGAGCTATCAACTAGATAAGCATCCTGACCAAGTTTGATGATGATTGAGGCAAAAATGTGACCGCTAGAGTGTTAACAACTAAATGTGAACGGACGACGGACAATCATCGATCCTAAAAGCTCACCCTGAGCATGCTCAGGTGAGCTAAAAAGTTATCACAGTGAACTCTAGAAATGTTAAAGAACATGTCAAATGAATGATTTAGACTTGTTTCAATCATGCAATATCCTAAATACTTCCAAGGTTTGTAAAAGCCACATGACTTGTTTATAAACTACTCTGTGATTCTATTTGAGTCTAAATTTTGTTCAACATATAAAGATATTTTTCTGCTTCAAACCCAAAATGTATGCATGAATTTATAAAGAAATTCATGCTATAATTTTAGTGTGATTTGAGTAATAAAGATTATTTTGATATTTTTATCATTCATTTGCCTAAGTATCCCTTTAATAATGTACATGACAGATATGTTAAATATGCTACCTTTGTACATGGAAGACATAAACTATAATGTTTTATAGGTATATAAATGGCATATAAAAAATACTATTTTATAATAATATTATATGAAAGACAAAAAACTATAAGTTATATGTAAATGCAAAAAGACAGAAGACAAATCCACTTATATATACATAACAGAACAGTAGAATATGTCATCCTTATTAAGAGAGTGTCAAAAACCATGTAAATATCTTTTAATAAATGCTTTACTATTAATAAAGTTTAATGTACATGTACATGTATCTTACCTGATGTGAAGTCGTCATAATTTGAGCCACCCCCAAAGCCGCCATGACCTCCACCTATACCTACATCTATCACTACTGTACTGTTGTCTATCAGTTCTGTGTGAGTTATCACTCCTCCTTGACCTGTCATAATATCACCGTCCCCACCACGACCTTAAATAAACAGGAGTACCACATGTGGTGTTCACGCTTGTCTGTTATAGGCACATGATGCCAAAGAAATGATATTTCAATTTTTTTTCTCTAGAGGGGTCAAAAAGTGTAAATTTATGTTTTAATAATGGATTAAAAGCATTTGAGATGCTTTACACCAAAAGTAATCATGTTCAATGCTAAAACATTTTACGTAAATGTAGTAAAACACAAACAAAATGGTATTTTGACCTCTATACTAAATACTAAATCACTTTAAATGTACAAATTGAAGAAATGCACAAAAAGCATAGTGGTTCAGCTGCTATATGACCCTTTATTACTTTTTCTGATTACTAACACAAAAATAACAAGATTTTGAAAAATGAAAATATTATTATCAATAGCGCTAAATGAGCCTTTAAGGGTCATGCCCATAATAATCTATTTCTATGAATATTTTAAGTTAATATGGGACATAACTCAAAAAAGAGCAAGTGTTCAAAATGTATGTCACTTTCACTACATGTGTTTAAGAAATTACATGTCAGTCATTTTCATTGTAAGTGTTCAAAAGGTTAAAGGCCTGTTTTTTCATTACAAGTAATGAAGTATTCAAAATGTTAGAAGTCTGTCATTTTCACTATATGTGTTCTAAAAGTTACAGGTCTGTCATTTTCATTACAAGTTTTCAAAAAGTTATAAGTCTGTTACTTTCACTATATGTGTTCTTAAAGTTACAGGTCTGTCATTTTCATTACAAGATTTCAGAAAGTTATAAGTCAGTGTTACTTTCACTATATGTGTTCAAAAGTTACAGATCTGTCATTTTCATTACAAGATTTCAGAAAGTTATAAGTCAGTGTTACTTTCACTATATGTGTTCAAAAGTTACAGGTCTGTCATTTTCACTATATGTGTTCTAAAAGTTACAGATCTGTCATTTTCATTACAAGATTTCAGAAAGTTATAAGTCTGTTACTTTCACTATATGTGTTCAAAAGTTACAGATCTGTCATTTTCATTACAAGATTTCAGAAAGTTATAAGTCAGTGTAACTTTCACTATATGTGTTCAAAAGTAACAGGTCTGTCATTTTCACTACAAGTTATAAAAAAAGTCATTTTCACATAAAAAAAAACAAAACAAAAGCACGGCCCATACCAGTTGTAACAAAAGATGCTTCTCCTTCCATCATAACATCAGTGGCACCTATTGTGATTCTGTTAGCACTTATTGTAGAGTTGTATCGCATGTGCAAGTTGGAAACTTCTAAATGAAAGTGGTCTGAATGGTCTATCAATGAATTTGCTTGCAATGCCAAAATTCCTATTCCAAGTGTGCCTGAATTCATAAAACATAAACATTAATCACTTGATCACCATTATGTTCAATACATGTACCATAAAGTTCTTATTAAACACCCAGGGGCCTAACATTTCCAAAGGGGGTGGGGGGTGCATTTATTAAAACACAGTTTTTCCTAAATCCAAAAATCATTGTAATTATATTTGGTGCTAAACAAGTTTTCATTATTATGTTAAAAAGTTTGTGTTTATTATAAAATAAAGTAGTTTCTGAAGGATTTAATTAAAATTACAGATTTATTCTTGAGTTCACCAAGTCTGGTGACTAGATTTTTTCCTTTAATCAGGGCGGTCCATAATTAGCTTAGGGGCGTTTAATCGAAATTTTACTGTATACTAGAAACATTTTTTTTTTCAAAACTAAATTTAGTCCTATAAAATTTATTTTATAATGTTTGAAGCAATATGATAACCAATATAATAATGTATAAATCATAATTATGTAAAATTTACAAATTCAAATTTTATAATGCTGCAAATTTGTATTGTCATTTTTTAATAGAAAATCATGGCCCATATATTAATTATATTCACAGCTGCTGTAAAATTAAATTTTACCACTATCAAAAGACTGCCTGGATCCGTCCACTATAACACTGTTAATGGCCGTATCAGATATGTACATCTCCCTGTCTTCTTCAAGAGTGAAATTGAGAACTCCAACCATTTCACCGTCAAACTGAAAACAAACAGTATCATTAACCCTTCTGAAGTGCTGGACCCGAAAGTGTTAAGCCTTTCCCACCAGTATACAGCCAGGCCAGCCTGCACATTCTTGCAGTCTGACCAGGCTCTATACTGTTGGCTGACAAATTTTAAATATTCAAATTGATATCCCTTAAATTGATAATGGATAGTCCCAAAAATGAAAGTGGGACAAGTCCATTTAAAATATTCAGCATGTTCAGGGTTAACATCAAGCTCATTAGCAAAATGATTATTCTCACATTAGCATGCTTAATTTGTAAAATAGTTTTAAATTTGAAACTGTGAATGTGAAGGCTTTTCACACCTCAAATGCTATAACTTGCCTCACACAATTTTTCTAATTAAAGGGACTCCACTGGTTTTTTTGACATGACAGGACCGAAAATATTTTTTTCAAGATTTAAGTTCCATTTGATGAAGGTCTAAAACAATAACTTATGTGCAAAATTTCAGATCATTCACTCACTCAGTTCTTTCATAATAATCATTTTAAGCATGAAAAATGACCAAAAATTGACCAAATGGTGTTTAAAAAGCCCAAAAATAAGATTTTAAGTTTATTTCTGAGTATATCATTTTATTATCTTTTGCATATGGTTCTGTTTAAAGTGCCCCAGCTTATCTGTGTAAGAAATTCATATCTTATGTTTGTAGGCTTTTGCTGAGTTCCTTTAATGCTTATCCTGCTGATAGCTATTGAATATACCCAAGCAATCAGTGCATACCTAGATCAGCTGGTATGGGCTGCACCATTCACTATTCAGTCAAAACTTATTTTGAAATGTTCGCTATACATGTAAATGAAGAATGGTTTTGTCCTGAATGAAAGCTGGACAAATCAACTTAACATATATATACAAAGTAATGCTTGGAATAAAGAAATAATTAGGCACCATAATTTATGATGTCAGACAAGATGTCAATAAACCTAAAATGTCATGAAAACAACCTCTTCACTTAACTTTGCTCAACTAATTTTTACGACAAGAATTTGTAACAGAGTTACCAACGTCCCCCCGGCTAAGGGAAGTTTACATCAAGCACACAATTGTGAGTAGGAATCTGGCTGTTTCATATGTCACATGGTCCCATTTTTGAAAACATTTGTGCCAAGTAATTTTAAAATCCCTTGATCTTGAGCCCTACAACTTTTTCTACTTAACCTTAACTACTAAAACTTAAGGTTTGTAAAGTCAACATAATTTCTCAAATGAACAGAAAAACAAAACATATAGACTATAAATACTATAAATAATATTATTAATTTTTCACAAAATTATACCTTAAATGCCGGAATCTGGGAACCGACAATTTTTACATCTGATGACATCCAAACCTGTGCGCCTTCATCAATATGGAAGTTGACCGGCATGCTTGATCTAAGAAGTGAATATTCTGAGTATTCAGTGAAAGCAACCTGGCCATCTTGTATATGCAAGTAGCCGGTTTTGTCTCCATATACGGTATCTAAGTTAATTGATGATATACTCTGATTCCCAGCGCCTATCTCAAGCATTGCCTTAAACAAACAATATATATAGGGTTATTTCAGGTCAGATTATCTATTAGTATATAAAATGGAATAATTATATTTATTTTGCAACTCCATAAAATGGTATTGCATAGCAATGTATATATTTTGATGTGACGTCATTTGCGTTATACAAACATAGTGTAAAGGCGCGCTAAATGTTAGCATTACAGTACAGGCAAGTCATTGACTAAGATTCTTTTTTTTTTTCATTTTAAAAACTCTTTATTTTGGATATGTGATAAATAGAATATTACATTCGTGTAATTTCAATACTGAATTTATTGAACTTGTTTGATAAAATAATATCATATTCAACTCGTTCAATAAATTCATTATTGAATTTACACTCATTCAATATCCTCTATTTACTATGTTATGAAATACAGTAGAACTCCAGTAAGTAGAAGTTGAAAGGACTTGCATAAATTTTTTGACACATCGGGACTTTGAGTCATGAATCTGTCTCAATTTAATGACAAAAGTTCGAGCTGTCAACTTTACAAGCCAGTTACTGAAGGCATAACAAAAGGAAAGGGTGATAGCTAAACCAGCTTATAGTAAATATATCCCGTGTGATTATCACCAGGTCACGGATCATAATCATATAGAAGTGATAAATTAAACGTTTTTTCTTTATGTTACAACGATGTCATAGCACTAATACCAAAAATATCTGGCATACACAGCCATTGAAGAGGCAGGCAGACATGTGTTCATCCATGCGATCTGATGAAACTCTCAAATCTGACTGGAATATTTCGAGAATTTCGATGGTTAACTCCCTTTAACTTTTTATAGACTGTTCTAAATTTAAAAGCAGGATAAATCCATTATGATAACACATATTTTTAAGAAGAAAATGGTAATATATAACTGTACTCACATTCTTGTTCAACATCACATGTTCAAAGTCAAGATCTGCCCCATTTGTTGTAAAAATGTCTTCCGAGGCTTCTGTGACATGTCGAGGATTTTTCTCGTATATCACAACAGGCTTTGGAACTTCCAGGTCCTGACCATCCAAGTATAGTCTAGAATGGCATAAGGCATGTTCATATTAAGTTTTTTTTCACATTTGAGTGTTTTAATAATTAACATACCAATATTACAAGTAACTAGCTTTGAAGGCTTTTATGGCTATAGAACTCTTTTCATATTCAAGTTAATAAAGAAGAAACTTTTTTTATATTTCTAAGCTATTCATTCTCAAAAGTATCAACTTAAACTGATAAGATCACTAATCTATAAATGGGTATAATAAGCCTATCTGGTCAATTGCCTATGAAGTGAAGGCTTAAAACAGAAAGTAAAACAGGAGAGGGCCGGAACATGTCATTGTCAAACATCAGGATGGCTTGTTAACCGATCTACACAAAGATCTACAGATTTCCGTCTACTAAGATCATCATAAAAATCCAAGGTTACAGCTAGAAGTAGTAAAAATGCAGCAAAAGAAACAGACATTTGTTATCTCAAGTTTTACCAGACAAGGTAAAATGTTGAACTATAAACAATTATACGGAATAAGTAGTTGTTGCAAAGAAATTGATTATTACTGGTTTAATAACCCAGGAAAGTCAGAATGGTTGACTGACTGCTGAGATATGAGCAAAGTGGAAACAAAAAGGTAATGTCCCAGTTGTTTAAAATTGAAACAACTTAACTGTTGTTAAATTCAAACATTTTTGTTAAGTAATAAAATGTCAAAATTTGAGTTGTTCAGAGCTAATTGTTAACGTTTCCATTTGAATGCTGCAACTGAGTTTTTGGGTAAATGACATCATTATGTAGCTTCACAATCAGACATTTTGGCATCTTTCTGAGAGTCATGTATATTGAGATAATTTCAAGTTTCATATTTTTTCGATTGCTCCTGGTACTTTTAACCTTGTTGCTGTCTAAACCTGTATTATCACTGTACAAAAAAAGCTTCATTTCCTTTTCCGAACTTATACTTAAGACAGGTGTAGGTATTCAGTCACCAAATTTCAACGATAGTGATTTAACAATAATTATAATTATAAATTGTTAAATTATACAAGATTTCTTGACAACATTTGTAAAGACAATAACTTCATTTTCTAAAATACCGTATAGATCAAGACTAGTATAGATCTAACCACTTACTTGCTTTCATAGGTGAATTCAGATATTCTATCTTCTACAAAAACAGTACCAGGTCCACCCAAATCCCCATCTGCTGATCCTCCTGATCCATACGCTAGTAGACTTCCCTTGAAATCATTTGATTCAACAGTGTGAATGCTTATTCTTCCACCTGCCCCACCTCCGGCATTTAAATGACCTTTACCTCCAATAGCTGACACAGTTCCATGTCCTGAGAATTGACCTAAAAATACAGAAAAAAAATAGGAAAACTATAATATTGACAATGATAAAAACTAAATACTAGATTTGCCCGAAACCCTCTAAATACTAGAAAATATGGAAATTTTATAAGAAAATTTAACAGATGTTTTATATAATCTCAAGCATATAAAATTGGGTATTGACAAAAACCTGGAGAATAGGGGAGGGAAAGAAGTCATAATATGAAAAGCATCGAAACCTGTTTCAATATAAACGGAACCACCACTTCCTCCTCCACCACTGCTTCCAGAAAATACGCCGTCAGCTCCGTCTGCAAGAATTAAACCATCCAGAAGAAATTCTGCGGGCACTTTTATATCCACCTGACCTCCACCTAGGCCACCTCCAGTTCCACCTCCACGACTTCCAGGTTCTTTAGGTATATAGACTGAGCCATATGCGATTCCTCCGGAATCAGGGAAACCCACAACTTCATCATAAAAATCATAAATCTTTAATCATATAAATATATGTGATCAAGAACTGGTTAACGCTAAGGCAATCTGATTCAACTTCTATAACTTTTTAATTGTTAGCCATAATTGTAAGTGCCATCTTCTTAAAATGGCATTATATAGTGTTTAGATCATGCTTGCTATTGTTTGATCAAGATTTATATTGTTGAACTACCTAGATGAAGCTAAGGACCACTTTTCAGTACTGCCTATGAACAAACTCAGTCAAACTGAGCCTTCTTGCTGTTTGGGGTTTTCTTTAAGGATTCTATTTCTCTCTATTTATGTACAAGCTATTAATCCCACAAGATTTCTGGACCAGCTGTTACAGACAAATGACCAAAAGACTATATATTCTGGATCAACATGATCAACAGCAATGGGGAAATTTTGCCTTGCCCTAGGATTGAACAAGCAATCCCTGGCTGGATTTTAAATCTGATACTCTCCCTACTGAACTATGTGGGCTGGCATACACTAGGGTACTTATTTAAAGGTTTGACTGTACTGAAAATGTGCCTTTACAAAAAATTCAAAATGTTTTTACCTCCTCCTCCCTTGGAGGCATAACCACCACCGGCTTCTGGCTCTGAAGCATCTCCAATCTGGTATTCACGGCTGGTTCCCACGCAAATAAATCTTGCCAGAGGTTCAAGGAAAAATTCTGTTGCCAAAACTTGCATAGAGTCCGCCAGAAACTTTGAATTATACTTTATCTCCTGCAAAAAAACAACAACAAAAAACCAACCATCAGAAAACATTATAATAATCAATTCATTACATAATATTATGTTAAATATGAATTCATCCAACTCATAAAACCCTTATAGAACACCATCTCTGATGGCTTCATCAACTTGTTTTTGCAAATAAGGCCGGTTGATTTTGTTTTTGTTAAATTTCATAAATCACACGAACATTTGCACAGGTGAAATGGTAACTTCTTACTCATACAAACGAGGGGGGAGACAAAGCTATATCATGTTAATAAAACATATAATTAATACAATTTCACAGATGTAAACTAACATATTAATTTTTGCAAGGGATAAGTGTAAAACTTCCCAATAATCATATGAAATAAGGTAGGACATACATGTACATTGAGCTGATTTAGAGCATGAAAATTATTACATGTTGAAAAATGAACACCACTGTAACTTTACTAAACATCACTAATTCCGCGTCATCACTTATCTCACGGTAATGGCATATTTTCATGTGACCATTGTTATAATTGGTCAGAATTGACAAATTTTATTCAAACACCTTAACAACAAATTTTTTGTGCAAAATAATTTAAATCTATAGATTTTGACGTAAAACTGAACAGCAATTTACAAACTTCTGCAAAAAACAACAATAGTCCATTAAATTTGTGCATACGTCTGAAACAATCATCATTTTATAAATGTTCTTGATTGTTGAAAAAAATAAGTTTGAGTTACAATGTAAAAATACTTTTAATATTTAAAATTATGCAAAATAACTTAAAGAAATTTTAACTGAAACATGAAAAAACTGAAATAAAACACCATTACCGCGAGGTAAATGATGACATACTGTTTCCAAAATGGCCGACACACGGTTTACATCTGACAAATTAAAACTAATTTTGATTGAATATATTGTTGTTTCCTTGTGTCATATAGCAGAAAAATGACTAAATGATACAGTTTATGACAGTTTTTGTAGTGTAAGTTTATTGTTTGTGTTCTTTACTGTTTTAAAGTGTTAAGTACCGTGAACTTAGAGGAGCACAGTATATATCACACTTAACCGAACAAGATAAAACACTCTTTGTCCTGTTCTTCTAGCATTTTTTTCCCTCAGGAATATGTTGGATGTGCATAGCAGGCATAGTATGTGTTTAGCAAATCTAATGATAAATACATGTATGTACATGATCATCTGGATATGCATCTTAATATAAGTCCAAGGTGCATATCCCTGTCAAAAATTGCTTGATCGTACCAACAGATATACCTAGCTACAAATTTAACAGATTAATACTTCAAAACAATAATAATAATAAAATAATATTATATTAATTTTGTGTTGTCGACAATGTCAAGGGAGGCTTATTTACAAACAGATTTTAAAATTTTTTCAATCACTAGTCTACATGGAGTAGTGACAAGCTAAATGCATACAGTACAGTCCTTGCAGAGTAACCCTTTGAGGAACAATAACCTCTTTACAACAACAAAATCTTTTTTTTTTCAAAGAATGAATTTAAAATCAATTGAATCCTGAGCAAAAAGCTATTAGCAACAACAAAAAGCTTTGCCGTCAAATTGCTAGTGCTCTGCAGAGGTAATACTTAACTGAAAAATAAACTGATGAACCTTGGGGCAGACATAATTATATATATGTGAACATTTTTCTTTCTTTTTAACTCAATCACAATAAACTTAGTACAAACCAAAATTCCAACTGTTAGAACAAGTGGCATTGGTGGGGGTAACTCCATTATGGCAAGAGCCCCTAGTTCCATAGTAGAAAATTCAAATGCACCCGGTGTTCCTTCAACTAGTTTTCCATCTTCAACATAGCTTGTCATAGCATCTTTTTTGATATTTATTACTCTTCCGGGTACTATACGTAAATGCCGCACGCCTATCATTTCACCGTTCCATTTCAAGGCTATTTCACCATGGCCAAGGATATAAATAAGTGGGGACAGGTAGGCCTTGGAAGCTTCATCAATCCACAAGTTAAACTGAAACTTCATCAATGGTTGGGCCTCGCCAATACGTGCAGTTTGATGTTCCTGTTGATGAAAATTATCGAAAATGTTAGAATTTGATACCATATCATTAGAGGATATTGAAGCTTCTTCTATAAAAGCAGGATATAATTTAATGGAATGGTATGAAAATAAATATTTTTTTCAAAAAATCCCAATAAAAAAATCCTGATATCAAAACTGACAACTTTGTTGAAGTTCATTCCATTATGGTATCAGACAGATCATCCCACACATTTCATTGTCAAATTTTAATGTTTTCTTTATGCTTTGAATGATATTTGTATTGTTAGGAATAAACAACTTTTCATTGTCAAATTTTAATGTTTTCTTTATGCTTTGAATGATATTTGTATTGTTAGGAATAAACAACTTTTCATTGTCAAATTTTAATGTTTTCTTTATGCTTTGAATGATATTTGTATTGTTAGGAATAAACAATTTTGCACAGTTCAAAATTATACTTGTCCAAAAGAGTGTGAAGGGGGTTTCATTCAAAGGGTATCAAAACACTTTTCTAAATTAAACAATTTTACAACAAATTTACTTTTTTCCAAATTTGGCTAGGAAAAGGTCTGTTTGATGTTTTTTTTGTTCATGTCTAACTTTAATAAAGAGGCAAATGAAGATAAAGCCAACTTTATAAAAGATAATTAAACATGTATATTTTAATATAAACAAAAAATTAACTAATGCATTTACATTTTACAATGTAAAGAATTCATCAATTGATAAATAAGATTCTCCTATGGAAATATCATAAGACATAGACATACACGTAGGTATATTCTTCCAGATCTGTCACTTTTAATGTCATGGCATTCTAAAACTCGTTCAGCTCCATCCCCTGTCTTTAACTGCAATGATGCATTCCTCATAAGGTGTATCTCATCAAAATAGTAGTAAGTTTTTTCCGCACCTTCCTCGTATTCGTCTAGGATATACTGATGGTCCCATGATCGTTCCTTATTGTCGAATCGAATTTGTTCATATTTTCTCGAGTTTCTAAAAATAAGGCCATTATAACAAAATAAATTCCTTGCTTGGTTAATATAAGTGAAACAATATTACAATTTAGTAAAAAATATGTGAATCCAACTTTTGAATTATCTTTACTAATTTGTATATCTATGCCTTTTTATGCACTGATTAACAGTGTCCAAACTTGCAGACGCCTGGCTTTTCTTATTAAATCTTCTAGTTTCAAACAGCATATACAAATGCAGCCAGTGCAGCCCGAGATCGCCTGGCACATGCATGCAGTCTAATCCCTGTCTGCACTGTTTGCTGATTTATACACAAGAAGTACATATTTTGAAATTTCCCCAAAAATGATGAAAGATGAACAATGGACAAAATAGGTAAAGAACAGAATCACTAAAGAATGTCCAATATGACAAAATTGAAAGAGTTTCAGGTTATGTTTGACTGAGCCTCTTCATGGTAGGTACTGGAAAGTTCAAGTTACTGTCCACACCCCCTAGCAGTCCATTTTTGATATTTAGCACAAAAGAGTATTAAAAGGTAAAATTTACCGGACATCTTTGATATAAACAGATCCAGGTCCTCCTTCGGAAAGGTAACTGTCTACAGTAGAATCTCCCCCAAAAGCTTCAAATGTTCCAAAGAAGTACATTTCTGTGTCAAGATATACTGCTATTCTACCTCCAGCCCCACCAAAGTAACCATCTCCACCGTGTGAATTTAAAACTCCATAACCCTCCAAATTTTTGGATCTGAAAAATAAATTAGCCATGTCATGACAAAACCAATATAATGGGTTTGCGACCAGCATGGATCCAGACCAGCCTGCACATCCGCACAGTCTGATCAGGATCCATGCTGTTCGCTATTAGTTTCTCTACTTGTAATAGAATTGGTAAGCGAACCGCATGGATCCTGATCAGACTGCGCCGATGCGCAGGCTGGTCTGGATCCATGCTGGTCACAGACACACTATGTTGGTTTTGTCATGATGCGGCTCAAATTTATAACTTTCACAGCTAGAAAAAAAACTTTTTTTTGCAACTACAGTAGCATAGCTTTGCTAGTTAAAAAAAGAAAATAAAATAAATGTACAAGCAAAATTAACTGAACTTGATATACGTATCCTTTCAAATATATAAATAAAGTGATATTTTTTATCAAATTTCACAAATTTCTATGTTAAAGTGAGATCTTTTGGCATTATTTTTATTGGCTTGCATTTTTCATACCAGTTAAAAGATAAGTGCAAAGGTACTTAAACCCATTTAAATCAACTTTTCAAAGTTATGTTGTTTTCCTTATTTACTTAATAATTCTAGGTAAACTTCATATATTTTTTATCATGAATTCTCCAAGATTAACAAAGATATAAAATATTGAGTTTTTACTTACTTGATATAGACAGTTCCACCACTACCACCACCAGAGTCACCACCACCAGAGTCATCACCACCATGTGATCCATCAACTGTTATTTTCCCATCAATTAATAAATCTGTAGCTATCTGTATTACAATATTTAACCATATATCAATAAACTACAATCATTTTCCTATTTATTATATTAACCACTTTAAAGGCCCATAATGCCTCATAAATGCTTTTATTTTTATTTCTCATTTTTTTCCATATTTTTGATGGTCTGATATAAGATCTAAAAAGTTACTCATTGGGCAATTACCTGGTCCATCTTTTGCTGCTGTTGCCCTTAAGTAATTAATACAGATATACATGTAGTGATGTAGTATTTTGTATGGAAGTCAAAAAACAACTTTGTTTACATTTTGCTACTTTTATGATTATAATTTTCACAGTCTGTTCTTCTTTTTTGTCATGATAAAGTGTGTAACTTGCTCTAAAACCATTATTTGAATGTAATAAACCTCATGTTTGTCCTTTTCAAAAAAGGGAAAAATTATTCATTTTTGAGGCATAATGGGCCTTTAAACATTTAAAACAAATTGTAATTTTTTCTTTCTTTCAGATATTGTTTTTCCAGCTTGCTAGCTAGATAACTTATTATGAGCTCACTAAAAATTGATTATAAGAAAGAAATACAAGTCGAAAATGCCTATGTTACATTGTTTACCTTACAAACTCTAAAATTTCTATGATATATAAATATTAGCACACAATTGTGATCCGTAAATTTCAATATAATTTACAATAAAAGCACCTTTAGATTTATGAAGCCACCACCATCACCTCCAATGCTTTCTAAGCCATTTCCTCCCCTACTGCCTCTCAAATTAGGTGAGTACAGGCTTCCATAGAATTCACCACCTTCCGTTATCAAGCTTTTATTTGTGGCATACCAACCTAGAATGACCGCAATATGTCATTAATATGTTCAGTACCTTTTACAAAGCAATTACATATAAACAAATATTGTCTGCCACAAAGAAATGAGCCTCAAATTTTGCAGTAATTGGTTGATCATGTGACTAGATCCTGTCAACTTTAAGAATCTGACCTCTGCACATTGCATAAATCCTCACATTCAATAAAATCTACTTGCCCCTTTAAATTCAATTAAACTTGTCTTAAAGGTGAAATCCCAATGTAATTTTTAATCTCTAACACCTCTCAACAACAATGAAAACTTAAGTTTTCCAAAGTGTGTTGCTCTGCAGAGGTTACACTGAACAATTTTAATACATACTTAAACTGTATATATTATGAAGCTCAAAGTTGACTAGTTTTCTAAAAGTATGACAAAAATTGTGTATTTTAGAACTTAAATGCAAACACACCACTGGCATAGACATATCTTTTATATAACCATTTAATAGAACTCTTTCCTAGTTTGGTGAATACTAATTGAAGCAAATTCATGTACCGTTTTAACGATGAAATTTACAAACCTCCTCCATCTGTTGCATACCCGCCTCCAGTTCCAACTTCAGTGCCATTTACAACAGCATCAATACCTTGTCCAAGCTCTTCATTCAACATGTCATCAGGTCTGTCAATTGCTGATGCAGTTAGTTTTGCACCAGCTTCAAGATTCAATATACTTGCTTGAATTGCGATACTTTCCGCTGAAATCACCGATTTAAAACGTGCATCAATCCTAGCAATCTTCTGAGTTACAGTCTGATCTGGTGCATACTTTATTTGGGAGTAGCTTCGTAAGTCTAAGGTTCCAAATGTCACTGTTCCAACTGGATCAACTTCCGAGGCTCCAGTTGTAATATCTACAGATGCCGTATGTGCAAGATCACCAAAATAAAGTAATGTTTCGAAACCGAGAATAAGATCTGATATACCAATAAGTTCACCAAATATTGCCATGGACCTATGTTCTGTTTGTCCATCTAAGAAAACACCTGTTCCATAAACATAAATGATAGACGGAAAATATATATACGATTCAGCATCCGTTATAAAGTTAACCCCTGCCAGGAAAGCATTTCTTGTTGATGGATCATACTCTACCTTTAAAGTTTGGTATTTATGTAAATGATATAATCCTGACCCATCGCTGTAAAATTTTTCACATTCTAAAGAAGAGTCCCTGTCATCATCTACAAGTTGCAGCGAGGCATTGTTCATCAGATGAATTTCATTAAAGTAATGGTCTGCAAAAGTTTCATCTATAGTTGCATATTTGCCATGAGGTCTTCCTTGGTTGTCTAGTAACAGTCTTTTATAGGTTTTACCATATCTTTCATCCTGTAAGTAAACTGTTCCACCTCCTGCACTAAGACTATCATCAGTTCCAGAGCCCCCATAGACTTGGAAGGTTCCATAGAATTCTATCTGCAATGAACAATGTACAGCTACTCTTCCTGCGGCTCCTCCTCCATTTGTTCCTACTCCATCACCTCCGTAAGCATTGATGTAGCCATAACCTTCAAAGTCATAAACTTCAATCAAAATACTTCCACCACTTCCTCCACCTCCACTTTCATCAGCTATTTCACCATTAGCATCAATTGTACCATCATTGATTAACAAGTTTCCTACTTGAATATGAATCCATCCGCCTCCCCTGCCTCCAGTTTTCGCACCAGTAATGTCGTTGTATGTACCTCTACTGCCCGACATTGAGGGTAGGTAAAGGGAATTGTAAGAGATGCAATCTCCTAATCCACTGCCTACGCCACCATGGCAACTGCCATCATTTGATATATTTCCTGGCTTACTTGATCCTGTTGTTATGTCAATGCTCTCAGATCCTATTCTGTTTTCACTAGAACAGCTTAAGACACTCTCAAGTTCAAGATCAATGTTAGAAGCGGTGACGTCAAAATTATCAGCATATAGCGCAGCTGCAAACTTAAGATTGATATTGCTTGCTTTTATCTTTGCTCCTGTGTCAGCATCATATTCAGCAATACTTCCTGGCTCAAGTTGAAGTGTTCCAAATGCTACATAGTCATATTCTGAGAGGTCAGTTGCTGAAAAGGGAACAATTTTGGCATTTGGTCCAATTCTCATTTTCCTACTTGAAGCAAGATAAAGATTGGTTACACCCCTCAAAACACCATCTAAGTCAAATGCCACAGATCCTAGACCTAGTATAGTTACTGTCTCTGACATAATGAACTCTCCCCCTTTATGGAGCTCAATGTTTACTTTAAGTTTGGAGTGAGCTGATGTATCTGTGACAGATCTTTCTAGTGTACCTTTATGCTTATCCTGAAGTCGCACCAAGCCAGTACTGTCACCATTCACTTTTGCTATATTTATAACACGTTCTTTCCCATCTTTAATCATCTGAACTTTTGCATAGTTATAGATATCTACTGTATCAAAATCTAATGTCAAACTTTCCTCATTTAGTGTGCAGTAGAAGTCAACTTGACCATTATCATTGTCACAAATGTATCTCTCACCATTGTTTTCAGACAACAGGTATACTGACCCCGGTCCACCGTTTCCATGAGCAGCTGAAGAAGTCCCTCCTCCTGCACTAAATTCTCCTTGAAATTCATCAGTCTGCATATGAACTGCAATGTGTCCACCACTACCAGCTCCGCCTTCTATATCAGATGTAGACCCACCATTAGCCTCCATTGAACCCAACCCTTTCAGAGCAAAATTACATATGACGTAAATACTCCCTCCTGCACCAGCACCACCAGAGGTTGTATCGCCACCTGAAGATCGTAGAATCCCGTCAAGTATGAGTTCATCAGTAGTAATCTTTATAGCTCCTCCACCTTGATTATTTGGGCCGCCAGATGCTCCAGGTGTATTTGGTGTGTAAATTGTTCCAAACGGCTCTGAGGCGTTGTCAACAGTAACATTTACACCTACACCCCCAGCTGCTGAATGAGCCCCACCATTCTTTCCAATACCGTGTGCAGTGTCAGGAACAAGGTCGTCATCTAATGCAGCTCTTCCATTTGTGCTTAATGCTGCTTCACGTTCCAGAATAACATTAACAGCAGTTACGTCTACAAAATCTGCTTCTAGGACAACAAATCGTTTCATTTCCAATGTTCCAACAGTCAATTTCAGACCTCCTGATGGTAAAATAAACATTGATCCAGCCTCAAGTTTAAGCTCACTTAGGATGTATTCTCCATTGTTTCCTCTTTTATTATAATTCCCACCACTGTACGTCGAAGTAGAAGTTGTAGTGTAGCCTTTAATAATACCACCATTTTCAACAATAAGTTTACTGAAAGTACACGTTCCCTTTAAATCTATTAATACCCCAGCAACAATTAAGGTTTCTGGTACGTGAAGTGTGGCTTCTTCTTCGACATCAAAATTAACAGTAGTTGTAAAAGTTCCAACTTTTCCTTCAACAACAGCAGCTCGAGCAATCTGATAGCCAGTAACATGCAAGGTGCCTGTTTTATCACCATTAACATCAGCCAATTTTAACTCTGTGTCTGAGTTGCCAAATGCCACATTTGCATATCCTGAAATACATCAAATACAAGGTTTTCTTCACTATAATTCATCAATTATATTGAGTCAATAGTTATGACAAAAAACTGGAACAATATCTATATTGATCCGATATTAATATCTCCCAACAAAATAAAAACAAGAGGGTCATGATTCCTATTAATTCAGTTTTATCAAAATCATCCAAGGGATAGAGGAGATGACATGCAAGTCTTATGCCTGTATTAAGCATGAAACTACTTTTAAATTAGTAAATTTTGTAAAACCCATGACCCCTAAGGGCAGGGCCAATTTTGACCAGAGGGCTATTAATTGAACAAATTTGGTAGAGGCCTACTAGATGATGTTTCATGCCAAATATCTAATCTCTAACATAACAAATTACATGTCTCTGAAACACTAAGTTAAGAATCTGGCGATCATTTCACTAACATTCTGTTAGTTTTGCGTATCTTTTGAACGTAAATTTGGACTTACCCAAAACGTAAGTTTATGTTAGTTGCATTTCACTATCCAGAACATGCAATTTATGCCAGTAATAAGTGAGCGTAAACTTACGCAAATGGGTAACAAAGAAAGTTTAGTGCAAAGCAAATAAATATGTCAGTTCTGCTTAGTAATACACAAAAAGTTCAAACCCGAGTTAAGATAACGTAAGTAAGTTAGTGAAACGCACCCCTGGTGTAAAAAAAATGAAAATCAGCATGTGTTCACTTCTGCATCAATGCTGATTTTCAAAAATAATCTAGCAAGCATTCTTAATTAGTGAAATACATGTTCTGACAAGTGCTCATGAAAAGTTTAAGTTAACTAGAAATGTGTCCATAGGACATGGATGCCCCCACACGCCACTGTTCTGTCAATCTTATGACTCTAGGTCAAATATTTTTTGGACAACATGTGCCACAAGTTGAAAACTAAAAATCAACAAAGGGCCATAATTCTGTTAAACTTGGTCGCAGCAATAATTCCTTCCTTTACTACCATCTACACATTAAGGTTGTTAATCCCTGGAAGTTTAAACAAAAATCTGCCATCCGGTTTAAGAGAAGTTGCTTTCACAAAATTTCTACATAGTATATAATGAAAAAATCAACAAAGGGCCATAATTCTCTTAAATTTGGTTGCAGCAAAAATTCCTTCCTTTACTGCCATCTACACATTAAGGTTGTTCATCCCTGGAAGTTTCAGCAAAATCTGCCATCCGATTTAAGAGGAGTTGCTTTCACAAAATTTCTACATAGTATCTAGAGAAAAAATCAACAAAGGGCCATAATTCTGTTAAATTTGGTCGCAGCGTTAATTCCTCCCTTTACTACCATCTACACATTAAAGTTGTTCATCCCTGTAAGTTTAAGCAAAATCTGCCATCCGGTTTTAGAGGAGTTGCGTTCACAAAATTTCTACAAAGTATCTAGAGAAAAAATCAACAAAGGGCCATAATTCTGTTAAATTTGGTCGCAGCGAAAATTCCTTCCTTTACTACCATCTACACATTAAAGTTGTTCATCCCTGTAAGTTTAAGCAAAATCTGCCATCCGGTTTTAGAGGAGTTGCGTTCACAAGATTTCGGGACATACGGTAGGAACGGACGGTTGGACAAGTGCAACGCTAAATGCTCCCACATTGTGGGGGCATACAAATGAGTTAAACTGAAAAAAATACTGTTTTTAGGAAAATGTTTCTTGCCTTATAACTGTGCTATGTCATGAAAATCAAATGTTTCAAGTCGATGCAATTCATATTTTTGAAATCTTACAAAATTCTAAGTTTAACAACTCCAAAAATATAGCTTTGGAATAAATCCCCTTATCTAACATCTTCAGCTTGTCATGACAAGTGAGTACACCAAGTTTCATGTTGATACCTATGGTCAATAATGGGGTACATTAAAGATTTTGTACGATGACAATGGCACAGGGCTTAAAATAGCTTGACCTTTCTTCAAAACATACAAGCTTAAAAACACAATATATTCTGTTGAATTTTGCATAAATTACGCCAATCTTCATAATCAATATGAATATTCTTAAAATAATCGCCTGTCATCTTTTCTTATGTTTGAAATTTTAGAATTTTGTACAGTCAGTGAGACTAAAATATGTTGGAGCACCACACTAGATACCATATTCCGGTATAAATGGAACAAGGCCCTTGAATGATTAAATGCTAAAATAATAGGCTTTCTCCAAAGAGAATGAACTCTAAATTGTCTAATTTATCTTTTCACATCGATTTTATATATGATTGTGAATGAAAAATGTAAGAATCGGTAAAAAAGCCATATTTTTCTACTTTGTGATCATAATTTCTGCAAGCATATATAGTAGTGCTCAAACACAGTACTGAGTTAAGTCCCTTTCTACAAAACTATGATAAAATTTTACCTGATATTGTCAGCAGATCATACTTGTATTCCTCTGCCTCTCCGTCAATATATGCGAAGGTCTGCTCTTGTATAGAGCTATCAACGTCTCCAGATATCAGCAGCGAGAGTGTTTCTTGAGGTGACTTGCCTTCCTGTAGAAAAACAGTTCCGGGCCCTGCTTTCACAGTTTCAAGATTATGATCATTTCCGCCACCATATGCTTTCATTGTTCCTATAAACTCATTGCTGGAATCAAAAAAAATATATTGTTTTCTTTTTTACTTTTTTTTCCGCAACAAAACAGTATAGGTCATATGGTTAGTTTCCAGTTTTACTGGTGGAGGAAGACCTCAAATGAAAATATGTAAAAAATTAACATTAACAGATTAAAAACCGAAGTTGCAGTAGTACTTTTATTATAATAACAGTATCTCTTCTGGTAATATAACGTTATTTTATTTTTATTTTTCATTTATATAAACCCATTGATGAAATGAAATGGAAGTACACATGTACATGTTTGTTTAGATTTTATTTTTATTTTTTTTTGGGGGGGGGGGTTTCCAGCTAAGATGGCATGAATGTTAACAAGTGTGGGAAGTTTTCAAAGCCGTATGTCAATGGACTTTGAAAATATTTGAGGTGTCACAAAAACTTTAACATAAGTGTTAACGCCCACACCGAGGATTGGGTGACTAGGATAGCTCTACTTATTCTTAACGAATTGTCGAGCTTAAAATAAGTCCTTACGAATCTGTTATTGTGATAGCCATCCTCCCGCCACTGCCTCCACCACCATATTCATTTCCTTTACCACCATTTGCTCTAATTTCACCATCACCAGTTAACAATGGAGTGGTAATAAGGATTGTTCCACCACTTCCACCTCCTGCATTTAGCCCTATACCATCCTCTCCATCTACCTCTATGGTACCTAAATACAGAAACAAACTCATTACTGTTATTTGAAGCACATCAGTAAATTCAGTTTATACAATTTTAATTTAGTTTGTGATTGAAGCTATAAGCTTACTGAAACATTTCTTGGACTAACCAGTACTAAGCAATGATTGTCAAATTTATTACTCATGGAAACAACGGCTTACACCTGATAGGGTTTGTACCCACGTGGCCAGCAATTTTCAGATTTCTTGTCTAACGCTTAATCAACTTGGCCAAGACATCCATAAAGCATAATTTTATTGTCTGAATTATAACAAGTTAAAATGTGAAAAATGTGTAAGCACTTTTAAATCCTGACTGGAAATAAAATTATCTGTAATCATATTAAAACATACAGCGATTTATAATAAACGGTATGATAATTTTCATGATGAAGTGGTATGTTTAACCTTATTTTAAATCAAAAACAAGACCACTTACCAAACACAGTGAGCGAAGTAAACAAGGTAAGTTTCAGATATCCACCACCGGCTCCACCTGTCCCGTTCAAAGAATTTCCACCTCCGCTACCCGGTTCTACAGGAAGTCGTGTATTATCGTAAGACAGACCGCCAGTAATATCCGCCGAGTTTGATCCTCCAGGGGCTCCATGGCCTGCACCTAAACCTATACCATCCACCTGAAATGACATAACATTTTTCGACTGACTTGATGGGTAACCTGATCTGGTCTTATACTTGAAACATTGAAAAAAACATAGATCACTGATAGCTTTAATAGCTAGTCTGAATTAGTTAAATATTACCAAACTTAATACATTAAAGATATACTATGCTCAAAATTGATTATAGAAACTATTGATGACTGCTACACAGTCCCTAAAAACATGTTTTGATTTCACACAAAGGATATATGTTGTGTTCCACACAGTCTATAGATGGTGAGAATTTGAAAATTATAAAAGTGTCATAAAAAACTGGCAGTTTTTTTTAAAGAAAATACCAACTTTACTTGACCTCTAATAGGGAATGCAGCTTCCCAATTACATGTTCATGGCTTCGTTATTCATTCTTTATTCAAATTATAGTCATATTCAGTAAGAATTTCATAGATTTCAACAAAATTCTGTGATATTCTTTGTATATAGTATATCTTAAAAAAGCTCGTTCAACTTTGATCAAGACAAACCATTCATCATTTTTAGGATTTTTTTCAAATATATACTGATTAAATAGTGAACAGTGCAGACATTGATCAGGCAGCACAGATGTGCCGCCTTGGTTTGTGCTGGTTGCATGGGTATATTTATATAGTTTGTCTCATGTATATTACGTACCATGTTTCCTTTTCCTGGACCAGCTTCAGCATCATATCCCTTCAAGGTCAGTGTCGAGCCAGGATGTAATTTAATTTCATTTGCCGAGATGTCAAGACTTTCCCCTATAACTTTAGAGCCGTACTGCAGTTCCAGCTCTACGAATTCTATATTCTTTAAAGTGTCTGGATCTTTTTCAAATGTTACTTCTGCATAGTTTTTCAATGTAAATGTGAAAAATGTGTATTCCCCAGGATTTGAGAGGAAACTGTGCTCGCCAGCCTCATTACAGCATGCGCCTGTTCTAACTACCGGTGAAAATGTAACCTTTTGATACTGTGAAATGATCAAGGTGCCAATATTTGTGAGAATTCCTGAAACAGTAAGAACTTGTATTGTGTAATTAATAAATAAAATGGAACTTAATTCTTGCTTAAAAACAAAGCACTCTGTCATACAATAACAGAGAAATCAGCATGTGTTAAGGATAAAATCACACTAGCTAATTCACATTCCCAATTATTAGTCTATAAAAATTATAATAAACAATAATTTTTTGAAATACAGATATAGACATGTACATATAGTTATTTTCCACATAACAGTGAAAAATGAACATAAATTATTGTCACTCTCTCTCAATACAATTTCAAATATTTTAACAGTCGCTCTTTAATTACTAGACTGAGTTAAATTACCAGTATTTCCAACAAAATGTATAATATTAAATGAATAGGAAAAATAGAATACTTACCTTCAAATTTACTCTCTTCTCCCTGCAACTCAACAGATTTTGGAAGCCTTAATTCCCCAGCTTGCTTTAAGTTGAAGCTACATTGAATAGCACTGTATGCCAACTCAACATCTGCACTGAAAATAACATCATCATCAACAACAATCGTGCTACTGGAGCCACAAGTCAGTGTCTTTGCTTTAACATGAAGACCTGGAGTGCCTATCCACAATTTTGTAGCATCACCAATGTTGATATTATCAAACTCCAGTAATTCAGTGGATGGGAGATCAATATAGGTGACACCTTCAGTTTCCCCTGATGCGCCTGAATTGTCAATGTAAATATACTCCACAAATCCTGGTTCATCTGTACGCTGGAATACTACAAAAGATGTTCCCGATCCTCCAGCTTGACCACTTGCTGAAGACCCACCATGCAACTTATAGTCTCCTAAGAAGTGAAAGTTTCCTTGTACATCTAACTTTATTCTTCCTCCACCTCCACCACCACCTGTGACAGCAGAACCACCCCTTACTGAAATAGATCCAGACCCATCTATATCTTCAATATACAAATCTATTCCGCCACCACTTCCACCGCCTGCATCAATTGTAGCATGATCACCATCAGCACTTATAGTTCCATGTACAGTAAGTGTATCAGTCTGTATTAACAAATAACCACCAGCATTAGTGGCCCCTTCTGACACTCCACTACTTCCAGGCATCCCGCTTTGAATTTCATTATGTATTCCAGTATAGTTTGCAGATGGGAAATTACCGTCAAATGATACCCCGCCTGCACCTCCATAACTTCCTCCAGCACCACCTGATTCAACAACCATCACTGTTCCACCATCTACATTAAGATGTCCATTAAAAGCAACTTCTAATTCGGGAGAGTGAATTACAAGATGTCTTGAGGTGAGAACACCGCCATATTTTACTGTCAATTTCTCGATCATTTCAAGTATGTAAATATCCATGCTGTCTGTACCTATCTCTAAAATACCATTAGTGGTGACCTCGATTTTATTTAATGACATTTTTCCAGCAGGTTGGATGCTGTCGGCAGAAAATCCGGATCTGCTTAAAGAATGTATAAAAACCTTACCACCACTTGAAACAGTCATTTCTCTTACTCCGATCAATGTGCCGTACACTTCTAGATTATACCAGTCATCACCAGTAACATCATCGTCAGTAAGAAGAATGCGAGCAGGAGCAGTTATTTCTCCGTTTTCTTGAACAATAAGTTTACATTCTAATGCATATGGTGAGATAGTTCCGTAGGAAGTTGCAATATCATATACCTGGTTTTGCAAAACTGTTAAAGTACCTGTATTATCACCAATAATTGTAGCCACTACAAATTTCGTAGATGTTCCAGATGATTTTACCTGGCCATAGCCTGCAATTTCCAATTCAGAAAGTTCTGTTATATCGGACAAGTATGTGGATGCCTCGGATATCAGACCATTGTTATTAATGATAGCTTTCTTTACCTGCGAGCCTCCTGACTGCGAATATTCTTTATAAATTGTACCTGCAGCTCCACTTGCTAATGTACCATTCCCACCATAAGCTGTTACAAATCCAAGGAATCCTGACTGGGACGAAGCTATTAGAGAAATTCTCCCACCACCTCCTCCACCTCCTACAGTGCTTTCCCCTCCGTTGGCAGATAACTGACCATGCCCTTGAAGTATAGAAGCAGAGACATATATACTTCCACCACTGGCACCACCAGTAACTGTGGATCCTTCGCCATCAACAAGTAGTGATCCATCAATCTCAGCTGTATTTGCTACCTCTATATGGATAATTCCTCCTCCTCTGACATCAGTTGTACCACTTCCGTATTCAGCAGGGAGAATCGATGATCCATATGCTTTAGTGTCCTCATTTAATCCCCCGTCTCCACCGTAACTAGCTCCTTCAGTTCCAGATGGTGATCCAGATCCTGTATCTAAATCACCACTTTCACTCAAGTCAATCACTGCACCATCCTGTACTATAAACTCATCTGAGATGAAATTCAGGCTTTTCTTATCACCAGTTAAGATAAACTTTGACAATGAGTACATTTTAAAGGTGGTAGTTTCGAAGGAAATTTCACTGCGATCAAAGGTGATATTTGCCTCATAGCCAAGTTCAAATGTGTCAATTGTTATTTTCTGTCCATCATTTCCAAACAATGCCGTAGAAGCTACTGTTGTTTCAGTCCAAGATTGAAGTTTGAGTGATGATGCAATAAGGCGTCCGTTTGAATTAAGATTAAAGTGTCCATGGTTATCCAAAGTCAGGCTATTTGCGGTCAGAGTGCCATGTAATTCAAGCAGTGGGGAATCCCCAGATATTAAAAGATTTTCAGAGTTAACTGTCAATGCCCCTTCTTCTTCAACCTCAACTTGACATGCAAATCCTCTGTGCTCATCACCTAATGTGAATATAAAAGTGAATAAAAAATCCATTAAAATATATACAATTATTTTCAATTTTATTCAATTCTTTCACAAGCTATTAATGCTAGAATAGTTAAAGAAATATACATCAAGAGTGATTTAAAATTTAATTATACAATGAAATAATTTTGTTACTAAATATAATTATTGAGAACAAGTGATTTCTTTTTAAGTAACAAATTCTGAAGAGGCTTCCAGACAGCAATCAAGCTTCAGAACCAAATCATGCCAAATTTTATAACAAATATAGGTCTTGGTCAATGACTTTCTATCATTAACCTTGTAGAGAAATTCAGCATATAAACCTTAGAAAACTCATCTTTAAACAAGAGGTTCATAAATATGTCCCTGAAGATATTTGTGAAGTTTTAAAGAGTATTGGAGATAAAACTTGCAGGCAAAACTTTCATCAGAGATTAATAATAACACAGAGTGTTTCAATCAAATTGCATATTTATATGACATACTATAATATAAATGAAGAAAATTGTGCAAACTCAAATAAACATCCTAAGTGACTAAATAAAAAAACCTTTAACTTAGTGTTAAGGTAATATTCTGGAGACCCCAGAGGTTAGAAGAATAGATCCCCTACTCTTTTAAAAGCAAAGTAAAAACAAAACATAATTGAAATCGCGTCATGACAAAACCAATATAGTGGGTTTGCGACCAGCATCGATCCATGATCAGGATCCATGCTGTTCACTAGCAGTTTCTTTACTTGTTATAGGGTCTGTAACGGAATAGCATGGATCCTGATCAGACTGCGCGGATATGCAGGCTGGTCTGGATCCATGCTGATCAAAACGCACTATGTTGGTTTTGTCATGACGCGGCTCATATATCTTACCCATTGAAGTAGTGGTAAGGGTGTTGCCTCCAAGGACTTTAAGACTACATGCAGTGTTTGTAGATTTATCAAATAATTCATTTATAGTAACACTGCTCTCAATTGTCACAGAGGCACCATCTTCAATACTTAAACTGGTTAAATCTGTAATGACTGGTGTTGTTTCCGTGCCTGTTCCACTTATAATCACTTTTTCAGTACCTGGGTACTCCAAATAGATTGTACCTGTAGAGATTTAAAAATCAAAATTTAAAATTTTTATCACTTAACATAATAAACATGTTTTGCAGTGAAATTTTATTTAAAATTGTGATCTGTATGAGGTAATATTTGGTATCAAAAATGCAATTTAGCTGTACGATTGGCTCTTGAGAGGCAACAACAACTTGTAGAAAGGCCTACTTTTTTATACAGGTGGTATAAGAAATAAATTATTGCTGCAAGCATCCACAAGTTTTTTTGTATTTAATTCAAGTAAAATCAACAGTTTACTAATATTGTTCTTATGTATCATAACTGATAAAATTCCTATCTTGCACAACCTTTTCAGTCTAATAATAATAATCATTTAACTAATATTATTTTCCTATAAACAAAGCCAGCCAAATAAAGTCTATAGAAAAAGAACATAATAAAACTGTTATAATGTAACGATGTGAATTTAAAAAAATTTTCAATCACAAGTAAATAACTAAACTTGAAATTTGCTATCAATTTGACTACTTTAAAAGATTCAATTTATTTACTGTAACAAACTTATCAATAGGTTAACAATTGGTCATATCCTGTACTTGTCTAATAAATCTATGACATACTTATATCTGGATTTGTTTAAACTTTAAAGCATCTTATTGTACCGTATTCTGTTTGTGGCCTACAACTAACATTACTTCCAATTCAAACATTATAAAACAGTAACAACTTAAAGTAAACAATTAAAACATTACCAGCTGATCCTTTATCTCCAGATGAAGTTTCTCCGCCAACTGCAGATATTGTTCCAGTGTATGAATAAGTTTTAGATGCAACAGCAGATATTCTTCCACCTCCGCCACCATCATTACCCTCAGCTTTTATGTATCCATCTCCCTCTATTGTCTTCGCTGTCACAAATATAGACCCGCCACTTCCTCCAGGTCCAGAGTCTGCACTCATGTCAATTGTGCCATCAATGGTTAAAACGTTTGTAACTTGTAATTTAATTTGTCCGCCACCTCTTCCAGAAGTATCTGTTGCACTTGGTCCATTGCTACCGTATGTGGTTGGTGCCGTAATTGAGCCATATGTTGACTTTGTGTTGCCTACACCTCTCCCACCATGAGTTGCACCCTGTCCAGATGATGCTGCTCCATTCCCTGAAGTTTTAAATCCTTTACCAACCCCAGTTATCAAACCACCAAATTTAAGATCAATATTTGTGGCCTTGATTATTGTTGTTCCAGAACCTGTCTTACTTCCAACTACTCTAAGCTCAGCTCCAGGGTTTATTGTGATCTTTGTATATGTACTTGTACCCGTTGATATTTCACAATATTGACCTGATTTCAGTTCAAACGAACCCGAGGTGGCACATTCTGGTTCCTTAGCATTTGTTGTACCTTTAGGAGATACTGTCCCTTGTTTGGATGCACTCAATGAAAACTTGCTTGTGTCTAGGGAAAAATCACTTGTGGTATTAAAGTAAGTTAATGTAAGTGTGACTTTGTTTGTTGTGGTGTCACAATAGCTCGAGGCTTCCAGCTTTCCATTGTAGTCCACCACAAGAGCGTCAATATTGAGATCTGATGCCGGATGGGACATTCTCAATGCTCCGCCTTCCCTTACAGTCATCGTATTTGTATTGGAAGAAATGGTTCCACACACATCAAGGGACCAGTCTTTGTCTATTATAACTGTCTTTGGCAGATCAATGGCTCCGTCTACATTCACACGAATATTTGAATTGATTCTTAACTCATCTACCTTACCAACTCTGGTTCCCCAAAACAAGTCAACATTTTTATCAATTCTTATCAATGATTCAGCATTTCCAGTAATGGTTCCAACTTGAGCATTTAATGCTGGAGTTGATTCTCGAGCAAGAAAACCTGCAACAGCTGGTCCAACGATCTCTATTTCATCAAGCTGTACACTTGGTAGGTCAGGGTCAACAGCCATTGTTGACAAACAGTCTGATGCTTCATCAGTCTTAATAAGTGCCTAGTGATTAAACCAAAGTATTTTTTATATAAAACACAATTTTTCGAGAAATTATCTTTTCAGTTTTAAATAGACTTCTCTATTGAAATACTCAAAACAATTAGAATCATGCAATGATATTTTTTCATGACCTGCATAATTCAATAAATTGATTGGGAAATGATTTAAAATCATCTGAAAACCATCAAAATCTTCAAAACATTAATGCAATCACACTACAACTAAACCTTATATAATCAAAACTGAGTCATTAATATCATAACAAGTGTATAACCAAATAGTGAAAACCAACTGAATGATTATTTATCACATACCTTCGTGTTGCCACTTTCCTCAAGGTAGATCACTCCAGCCGCCCCATTTTCACCATTCAAAGTTGTCCCCCCATATGATGTAACATATCGATCATCAACATAGCCATTTTCAAAATATATGCTGATAAACCCTCCTCCCCCACCTCCAGAGCTTGTTGCAGACCCGCCATTTGTTGATATCACACCTGAAAGATTCAATAAATATCCTGCAAACCTCCCCTCTCTGAATAATATTCAAATTTAGTGTTTGATATAACACATGAATTTCTGTCCCTCTTCTATATCAGCCTCTGAATCAAACAATACTTCTTTCCAAACATTTCTGAGCTCATCTGATGCTATTACATAAATTCAGTGAAATTCAAAAGAAAGTTCTAAGTTGTCATAAATGTCAGAAAATCTCGAAATTCATGAGCGGAAATCATTTTATATTCAAAATTCATACCAGATCTATGGGTCTTAAACATTGATCTCCTGTTATCATTTTTTATTTCATGCTTTTCGGTGATTTATAGAAATATATCAGTGATATAAAACTGGTAATTTCACTGTTTGAAACAGTGAAATTACCACTTTGATAATTTCACTGTTTTGAATTGAAGCCCCTTACGTTGTTTCAGTGAAATACCAGCATGCACAGTACTGGGTACCAACTTAACGACGTGAAGTCGTAAATGACGTCACATTGTATTATTATTTGGCGCCCTTTTTATCCATTATTAGCTTAAAATGTCTTTTTAAAATGTCTTTTTGCATGTAATAAAAAGAAAATTTGTTTAGTTTAGTGTAAGATCGAAATATATTTCACCTTGTGAACACCAAAAGTTCATATTTCACTCGTGGCTGCCCCACTCGTGAAATATACCTTTTGGTGCTAACTCAGTGAAATATATTCCGATCTTACACTGAACTAAAAAAATATCCTCTATATAAACCTGCTAAAAGCAAATATCATTAATGATATATGGGATTGTAGAAACATTAACCAAAGTGTAATACAAAAGCCAGCACAAAAGTGAGTAGGATAGCCTCACTATTCATTGAATAGTTGATCTAAAAACCAACAACTATACTGCTTTAATTCATTCTTCCAGCAAAATGATTATTAAAATAAGTGAGCCGCGCCATGACAAAACCAACATAGTATGTTTGCGACCAGCATGGATCCAGACCAGCCTGCGCATTCGCGCAATTTTATCCAGATCCATGCTGTTCGCTATCAGTTTCTCTACTTGTTATAGGGTTTGTATGCGAACAGCATGGATCCAGATCAGACTGCGGGGATCCATGCTGGTTGCAAACACACTAAGTAAGTTTTGTCATGGCGCGGCTCAAATAAGCTTTAACACGACATTTTACTTAAGCCCTCCTAATTTATGTTTAATACCTCCAATCTTGACTGTCTGACTGGTTATCCAGATACTTCCACCTGATGCACCACCATAATATCCCGATTTACCATTGGCATCTACAGAGGTTGCACTTCCGCCACTAGAATCAAAATATTTAGTATTTAAACAAAACACGAGAATAAAGATCAACAAGGCAAAGGCAACGTTTACAGGACGCAGCCCACAACACACAAAAGCTACCACAATGTAGGGAGGACATTGAAAGGGGGCAACAATGAACCCCGAAAAATCCCTTGTGGATGAAAATATAACAACATTGATTATATGTATGGGGAGACTTTTTACGGTCGCCACACGGCACAAACAACACAATTGTGAGCATAAAGACACTGACTAAAATTAATCTTTGTTCTCCTAAATTTTTGTCTTTCAAGTATTATTATATTATTGAACTGATTTAACAAACCCCATTATACTTAATTAGCTAAGAGGTGTCTTCAAGTTCTCTTATTTTGGCATGTATACCACTCATACAGTTAACAACATCAAAACTATTTGTAGTACCTGATAAAGCAAACAATAAAATGAGTTAATTAATTGCTAGTCAGAATCTTGCTATATATTTCTAAGCAAATTTCCTCAAAGAAAAACAAAACATTTCCAAAACTTAAATAAAGTTATCTACAAAACAATCATACTCGGCATGGATTTCTCCTTGTATTTCTACAGTGTCAGATGCCTGTATTTTAATTACACCTCCACCTAATGTTGTGTCTCCTCCAGATCCAGGTAGGACTGGTTCTTTGAAGTCATCATATGGTAAACCACGTTCAAATTTCTCAAACGAGCTGTTATAGAAACCGCCCCCTTCTCCACTATGTCCAGATCCATATTTTGGCAGGTAACCTAAAAATAACACCAAATAAACATGAAATAATTTCCATAGTTTATAATTATATGGTTCACTTTCTGCCATTACTACCCATGTTCAATGCTTTCTAATTAAGAATTTATTTAAAGTACATTACAACATCAACAGAGCAACCACCCTTTGGGAAACAAAAATACTGGTTGTATCTCATAAACTGTTGTTATAGAAAGGTTAAATATATTGAAGGTAAATTCTCCAATTGAGAAGAACTGATACTGTTGCTATTAAGAGTGTTTTGCTCTAGCATGCTTCACTGGTCATCTTGAAGAGGTTTCACTGTAGTGATAAAGTCATGGAACTCGTATCGTAAGGTAACTCTTTCTAATGAAGTCACAACATGTTCAACATTACCTTCAACAAAGTCATATGATGTAAAGCCATACCTTAATGAATAACTAGAAATGAGTTCATAGTACACGGGGGCCCCCACTGCGCCACTATTCTGTAAATCTTATGACTCTCAGTCAAATATTTTTTGAAAACTAAAATTCTGTTACTAGGTAAAGGTCAAGAACTTTACAAATAATGAAAATAAATCCACAAGCAAACCCCAAGGTGCATAAGTACACATGCTGACCAACATGCTTGTAAACTTTCAAGCCTACAAGTGAAATACTTTTTGAGCTATGCATGTAGAACAAGTTGAAAATTGCAAATTTATACTACTCTTAGTCAAGGGCAATAACTCTAACAAAACTAAAAAAAATCCACATGCAAAGTCCCAGGTGCATAGCTTCACAGAATTGTGAATCATTAATCCTGTAATTTAGTGATGTTGATCATTATTCCTGTAAAGTTGGTTGATTCTAACTCAAGCACTCAAAGAACAAATAACAACATAATGAAAAATGTTTTTACTAAGTCAAGGGAAATAACTATTCAAATACTGGATAAATCCACAAGCAAAACCCAAGGTACACAACTATATATGCTGTTCAACCTTCCTGTTAGGTTTAATGACTATGTCAAATCCTTTTTGAGTTACATGCGACACAAGTTGAAATCAACGTTCCTGTAAAGTTTCATGACTCTAGGTCAAATCCTTTTGAGTTACGTGCGACACAAGAGAACGGACGGACAGACAAGGGTAAATCTAAATGCCTGCCGCTAAAGTGGGGGCACAAAAATATATCCTCTTAAATATGTAACTTATCTGATACATTTGACATACTTATAGAAAACTTAGCTTATAGTCAGTTCCACTTACCCAATCCGGCCTGAAGATTGCTTCTCTCATTTAAATCAATGATACCGCCTTCTTCAATGTTGACATTATCAGTCTCAATGAGGAGATTTGTTGCCACGACAACACCTGAAGGACCTACGTTGAAGTTTGAAGTTGTTAATTGATATTGTACCTCATCAAGCAGCTGCAAAACTCCTTCAGCCAATACATTTATAGTTGAAATTAAAACCATGCCGCCAGATTTCCTTCCCTGTAATAAAACATAATACGATTATTTATTGATTATCAGATGCGGCTTTTTCCTCCAATTTTGAGGATATAACCAAATAGATTTCTTAGAGATATAAACATATAGTTCTTCTTATAGAAACTTCAGATAATAGAGCTGTCCCCAAACAGGTATAAAAACTTACTAGCAACCTATCAAATTGTTTACCAAGCTGCATAATCTTCAAGTAATTTCAACAGTGAATCATTTGTTACTCATTTTTTTTTTTTTTACTAACTGTCACTAGTATCATTTCATAGTCAAAGATAAATGGTCAAATTTTCATGAGAATGTGAGAAACATCAAAATTCAGTTCAATCTTAAAACACTGATAAGTTAGAGCTACAAAGTCAAAGACTTTTTAAAAATACTCTGTCTTGGACATTGTTTGTGATAAGACTAATTAATCCCCCTTCCTACCTCCCCCCCCCCCAGAACACACCAAAAAATAAATAAATAAATAATAATATTGAAAATAATGATTTTAAATAAACCTCTGATCTGCCTGTGCTTTTCATATCAAGAATGCTTTTTGACAGCGTTAGCTCTGTGACACCGCCCAATGTGCCGTAGATTGTAGTTTTAGAATTGTAACATTTCATCTTGGCTGGTGTTTTCAGCAAGCCATCCTCATAGACTATAGCATTGGCTGGGAAATATCTGTCTATTGCCCTGTTGTTTTATGATATAATCATTATAATTATTTTGTCAACTTAATGTGAGGGATGTTGCACCTTTTCGTTGTCCCTCATTTACAGGCTCAATCTTTTTAATGCTTTGGAGGGATCACTTTTTTAACAGATATTCATAAATAAAGATCTTACAGTGATGGCAAATTATTGTTCAAGGGATATAGTATGAGATTATAAGGTATCAATACAATAAAAATGGAAGTACTTTTAACAAAATAGCAGTATGATTAGGACAAATCATTACATTTATTTCAAAGTAAAATATTGCTAGCAGTATGATTAGGACAAATCATTACATTTATTTCAAAGTAAAATATTGCTAGCAGTATGATTAGGACAAATCATTTCATTTATTTCAAAGTAAAATATGTGCAAAAAAATTAGAATAGCCTACTTGACAGAAAATGTTTGGTAAGGTCCAACATGAATGCTTCCTAGATTTTCTGCATTTTCTACAAATCCATCCCCATAGAAACTCTCTGTGGTAAAACTGTGCTGGGCATCAGCAGGATTATCTGCTGGTTCCAAAGCCAAGTGTGCTCCATTAAACAGATAGAGCTCATCGACAGTGAGGATACCGTCCTCGGGGAAGACAATCCATGCACGACTGAAGTCATAATTTTCTACCCCATCTTTGTCATAGTTTTGAATTGTTTCCTATAAAAGTGTTAAAAAAAATAATAGAAAACAAAATTAATACAATTTATTACATGCTTTTCGGTGGTTTGTAGAAATATATAAGTGATATAAAAACTGATAATTCACTGTTTTGAATATTTGAGCCCGGTAAGTTGTTTCAGTGAAATACAAGCGTTCACAATAATGGAAACCAACTTAATGACGTGATGTCGTAAATGGCGTCACGTTGTATTATTATTTGGCGCCCTTTTCATTTAGTGCTATGCTTAAATGTCTTTTTAAACGTTTCTTTGCATATAATAAAAAGAAAATTTGTTTAGTTTAGTGTAAGATCGAAATATATTTCACCTCGTGAACACCAAAAGTTCATATTTCACTCGTGGGTGCGCCACTCAGGTGAAATATACCTTTTGGTGCTCACTCGGTGAAATAGATTTCGATCTTACACTAAACTAAACAAATATCCTCTATATAAAAGTTAATAAAATTTTACTCTAAGGCTTTATTTTAAAGGGACTCCACTGAGTCTTTTTTTTTACATGAAGTGACTGGAAATATTTTTTTCAAGACTTGTGTGTCATTTGATGAAGGTCTTGAATGTGTGAGCAAAATTTCAGATCATTCCCTCACTCAGTATTCTCAAAATAATCATTTTTATTGTGCAATATGACCAAAACACTTTTCACTTAAACTTTGTGTATAATAAAAGCATTTTCAATTTAATTTTTGAGTATATTCCCTTATCAGCTTTTGCAGAATTTTAAATGCATGACTTGCATTCTATGCAAGAATTTTAAATTTTACGTTTTTAAGCTTTTTCATGTGGAGTGGAGCTTCTTCAATACACAATCAGTGTTTAAATATTTGGCAACAGAAAAACTAATACAGGGTTTAAATATTTTGAAACAGCAAAACTGATATACTGTTTTAATTACAATATTGAGAGAAAGGGTTTCATTTAATTGACACAAAAGTTATAGTGTAAGAACAAAAATTGTTTAAGCGTTTAAGTATAATTCTAAGATGGTAAAGAAAATAATAAAATTTCCCCTTTTTTTGAGATCAGGCTCTCAAAAATTGACCAAAATAATGTACATGCTAAAGGACGAAAAATAGTTCTACAGTTATTCACATACATAATCAAACATTATATCATGCTTTACTGAATGACAAGGTCAAGTCAATGTCCATTCAAAACTTCTTTTCAGAGAAAAGTGAAATATATCAATTTTAAAATCCGTTACATTTGGTAAATGTTACAAAAAGCAAAATTCCCATCAAGAAAAACATACATCAACTGTGTAAGGATCTTTATTGTCAACGTAAAGTTTGGTTTTGCCATCGGCAACAGTGTACACAGTTCCAGCACCGCCAACGCTGTGGGAAGAGCTTCCACCATAAGCTTCCCAAGATCCTGTGAACTCGGATTCAATGTAATGGATGGCAGCCCTACCACCCGCGCCACCCCCTGTTGTTGATGTTCCTATAGGACAAAGTTGGTGTATTAGCTTAAAGGCTCATAACACCTCGGAAAAGATTTTAAAAGATTTTGAGAACAAAAAAATCAAAGCAAAATTCTGAGGCATAAAAGGCCTTTAAATATTTTCTAACCTTTTTCAACTTGATTGTTAAAAATGCTTTCCGTTTTATAGGAATCACTGTCAATAAACATACTTTAACAAGTATTAATGGCAAATGTGACAGTTTCTGTCCTCACCAATAGACAAATGCTTGTTCATTACTGGTATGATCTAAGGCGAGACACAATTTCTCTTTGACAATTGACCTCCGACATAAATGGTCATTATGTCTTGTAGCTGACTCAAACTTTAATACAGAGATAAATGTTCTAACAGTTATTCTCCATAAGAAATAATTTACCTTTTCCACCATTGACAGTAACTTTTCCTTTCCCATTAAATGTATGAGCATTAAGGATGATACTTCCTCCACTAGCGCCACCTGCAAGAGATGTTCCATCCTCTCCATTACTACTGATCACACCTGAAATATACAATAATTTACTCTCCATTACTACTGATCACACCTGAAATATACAATAATTTACTCTCCATTACTACTGATCACACCTGAAATATACAATAATTTACTCTCCATTACTACTGATCACACCTGAAATATACAATAATTTACTCTCCATTACTACTGATCACACCTGAAATATACAATAATTTACTCTCCATTTACAACTGATCACACACGAAATATACAATCATTTACTCTCCATTACTACTGATCACACCTGAAATATACCATAATTTACAATCATTCACAAATGAAAACTTGAAATGAAATTTCCTCTATAATCAAGCTCTGAAACACCTTGACCTTGTTATTTAGGGATGGCAATGGATACCAAAATCAATACTCGAGTACTCAGTCATTTTTTGCGATCCAATACTCAGTTACTTTGATGATTTCCAGTGATCTTCAAAGTTTATCACGCAATATCAACACAGTCAAAACATTCATAACAGTTCAGATAGAGGACGAGTTCCATTTTATCATAATCTGTCCTCTATATAATGATATACGCTGCCAATATATTTCGGAAAATTACAGAACGCTACCAACACTTTCTAAATTTTATTCATTAATGTCTAACGAAAATGAAATTAGAAACACTGCAATTTATTTGTTCTATGCATTAGATAAAAGACAAGGTTTTTTAGATATTTTTCAATGAATACTGAAATACTGTTAGTTTTGTATGTAATCATGTCTGTATCACTCACTGTTTATGTATGTACGTAAATTATATATATGTTGTAAATGTTTATGGGCTCTGTTCTGTTCTATCTTTTTTTCTTCTTGAAATAATAAGGACTGATTGGCTGCAACAAAAGTTTAAGCAGGTCTAAATACTACCTTTCTTCTTACATTCATAATAGCAATCTGGCCCCTTGTTGTTTTCAAAACAGTACCTTAAAACAAGTTTCGGCTACAAACTGTTACGCAATTGAAGGTAATTAAATATCATAAGAGGCTGGATGACATAAGCATGTCAAACTGTTGATCGTCTTGTTAAATTTATGATATCATTTTTGCACCTCTACAAGGATATTTTGATTGCATTTAACAGGTATTTATGAAGATACATGTACATCTCCGAATTTCTGAACTAATTGGATACACCAATCTTTTTTAAATCACAAAAAAAAAAATTATATTGCAAAAAAATATAAATTAAATAGTTTCAATAGTTTTTCTGACTAATCTAATATCAATTTCATTAACAGATATTTGGACGTTCGATCAAGTACTAGGTTAACCGGTTACTCATTGCCATCCCTTTTATTATTTCATTTGAAACCCTGGCTTTTTATTAATTTTCTTCACTGAAAAAGTATATATACTCATGAAAGTATTTTAAAATAACATAGTGCTGCTTTTTTATGACACATATTTAGTAATGTCTTTTTCAATATTAAATCTTTAAAGAGTTGGTTTTTTTCTTCTTTGGTGTTGTTTCTTGTTTTTTTTGTTTTGTTTTTTTACTGGGTCTTTAGGTTCATACCTACTGTCATGGTCATATGGTGACTTTCCAGCTTAACTGATGGAGGAAGACCTAAGGTGACCCTGCCAGCAATATTTCAGACATGTGCAGGCAACTAACATTCCTTGAGTAAGCTGGATAGAATTCTAACATGTCAGTAAAAGAATTTGAAATCATCAACTTTCAACCACTTGTTTTATATATATATATAAATCATCTGAATCTTATAGAGAAAAATTGACTGATCATTTGAACCTACCATCAATATTAGCAGTGGAAGCAATTTCAAAGAAAAGAACTCCTCCCCCTTTGACCTCAACATCATTTGTAAAGTCCTTAAATATTCCATTACTGCCAGCTACTGAAGGCGCAACTATGTCTCCATAAAAGAGACCACCTCCATAGGCTGGTGTTACTGTTAAGTTCAAGTTGAATGAGCCTGCATTAGTTGCTTTCCCGCCTTGACCTCCATGACCGGCACCACGTCCGTTCACACCTTTACCTTTTCCCCCATCTGCGTTGACAGCCTGAAATGTAATCAAACATCTTATCTATGTTATGTCACCTAAATTTCAACAAGAGCCATCAGCGCCTGGGCGGGGGCAAAACTTTGCTTTTTTACATTTTCTTAAAGCAAACAAATAAACGGTTTAAACAAATCTAAACTAAAAGAAAATTAAAGAAAAAAAAATAAGGTTATTCCTTTTTTAATGTCTGTCTAGTCATGCATGTTGTTTTATCCAAGTATGAATCTTTTCCATAAATAAATGACAAAATTCATTAAAAAAATATCATCAAAAAAATTCAATCATTTGAAGGTCAGTCATGTAAAGGTCAAGGTCATATCTAAATTATTCCACATGATTTTTTGATCACTAGTCTTGTTTTATCCATGTATGAAACAAATCTACATAAACAACAAAATTATTACAACTTAACCAAAATTCAATACTATGACCTTGATGGCCAAAGTCATTTAAAGGTCATGGTTAGTTCAACCAAAAGTCTTGTGGAAAAGGTTGTTTTGTCTAAGTATGAAAATAATCCAATGATTAATTATCAAGTTATGCTTGTTTGGCAGCAAGTCTTGTCTTGTCCAAGTATGAATCAAATCCATATATAAATAACAAAATTATGATACTTTAACTAAAATTCTATAATTTGAGCTTGACAGTCAAGGTCAATTCAACCTTTTTGGTGGTCTTGTCAAAAACAATATTTTGTCTAAGTATGAAGATAATCCATATATTGATTACCAAGTTTCAGTCAATTACAGAAAAAATCAATGGAAATTCAATAATTTACCTTCAAGGTCAAGGTCATAAAAGAGCCAAGATTAATTTTGTGTTTGAAATACATAATGGTCTTATCCTAAAGAAAGTTGTTTTAAACATGAAGTCAATCCATTCATTTATAACAAAGCTATAGCCCACTTACAGCAAAAGAAATGAAACTTTCAATAATTTGACCTTAAAAGTCAAAGTCATTTATAAGTGAAGGTCAAGGTCTGTCTGGTATATTTGAAAGTCTATCCTAAAAGATTATTATGTTCAAGTTTGAAGACCATCTATTAAAAAAAATCACAAAGTCATAGCCACTTATTGTAAAATAAGGAAAAATCAAGAAAAATTTAGATACTTGACCTTGACTGTCAAGGTCATTTATGACCGAAGGTCATGGTTAGTCTGGTCTATTTAAAGGTATTGTCCCAAGGTTTGTAGTGGCTAAATATGAAGACAATACACCATGAACTTTATAAATTATAATGAAAATTAAAATTTGTAACATCGACATGACTGTATTGTAACAACACATTTTTTAAAGTCAAGAATTCAGAAAAAGTCAGGAATACATACTGTATATATATAACTAACAGATAGCATTTTGTATATGAGTAGAAGAAAGAAATTGTAAAAAATATGGCTATAGGGGACACTTAATAAGTTGATATTTTGTAAAATTTTAAGTATTTACATAAGAACATGTAACCTACCAGTTTGTCAGCTTTTATGTAAGCTGAATCTTCTACAGTGAGTGTATGAGCATGAAGGAACAAATTATCAGCTTCAACAATCCCTCCACTTTCCACAGTAAAGTCTGTGCCCAGCAGTTCCATACCAACGCCTTCTGTTTCTATAACTAATGTGCCGCCTCCTTTCACAGTAATGGAGGTAAATTGAATTACAGGCCTAACATCACCGCCAGTATGCCTGCAAGAAAAGTAAATACCCAAAAGGCTATTAAATACCCAAAAGGCTGTTATATACCCAAAAGGCTGTTATATCATGTACAGAACAACCTGTGCAGAACAATACCCATTGAGACAGAAAGATTTGGGTAGCTGTAGACAGGTGTTGCTCTAGATGGGTTTATTTTTTTGTGTAAAGTGTAACCTTAGGAAGAATTAATACTGTTGTTCTAAACTGGTAATTGCTCTACAGAGGGTCACTTCGCAGAGGTTTCACTGTAGAAATATATCATTATATGGATAATTTTATTATGCATTACCAATAAAAATCAAAGGGCTGCAAGCTCTGTGGTATTTTCTGATCTTTGCAATCTAAATCATACTGACTATCTGTATGTATTTTCCTATATAGGTTTATTTTTATATACTATAATTCATCTTACGCAGCGACTGCGTTAAGATTTTTTTCTATAACAGTTTGAGATTAATACATATGGAATTTTGCATGACTAGAGTTGCATCAAAATTCATTTTTTATGACAGCCACACTTTATCCTTGCATATCGTGGCTACTTCCTTAAAAAGACACTTCAAAAAAATAGTTGCCTCGACTAGGATTTAAACCTTAGGCCTCTCACACCCTAAACGAGCGCGATACGAGCGCGATATCCCTGCACCACGGTGAAGTAATACGTAATATGTAGCCTGAATAAAAACAAATACATTGTTATTCTAAATTGAGAATTTCCATTTCGTGTTTGTAATCCTTATCAATTTCGAGGTATTTTGTTCACGATAAACCTGTTTAACACTGATAAAAATAATTTAGCGAAAATCTTCTCGCCAAAACGGTCCAACATGTATATATTCCACTACTCGGCAGTCAGATTTATTTGTATACTACGCACTGGAGTATTCAGTAATCGACATAGCTAAAAATAGCATTTTTATTGATTAAAATGATATTCATCCGCGAAATTTGTGATTGTAACCTCATATTTCTATTGATTAATCTGAACTTTCAATGCACTGTAATTCGTTAAATGCCTACATTAAAAATTATTCTGTCTTTTAAATTGCCGGTTTTTAAGCAGTTTTGAGTAAGAACTACTTTGCGTTGTTAGGTCTGTTAGGAAATTTTGTGTTAGACCGTGGATGTTAGCTATGTATTTACTGATCTTGCGATCAGAAAATACAATCAAAGGGCTGCAAGCTCAGTGGTATTTTCTGATCCCTGCAATCTAAATCGTACTGTATATCTGTATGTGTTTTCCTGCATAAGTTTATTTTTATGTACTATAAGTCATCTTGAAGGGCACCAGAGTTTGATACATACGGAATTTTGCATAACTAGAGTTGCATCAAAAAAAAATTATGTTAATTTTTTATGATAGCCACACTTTATCCTTGCATATCGTGGCTATTTATTTATTTTATTTATTTATAAGACACTAAAAAAAAAGAATTAAAAAAATGTTGACTCGACTGGGATTTGAACTCCAGACCTCTCACACACCAAACGAGCCCGTTACCCCTGCACCACGGAGAAGTTTTAAAATCAAAAGCTGAATAAAATCAAGTGATTCTAAATTTAGAATTTCCATTGCATTTCGGGTTAGGGTAATTTCGAGGTATTTTGTTCAGGGTAAACCTGTTGTTTAAAATTGAAGTAAATAATTTAGCAAAAATCTTCTCGCCCAAACAGTCCAACATGTAGAAACTATATATTCAACTACTCGGCAGTCAGATTTATTTGTGTAGTATTCGGTAATCGACATCGCTAAAAATAGCATTTTCATTGATTAAAATCATATTCATCCGCGTAATTTGTGAGTGTGCGTTTATTGACAACTCTATAAGCCAACGCTACTTTAAAAGTTTGAAGGTGTAGTAATTTGTTGGACACTTGTAACAAAAAATTGTTCTTTCTTTTAAATTGCTGGTTTTTAAGCAGTTTTGAGTGAGAACTAATTTGCGTTGTTAGGACTGTTAGGAAATTTTGTGTTAGACCATGGATGTTAGCTATGTATTTTCTGATCTGCGATCAGAAAATACAAAAACTGTATCATTATAAAGAATATATGGTTGATGTCAGGATGGAGAAGGTTTATTCAGTGAGCGAGAAAGTGTATCTTTGCGACCTTAAGTGAGCCAAGATTCACTTTTGCAGCAATAAACCGGATAAACCTTCTACAATCCCGACATCAACCATGTATTTAATTTGTCCTGCTTTTATCTACTTTGATCATGTTTTTAGATTATTTTAATGGTTTTATTCTTACTTTCCCCTGATAAAACAGCGTCTGTATGTAGTTTTGTTCTGCTGCTAACAATTGTGAAGTCATCATATAACGAAATGACTAGAGATAGATAAGTTTATCCAGCAAAGCTTTATCCAGTTGATAATATAGACAGTAGCAGGATAGATATGTATAATTTTATAGTACATTACCTATAAAACAAACTGCAATGTAGCTTTCATATCAGTCTCTACATTTGTCACTAATTACTTCTTTTGCCTTAGATAGTCTTAAATATTATCAAGTGCAAGCTTCTAAAGCATTTTCAGCAGTAATGTAAAAATGATAATTCAAAATCACAAGAAGTAAATTAAAGTGACAATATTCCCATCCATGCGTAAACATCGACTGTTCAGTTAAACTTCAAAATATAAGTTACCTTACATTTTTGTCATATTTGTTTTCAATTTTCTTATAAACTTTACTGATGAATAACCAATGCGTTCACGTGCAATAAGCTGTCCTTTGTACTAAATTACCATTTTTAAATCCTCCCAACATTCCCTTTATAATTGTGTAACTTTTGTCTTACACCACCTGCGGCATTTCATAGACGGCAAATTTATTGATTTTTATATATTATTTTTGTATTATATAAAACAGGAAAATACCTTAAAGTCATTTTCCCCAACGGTCCTATAACAAGATGTTCCACTCCGTCCATCGTTCCCTCGTTCTCTATAGTGATTCCAGTAACAGTGTACGTCTGTTCAGCTTGCATAACTCCGCCTGGGTACACAAACATTCCAAACTGCTGTTCCGGACTGTCATCCGGAAGTTGGGCCATGAAACGTTGATCGGGACCTGAAATTTAAATTGAGCCGCGTCACGACAAAACCAACATAATGGGTTTGCGACCAGCATGGATCTAGACAAGCCTGTGCATCCGCGCAGTCTGATCAGGATCCATGCTGTTCACTTACAAACCTTATAACAAGTAGAGAAACTGATAGCGAACAGCATGGATTCTGATCAGACTGCATGTATGCGCAGGCTGGTCTGGATCCATGCTGGTCGCAAACCTTTTGTTGGTTTTGTCGTGACACGGCTCAATTATTTTGATAAAAAATTTCAACCATCCTTTGTTCTGTTACTTTCTATGTTTTTGATACACACTGAAAACTGTAATGAATAGAGTCAAACCTGTGTTGACTCATGTATTAAAACATAAAAATGGAGGACATGAAAGTTATCCACTGCCATTAAAAATTTTCTTATTTGCATAGGATGTACCAATAAATGAATAGATGGATACATTTTCAAACAAAATTATCACCAATATTTCATTTTTTTTAAATAATTATGAAATATGAATATCAACATAGCCTGTAAATTTTGTTTGTTTGTTTGTTTGTTTTGGCTTTTACGTCACATCGACACAGTATAATATGTCATGTCGCGATGTTCCAGCTTTACTGGTGGAGGAATACCCACGTGCCCTTCCGTGCATTATTTCAGGCAGGAACAGGCACCTGAGTAGAACTACCGACTTTCTGTAAGCTAGCTGGATAGCTTCCTCACATGAAAGAATCCAAAGTCCCTTTCGGGATTCGAACCCACAGGGGTGAGGGGCAAGTGATTTGAAGTCAACGACCTTAACCACTCAGCCACGGACGCCCCTATAAAAGCCTGTAAATATGAGATATCAAAGTAATGAAAAGCAAAGTACAAACCAATATGCCATGTAGCACTCTTGTCTCCAGTTGTTTTCATCACTGTAATGGACTGAGTGAAACTGTCTCCATTTTTCCTGTACAAAGCCAGCTGTGCTTGTCCACTCAATTCAACTTCCTATAACAGAAAATTTTAACTTCTTATTAACTAGTTAAAAATTTAAGAACTATGCATAGTTCATCCACATATAATTTACAACCGCGAAAAAAATAAATATGTTTAATATAAAGTATAATAATGCATGGTTTTATCCTTGAATGCTTTGTAATTAATCACTCAGGTTATCAACCTTCCTGATTATGTTCCTATGCATTTGAACTCAAACTATGCATTAATTAATTTCTACAATAATCAACTCAGAACTGATATCTATTTCCTAAATATACAACACAGGAATTCGTAAATATGGATATATTATAATAAGTGAAAAACCCTGACAAAGCTAAAAAAACAGATGCTCTCCTACTCTATGCTCAACAAAAGAATAAAAGGTTACAAAGCAACATGAAACTAAGCATAGATAATAAGAGATAAGATGAGGTGAATATTGAATTTAAAACACAATCAATACAAATTCAAAACAGATATTTACATCAAACACATGTTCATGGGAGTTCGGCTCATCAAACAACCAAGTATGATGACTCATCTGCCCTCTATGTGTGTCCGATAGTTGCGTCCACTCTACTCTTGAATCCAGTGGGGTGCAAATGTTTTCATTATCAACTGTCAGTTTCTTTGTTCCGTCTGCGGTGTTCATACGAAGAATGATTCCAGCACCACCACATTCGTACCCTGAGCCGCCGTAGGCGAGTATTGAACCGGAAAATGTGTCCTCAGTCCGGTGTAATGCTACACGACCCCCAGCACCGCCACCCCCTAGACAACCTGGATCAGATTCTCCAGTCCATCCTTTAAATACAGATAAATATATATAGAATATTAATTTAAATCCTTAAGCCATAACGGACATTATGTATAAAAGGTAACTTGGATATAATCAAGGGATTACATTAAATAAATATATCAATGACACATATAAGGGTATTTGTACATCTCATAATCAAAGCTACAATTGTAAAACGATAAATGGTAAATGTTAATGGATCACATATATAAAATCAATAAAATTTTGCTGGCTTTGTTTGAGCAATTTTTCATGGAATGGAGGTCATTAGTCATTGTTCTATAAGGGTCGACCTGCTGAAAATGACATAAAGGAGCTACTTATGCTATAATTCAGGGCATTTTAATCTTAGGTTACGATTTTTTTTTACACTGCAGTTTAACGACACTAATTTGCAATAAATTGCTCAAGTCTCTCAGGTTATCACATTAAAGATGCTTATGATTTAGCCTGTGAGCAAATGGCAACAGTCAGAAATATAAGACAAGAGGGCCATGATGGCCCTGAGGTCGCTCACCTGTATATAGCCCCCCCCCCCACACCCATAAGAAGATGTTTCATGCTAAACATCTAAGCTCTAGCTCATTGGGCTTTTTAAAAGAAGATTTTTTTAAGTTTTTACTATACACATATAGATAAAAACAATGACACCCCTGGGGCGGGCCAGTTTTGACCACAAACTTTGTAGACAATTACTGGAAGATGTTTCATGCTTAATATCTAAACTCTAGCTATTTGGGTTTTTTCAAAGAAGATTTTAAGTTTTTGCTACACACATATAAAGAAAATCATTGACCCCCGGGGCAGGGCAAATTTTGACCCCAGGGCTTTTATTTGAACAAACTTTGTAGACACTCACTAGAAGATGTTTCATGCTTAATATCTAAACTCTAGCTATTTGGGTTTTTTCAAAGAAGATTTTTTAAGTTTTTGCTATACACATATAAGGAAAATCAATGACCCCCGGGACGGGGCTAATTTTGACCCCAGGGCTTTTATTTGAACAAACTTGGTAGACACTCATTAGAACATGTTTCATGCTAAATATCTTAGCTCTAGCTCTTTGAGTTCTTTAAAAGAAGATTTTTTAAGTTTTTACTATATGCATATAGGGAAAATCAATTACCCCCTGGGGCGGGGCCAATTTTGACCCCAGGGCATTTATTTGAACAAACTTAGTAGACACCTATTAGAACATGTTTGATGCTAAATATCTTAGCTCTAGCTCTTTGGGTTCTTTAAAAGAAGATTTTTTAAGTTTTTACTATATGCATATAGGGAAAATCAATTACGCCCTGGGGCGGGGCCAATTTTGACCCCAGGGCTTTTATTTGAACAAACTTGGTAGACACTCACAAGAAGATGTTTCATGCCAAATATCAAAGCTCTAGCTCTTAGGGTTTTTTAAAAGAAGATATTTAAAGTTTTTTCTTTCGGTTGCCATGGCAACCAGAGTTCAGCATGGAATTAAATTCTTTGAACAATTTTTTAAGGTGACAACCAAAGAAACATTCCTGTGAAGTTTGGATGAAATTGGCCTAGTGGTTTATGAGGAGATGTCATTTAAAGTAAAAGTTTACGGACGGACGACGGACGGACGCCCGACGAAAAGCGATCACAAAAGCTCACCCTGTCACTTTGTGACAGGTGAGCTAAAAATGAGTGAGACTAAAAAAGTGTTGGAGCACCATGCACACTTAATAGTAAATACTGTATTTCAGTATATATATACTGGACAAGGGCATTGAATGATTAAATGCTAAAAACTTGCCTTTTCACCCAACCGAATGAACTTTAAAATGTCTTATTCATTTCTTCACACCAATTTATCATCAGATAACAAATGAAAAAAATAAGAATCAGCGAAAGAAAAGCATTATTTTTCTACTTTGTGATCTTGGTTTAACATAAATTATTAAAGGTAATATACACATGTTAATAATTTACAATTTAAGCAGAAAGGAATTGGACCGAGAGCTACAATAGCTCATGGTGGTCTTCTTTTTTTAGATCTTGGTTTCTGCAAAGGTCTATACGTATCACTGTAGTGTCTTAAATCCATAAGAAAATAGCCGCTTCTGAAAATAAGCAGACATTTTATATACCTGGCTCTTCAATGTCCGTAGAGTTTGTGCTGTTATCAGCTTCTGTGATTGGGGCAATCGTTGTTGTTGTTGTGGTGGTCGTTGTTGTTATTTGTACAGATGTTGATATTGAGCCGCCCTGGGCATATATCTTACCACTTCCAGACACTGAATCCACCTTTTAAACACAAATGAGCCGCGTCATGACAAAACCAACATAGTGCGTTTGCGACCAGCATGGATCCAGACCAGCCTGCACATCCCCGCAGTCTGATCAGGATCCATGCTGTTCGCTATTAGTTTCTCTACTTGTAATAGGGTTGGTAAGCGAACAGCATGGATCCTGATCAGACTGCGCGGATGCGCAGGCTGGTCTGGATCCATGCTGGTTGCAAATGCACCATGTTGGTTTTGTCATGATGCGGCTCAAATAAAGTGTTCATTTATACTATATATATTGAAAATAATAAAAGCATAATTGTTAAAACAGTAAATCTACAGCTAAATTATGAAATAAAGGCTAGATTTTTCTATTTCACTGCTTGTGTAATCAACTGTACTCTGCATTGAATTCTGAATTGTCTTATTTACATGATTTCAGTTTCAAAACACTTATAAAAGAGGTCAACAGTTGGGTTTTACACTGGTGACATAGGCAAGTCTAAATATTTCATTCTCCTAACATATAACAAGGATGCCATAGTCACAAAATACGCCCGTTTACGAAAGCTTTAGATGGAGATGGGGGCATTATGGATAAGTGTTATCTAGCAAGCAAGTTTTTATTCTTGGCACTGTGTTGTTAAATGAACCTTAAAACAAATCAGTAGGGAAGATATGCACAGGATGTGTGACCTTGACCTTGGTTGCAGGGACCTGAATTTTATGCACGGCACTCAGCCTCACAATGATGAACATTTGTGCCAAATTATATTGAAATCCCTCTATGCATGTACAAGTTTTGCTCCAGACAAGCGTTTTTCTATGAGCTCTAACTGTGACCTTCACCTTTGACCTAGAGATTTGGTTCATGTGCAGGGCACTACGTCTCATGGTGGTGAACAATTCTATAAAGTAACATTAAAATTCCTCCATGCATGTAGAAAATATGCTCCGGACAACATCTGGATATTTAATCATCTCCAGTGACCTTGACCTTGCAAATATTAACCTAAATTAAATGTGTCACACCTGTAGTCATGATAGTTACCATTTGTGCTACAATCCATCAATAAATGATGACTAAATGGTCCCTATACACATCTTCAAATTTTTATCTGAACTTTGACCTCTATGTGTAACCTTGACTTTGGTCGCAGGGATCTGAATTTTGCGTGCGACACTGACAGCCTCACAATGGTGAACATTTGTGCCAAGTTATATTGAAATCCCCCTATGAATGTAGAAGTTTTGCTCCGGACAAGCGTTTTTCAATGAGCTCTAAGTGTGACCTTGACCTTTGACCTGGAGACCTGGATCATGCATGGAGCAATACATATCATGGTGGTGAACATTTCCATAAAGTATTATAAAAATTCTTTCATACATGTAGGAGATATGCTCCAGACAACATCTGGATATTTCATCATCTTTAGTGACCTTGACTTTGCATATATTGACCTAAAGTACATGTGTCACAACCGTAGTCATGATAATGACCATTTGTGTTACAATCCCTCAATAAATGATGATTAAATCGTCCCTATACACATCTTCATATTTTTATCTAAACTTTGACCTCTATGTGTGACCTTGACCTTGGCTGCAGGGACCTGAATTTTGTGCGCGACACTCCGCCTCACAATGGTAAACATTTGTGCCAAGTTATATTGAAATCCCTCTATGCATGTGGAAGTTTTGCTCCAGACAAGCGTTTTTCAATGAGCTCTAAGTGTGACCTTGACCTTTGACCTAAAGACCTAGTTCATGTGCGTGACATGGCTTCTCATAATGGTGAACATTTCTATGAAATTTCATTAAAATCCCTCCATGCGTGTAGGAGATATGCTCCGGACAAAATCTGGATATTTCATCATCTTTAGTGACCTTGACCTTGTATATATTGACCTAAATTATATGTATCACAGCCATAGTCTTGATAATGACCATTTGTGTTACAATCCCTCAATAAATGATGACTAAATGGTCCATATACACATCTCATCACATCACATTTGTGCCAAGTAATATTGAAATCCCTCTATACATGTGGAAGTTTTGCTCAGGACAAGCATTTTTCAATGAGCTCTAAGTGTGACCTTGACCTTTGACCTAGAGACCTGGTTCATGTGCGCGACACTGCTCCTCATAGTGGTGAACATTTCTATGAAGTTTCATTAAAATCCCTCCATACATGTAGGAGATATGCTCCGGACAAAATTGGACGCCGCCCGTCCGCCCGCCCGCCAGGGGCGTTCCCATAATACGTCCCGTTTTTCAAACGGGCGTATAAAAATTGATACCCCTTACATATAAATGTAACTGTGTTACTGCTGATAGCATATAAATGGCAAGATATCATTTTAAGATGTTAACTAAAACATGTGACAATATATCAAATACGTACTACAGAGAACTTATAAGAAATTGTTTTTGGTTTTGTTTTTTCACAGATGAGATACTGACTTCAAAATCATCCGATTTGAGTGAACTGTTAACAAAACGATATGTATACATGTACATTTTTTATTTCGGGATGTGCATGCAATATAGAAAGTATTATATTACTAGTTGATGCTTGCATGCTTGTATTGTATAGTATTGGATTGTATTGTACTGCTTACCTCAACATAAACACTTCCTGCTGCCCCGCCACCTCCGCGAGGCCCAGCACTGTCTCCACCATTTACTTTCAGGTCTCCATCAAGTAACAGACTGCTCGCTCTTATCTCAATCACGCCACCTAGAGAAATATATCATTCCATTCACAATGTTTAATAATTATAATTCAATGATATTCTCTGGTTATTTTTTGTCAATATGTGCACCCTGGCTAATTGAAAATAATTCTTGCCATTAGCGTATAAAATGTTTCAGTGCTTTTAAAATAAAAAAATTGTATTCTGTTTTAAAACCTGAATTGTCTTATTTACAGGATTTCAGTTTCAAAATACTTAAAAAAGTAGTCAACAATCAGGTTTTATGCCAGTGACATAGGCAAGTCTTAAAAAATTATGCTGCTTGCATATAAAAATTACTACTTCAAGCATGCAGATGTTACTGTGTTACTGCTGGCAGCATATAAAGCTTGTTTCTAGATCATTTTTTAAATATGATTCAATAGTTAAATAAAAAATTACTTTGTAAAAATATGATTAAGCTTTATTATAACTGTAAAATAAAAAGGAATTTATACCTCCAGAACCTCCTGCTTGTAAAGGTGAATAAGTACACCTGAGATCTGATGTTGATCCCCCACCATCTCCTCCTTTACCACCATATTGTTTAGGTATGTAGATTGAGCCATCGGCTGAGGGCGACCCAACGTAATCCTGGGAACTACCCTTACCACCTGCACCTCCATTGCCACCCCCTGAACCTCCTACATTCCAAAGTCAAACAAACTTTTAATATTGGTAGCAATGCAATTATACTGTAAAATCATTATTATTCGTGGGGCACGACTTTTCCTGGTTTTCGTGGGTAGGTCAATCGACAAATTTAAGATCCGCCGAAATTTTGTCCCAACAAATACTTCTTGCCATGTCTCTATTCTATACATTATAAACATGCATTGGCGCTTTTCCGCCGCTTTTGTGTGTAATTAATGCCCAGAGGCAAGGATTAAATTTATTGACAAGCGCTGTGTTATGGAAAGATATGTACATCCGGTCAGTTAAAAATGTGCGGCTATTTAATGTAAAATTACTTTGCATTAGGTTATTTATTTTATTTTACAAGAAATTAAAAGTCCACAAATTAAAGAACCCATGAAAATGCCCGTTTTGATAAAACCAAGAAATTTCATGCCCACGAATATAAGTGAATTTGCAGTATACGAGTTTGTTTTCAGCTTGCGTGGCCTTTAAATTACTGACTTTCAAACAATATAATCAGCACTTAAACTGCTAAGTTGTGAAATGGTTTTGCCCTGCTGTAAAATTTGGAAAAGTTCATTTGAAGTTTAAAGGGTGCCAGTCACAAAATGCAAAACTGTAGCTACCAACAATATATATCCTCAGGTCAGACTGCATGGATAAGTGGGCTGCCCCTGACTCTAGCCTGGTGGCAAAGAAGAGGTTCTTTTAGGCCCTGGTATGTTAATGACAGTTTCCACAGTTTTCATTAAGACAATATTAGGCAAAATTAAATATGTTCAACAGAATTTTTTTTAACTTGGCAGTTTGTTAGAATATGATAACAGAAACATTTTTAAGCGAAAAACAAATTGGGGGTCACCGTTTCAGTTTTTAAGTCAATCAATATGGCAATGACAATGTACAAATTTAAGAACCCAATAAAATACCTTTCGTCACAAAACCATCAAATTTCAAACTATGAAATCAAGTGTATTGAAAGTAATATAGAATACATTACTGACCTCCAACATCAGTTGTCACTCCTTTCTGTTGAATATCCTCAGGTGCCAGTTCACTTGTGTCAATCACACTGGCAGAGTCTACCTGTACAAAACCTGCATCTATCTTCACCCATGGTGCCTGATTATAAAATAAGTGACCAGACTTTTCTTTTTTGTTCTATCACCCTTATGGCAATTGAAATATTATGAGAAGAAATAGTCCCCTTGGTGCAAGCTAATTAATACCAATGACAAAAGCCAATATGGTAGAGGCAATTAGAAAACAAAAAGAATTAAATATATAGCATAATGACTCTACAGTTCTAAATGCAATGTATATAAGTATCTAGGATAAACATAATCCTGACAATCTGTCATTTATATACTCAAGTATGCATTTTTTTACAAGCATGGACAATAAGTATCTGGTAATAAATCTGAATGTTAATATATCTTTGATAAACATGGGTATGAAGACCTATGTACCCCTAATAATTGTGGGAACAAGACAAACATAGGTATACTTGTCTATGATATACATAGTATACATATATACAGTATGAGTGTAAGCATGAGTATAAAGATATGTGATAAACATGAGTCTGAGGACAAGTGATAAACATGAGAATGTGTATTTATGGTAAACATACTAAGTATGAGTATAAGTACTTGTGATAAACATGAGTTTAAAGATATGTGATAAACATTAATATGAAAACCTATGATAAACATGAATATGAGAACCTATGATAAACATGAATATGAGAACCTATGATAAACATGAATATGAGAACCTATGATAAACATGAATATGAGAACCTATGATTAACAAGAGTATGAGTACATATAATAAACATTAATGAGTATGAGTTGGTATTATAAACATTATATACCTGGATAGTAGCCCCGGCGTGTAGCCTCAATTCATTTTGTATAGCCAGTGTTAAAGATGGTGAATCTTCAAATACTGATGCTGATGACATTTTACCATCAGAATAAATCTGCACATTGTTGAAGGCAAAGGTGAGCTTGTCATAGCCGCTTGTGAACCCCTGTTTACAAAATAACACAGTTATTGTCAAAACAAAGAAAGGAATGATTTTAATACTTTTTAAAAACAAAAAATTTGAACAAGGGGTGTCCCTGAAAAGTGACTGAAGCCCCTGAAAGGAAGCTTATGCCAAAATACTGGTAATATACGCCCAACCTCCTTTGATAAATATCATTCCTAAAATTTAATTTAATTTAATAGGCAAAATTGTTTGGGGAAAATGTAGGCATTTCTATCACTCGAAACAGTTTACCTGACACATCAAAATTAGACAAAGATATATAGAAACATACATTTTCTCCGATAACAAAGTTAACTCCTCGTCCAAGACTTAAGTTCTGTACACCACTTATCTCTCCATCCACATATATATCAGTGTATGTCAAGTCACTAAAGTATAAGTCTGCAAAAAAAAAATAGTCAGTACAAAAATTATAGCAAAATTACAATGAAAACATCTTAAAACCTGTATACCCTTAGAGAAACATAAACATTTCAAAGCTTGTCAATGAAAAGTGTAAGATTTGAAAATACTTCATATTTGAATTGAAGCAAAAGACTGTTGAATTTCTTCTTTTTTTCAAATTGTCTAAGTATCTTATTGTGTGAATGTATGTTTAAGGTAGAGACAAATATTTGAAACTCACAAAAAGAGCTCTTTTCAAGTTACCAATAAAGTTAAATTTAATCATTTCCTTTTTATTCATGAATCTAAAGACATGTTTCTAAATAAATAAATATTCATCTTTCTTATCTAACAATAAATGAAATGATAAGGGGAAAATTCAATGAACAGAGATAAGTTGTTACACAAAGATGAAAAAAATCATAAATGACACAAGTAATCAAATACAATAAATAACTAACATCATAAATCTATTCTTTCCAAATTGTTTGCACTTATAATTTTACTTCATTTAACATGAAAATGATTTCTTTCATAAGATAATAACTGACTATTACCTGCCGGAAGATTAATATTGGCGGTGTCATAGACTCTGAATGAAGCCGGAAAAGGACTATCGCTGTCCATGACAGAAATTACTTGATCAACCGATGTATGAATCATGCCTGTACCATCACCGTGTAGATAATTAAATGTTACATCGACATCAGAGGCGCTGGTCTTTCGGAGGGCAAGATGTGCATCGCCATTTATATAAACGTGGTCAAAGGTCAAATCCTCGGCGGTGTCGCCATCGTTGGTAACAATGTATGTTCTGCAGCTGTCCTCCTCTTGATTGTCGATGTAGATATTGTCCGGTACAGAGTTCCGGTTGTCGACCGTCAGCGTTGATTTGACAATACCTGAGGCATCCGGAGCTGAAACATAAGCGGTCCCGGAGCCACCACTTTCAGAGAAACCTTTTCCTCCATACGACTGGAATTCTCCTTTGAAAGTGTTTTCAGAGGCAACTACAACTGCAACTCTTCCGCCACCACCTCCACCACCAGCCGTCTGAAATGTTTTAATTTATACTTTATATTTAGATTAAAAATATACCTGCTATGTGACTGTATAAATGACTCAAATGCACAAAAAAGATCAATATAGTGTTTCCATCATTTTCTTTTCAACATAATTCTTAATGACTTCACATTCTTATAACAGTCAGATTGAGAAGTCAGGAACATTTTTACAAAATATGTGCATGGAATAAGAAAGGAATGATAACATGCCATCTGACATCAAATACAATGTCATTATACCATTTAAAGAACATCATTCAAATTACTTCTCACTCACTGTAGTTCATCATATTTTTTATCAGTTCTAATTTCTATTAGTTTGGATTATACTAATTCATTCAAGTTTTCAAGTTTGTTAGTGTTGCAAGCTATAAGCTTACTGAAACACTCTCGAATTTGTTCCTGGAGCCAACCAGTACTTAGCAATGGGTGTAAAGTTTCTTGCTCATGGAAACAGCGGCTTGCCTCAGACAGGGTTTGGACATACACAGCCAGCAATTGTTAAATTTGCCCAAGGCCTTTACCACTCGGTCAAGCCAGCACTCAATATTTTCATGTTATTTCTATTAGCATGTAACAATGTCAATAGATATCAATTGTTCCTACATTGTACTACAATAATGCATGATGTATCATTCAAATGCTTGGCCAAAAAGCCTTCCAGGCCTACTGGTCACTGTGATTATATTACAGTACATATGAACTTAAACCATGCCGCCATAATACAGTTATGTACAAAAACCTTTTCATTAATTTGTCTTTCATGATAAATATGATTACTTCTGGGTAATTTCAATATAGCAGAATTTATTTTGTTTTTGCTGGGAGTTGCATCGCACCAAAACATTTTAGGTCATATGGCAACTTTCAAGCTTAACTGGTGGAGGAAAACCTCAGGTGCCCCTCTGAGCATTTTTTCAGGCATACCCAGGTACCTAAGTAAAACCACCATCGTTCCATAAGCTAGATGGACAAAAGCAGAATTTGTGAACGTGTTTTCATCAACAATGTATATCACAGTTAAGTATATGATAATGTTGCATCAAAGACAAGGACACCCACATCTTTCCTTTATATTTTTCAACAAAGATCTTTACTAATCAAACTGTAAATAAACATGAGAAATAACCTAAAAATAACCCCAAAAAAAGGAAGTATGCAATTATTATGTTGAAATTTTTCTCCTTACCTCGTCTGATGCGCAGAGATAGTTACGCCAATAATATCCAGATTGACATTTCGTACATCGCCTATCAGAGTCACAACTGGCACAATGTTGTACACACGATCCTGCCCCACCATTGGCTGAGACAATACCACTTCCTGTATAGCATATACAGATAGAAAGATAGATGACCAAACAACATGACTAAAATCAATATGTCCATAAAATATATTGATATGTCACAGGGTGAGAGAAATGTGCAGCTTGACTGGAACTAAAACCCAAGACCCTTGGAAAACCGTTCAGCAGCTCTACACACTGAGCTATCTGGCTGCTTACACATCCACTCCCCTAAATAGTGAACAGTTCTGAACCATCACAGATACAAGAGCATATAAGAAAATCACTTAGAAACACAAAATACATTGGACCTTAAGTGTGACCATGACCTTGAGGGAAGTTATTTGATTGTTGTGTTCTGCACACAGTGTCATGATGGTCATCATTTCTGTCAAGTTATCATAAAAACTTTGCAGCGGTTTAAATGTTATATAGCGGACACAAAATGTAGGCTTTTTACAACTTGAACTTCAAGTGTGACCTTGACATTGGGGGTAGCTTTGAAGAAGGGGATTAATAAAGTTGCCGCTGACAATAAGCTTCAGTTTCTTAAATCATACTTGATGACCAAAAATAAAACGAAACAGATGAAAAGTTTTGGTTACCAAAATAACAATGCATAAGTCACATCAACTTCTGTTTTAATTGAAATTTACCTGAAAAAGCGTCGGCTTTCATCCATATAGAGCCTCCTGCACCACCCCCAACTCCATCTTCAGATGCATCCTCACCATCTGCTTTAATTTCACCATCCACCTCGATATATCCAGATGCCGTCAGGTGCAGAACACCTCCACCGTGCCCCGTTTCAGCAGACCAGGTGACTCCGCCACCACTCCCATAATCCTCAGGGAAAATGACACTTCCATAGGCCAAGCCAGAGAAGTTTGTGTAACTTCCATGCCCACCAATACCACCATATGACCCTCCTGCACTGCCCTGAGCATGCCCAACGCCTGTGCCAATGCCATCTCCAGCTGGAAAGCCTCCTCCAGATGCACTCAGTATTCCCTCTGATTCAATATTGATGTTGGCAGCTGGAATTATTAGTAATCACAAAAATTATAACAGTCAGTAACAAAATAATAGTACAAGTCAAATTACCAATAACAACACTTTATTTGTGTAATGGACCCACCAGTGCTTTGAAATAACCCATTTCTATTGTTATTTGTAAGAATTTTCAATATAAAACAATTCACAATATACTTAGATTTAGCAGAACACTATGCAGATAGAGGTCAGGTACAAATGTACATGCAGCCACATATGTATGGAAAGGTGCCAATTTTGGGTTTGTTTTGTTTCATTTTTTACGCCTTTTCCCCAACAGTATTTCAGTCATATAGGTGGGTAGTCTCCTAACCATCGTTTCTGGAGAGTTACACTAGTACTAGAATACCTTCCTCCGCTCTGAACTACCAAAGCATCTCCCGCAGATCGAACCCACACCAGAGAGGGGATCGAACCCACGCCAGAGAGGTAACTGGATTGGAAGTCATCCACTCTAACCCCTTGACCACGGAGGCGGTTGTGTCCATTTTTGAAATAAATCTTGACTAAACATGTTTTTCCAAGCAACATTTAATTATTTCTTGAGTTGTCATAACAAAAGATGCATGACTAAATCAAAATGTAGTTTCAAATTATCATAAATGCATTTAGTTCGTATATTTTTTCAATTAGGCTTAAGTGCACAGGTAACATGAACAAATCATAACATTTCTAAACTTGTGCATCTGAACTAAAATAAATAACCCGGTTTTGCACCTTTGCAACCAAGCCAAAAATGACCAAAAAATGTATTCTCCCAGTGCCGCTTTCAGGACTGCCTAAAAAATAGTACTGCACGACCGTATTTTGATGTGACATCATTTACGTTATACAAACATAGTGTAAAGATGCACTAAATGAAAGCATTATACTATAAGCACCTCAATAAGAAATTATTCTTTTTCACTTTAAACAGTCTTTACTTTTGGTATGTTATAAATAGGATTTTATATTCATATAGGTTCATTACTAAATTTATCAAAGTTGTTGAATATAAAAATATTATGCTCGCCAGAGACTCGCACATTATAATTTTATTCAACTTGTTCAATAAATTCAGTATTGAACCTGCACTCATTCAATATCCTCTATTTAAATTCAGAATACAAGTTTACCATTAAGAGTCATTCTATTCACTGTCATAACACCACCTCCTCTAACAACGAGATCTCCACTGAGCGTAACTGTCAACAAATCGTCCTCTTCGGCGGAACCAAAATATGAGAATTCTCCGCCATCAAGAACGCTGATAGTGTTCAAATCATAAACTATATCCTTGTAGAACTGATTGTCTCTGGAAGGTGGGTAAACTTTGACCGCCCCGCCACGTGAGATATTAAATGTCTCGAGACCTGTGATGGTTCCGCCATAATCATACACTGTAACATCTTTCAGGTAAGTTTCTGCAGGAAGATTGACTTGTCCATCCTGTTATTTTACAAAATACATAATTATTTATTCTAACGCATTTACCAGCATTTTTCCCTACTGAACATAGAAGGATCGAAAGTGAGTGTAAATGTGCAATTAAGAATAGCTGTAAGACATGTGACATTACCATAAAAAATGTGGCGCAATGAAAATAAGTACGGAAACAAATCAGGCACAATAAAGTTTGATATCAGGTACGGTGGCATTAATATGTTGATCGATCTGTTAGAATCGAAATAATATATCTAAAACAAACAGTAATTTTGTTTAGCGATAAAATCAGTGTTTGGGATATATCATTTCTTAACAATCATAACATTACTATGTAGGAAAAGTTAATTTATTAAAATATTCCATTCATAAATAACCACTGGAATTAAAGGAAAGAAACCATAAAAGAAATAGGTACCAACTTACAATTCCAAAAGTATTACATATTCTATCAATACTATTCTCATGTACAGACTCAATCAAACTGAGTCTGCAATTTTCATGTAATTTTATCGTGATTAATGCTTCCGAGGGATCACCCTTCTTCAAGATTTTTATCATAACAGAAGTTTAGATACAAGAGTTAATGTATTTGTGCATTCATTTTTCCTAGTATAACCAATTTTAAATCAAAATCTAACTAATCATATGAGGGCCTAAGAAAGGTGTGAATGAATCATTAGGTATAGCAGGAATTATAGGTTAAAAATACTTACAGGATATACAGCTACACTGAAGGAGAGAACTGCCGAGTCCTTGAAATCAATGTTTAGCCACATGCCTTCTTCAACGTGAACAAGAGCTGTGTAGTCACCCTGTACAAGCTATAATACCAAACAATACAGATAAAGTGACATTATGCTCATTTTTCATTGTCAAGTTGACAGTAAATAATTGAATTTGTAATATATTTCCTGAGAGTAACTATATAGAGACAACTCTATGTGGTGGATCACTCAGTGAGTGCGTTGATGAAGGGCGCAGCCATCTGTGTGAATTATTGTGAATTGCAGGACACACTGAACATGGACACCTTGAAAGCACATTGCAGCTCTTGAATTAACATATAAAAACTACCTAAATTATACTGTCCCAATCTTTTTAGAACTTGAAGGCTACTAATACATTCCAAATAATATTTAATGATATGTCCTTTGGCATGAATTATTGCTGTCTTTTTAGTTTTTTTTATTTCATAGTAAAATATAAAATTGAACATAATTATGATTAAATGTAAAGTTATTTTGACTTTTACCAAAATTACACTCAACATTTACCTTTGGATGGGCATTAAATGTCACTTTTACTCACACTGTATATCAAAAATCATAAAAAAAAAACATTAACATAAGAAAATAGATTATTATTCTCTCAGTCATTTGGAACAAAATAATAGCACTATAATAATGAACACCCAAACTGTATTACCTGTAAATACAGGGAGCGATCTCCAGTTGATGGGTCACTGGCATCATCGGTTGCTAGGAGACCAACCTCGGCATAGTCACCAAGGTCAAGGACATCAATATCATGATCTTCTGTTTTACTTTCAGGAATGGTGATCCTAGTCTTACGACCCTGCAGATAAAAGATAAACTATAAAATTGCAAAAAGCTATAATTTAAATATTTACCAGGCTTAATATCTTAAATGGACTTGTTCATTTTTCAAACTGGTAAAAAATGTTTATTTTTGGGAAAATTTGAAAATTAGTACTGACAGCTGATTTTGGTGTGAATTGGTAGCATGGATTTTTCAGCTGCCACATTTTAGTAAATACATGTATATTATTATTAAACTCAATTGCAATTGTAATATAAAGGTATTCACTTCCATATCTGTTTTGAATAAAATTAAGCATATATACATGTACATATACAGTCAAAATGTAAATGTATTATTCATTCTACACATTGGCTTTCATAAAATAAGATTATTGGCATTACGCAACATTTCAAAGACAGAAGTCAGCCAATGAGTTTATTTACCTCTAAAAAAAAATGTCCTTTGAAAATTGCAACTCTACTAGAAAATTTAAATAGCATTTTACTTCAAAAAATCTTAATTTAGATATTTCCCTTTACATACAGCAACAAACTTCATAACGATATAAATTAAAAGCAAAAACAAAAGGTCAACAAAATCTTACCCCATCTCCTTTTCTGTTATATATTCTTAATGTTTTAGTCCCATTTACTCCCGTGTCTTTAGTGAATACAGTTCCTGCGGCACCATTTTCTCCACCTGTACCCTCTCCACCGTTAGACACGTACTCTCCGACAAAGTTTAGGTAACCATAAGCAACACCGAACCTTCCACCTGCGCCTCCGTTACGTCCCGTACCTCCTTTTACCTTAGTAATAAAATTGATGAATTAGACTTTTTCAGTAGGTTTTTTTCTATCTTGTTCATGTTTTGTCATTTAATGAATACACATTTGTATTTCCATAGCTAACAACCTTTCTCATGAAGAACACTAAATTTGTTAAAAATGCATCTCTTTTGCAAATCTTATTCAAAGTATTTAATTGAAAAGAAAAGATATTTTTCTTTTGTTTAATTTAGTTTGAATCTTTTACTACGTATATCATTAGAATCTATGTGATGCCAAAAATACCAAATAATTCAAATAATATTTTTTTTTTTAAAATATGCAAGGAGCACTAAGAACCCAACCAAGTTTGGTATGATTTTTTGAGTATTGAGTAATTTGGGACAGGATATTAAAATGTCGTTTACAATGCTATATAATTTACTCTTGCAAGTTTATCCATTACAAAACATTAATCCCTTAACTAACAAGCTAAAATTAACCACCCATCCCACATTTATGATAAAAACAAATTCATTTTTCTGAGATTCAAACTCACTTCAATTGTCCCTAAGCCATCAAATTCTTCGGTTGTGATGTAGATACTTCCCCCAGCTCCCCCGCCAGCAAATGTCTCTCCGTCATCTCCGTTAGCACCGAGGGTACCGTCAATTTTAACTTTAGTCCTGCCATTTAACCGGAGTATACCTCCCCCACAACCACCTTGAAGTACACAAACCACACAGATAAAGAAACCAATCCAATAAAGCTAATTATATTACAACCTCAGTCAAGCACCACAACATTCTTTCAGAGATGGAGATTTTGTTTGTTATGTGAAAGGTGTTGCATTAAAGATGTTGAATATTATTCTCATTATTTCACGAAAATTTATTCTTGCATATCAGACTGATGTTTCTACCAGTTTTATCCATTCAGGAACTTTTATCTGGCATGTTTTATTGAGAAAAAGAATTTAACATATGATAGGATATGGTAGAATATCCAAGAATAAATATCTGACATATGTTAGAGGGGTTAGATTGGAATACATACCCCCCCCCCCTCAGGAACTGGCACTTCATACTATTATTGTAAAAAGGTTATGGGTCTATACATAGAGTCTGCACTGTATATGTATGTAACACAGTTACTTTATATCTTTTATAATTCCTTTTTCATCATAGGAGTTTCAGTGCATACTGATATTCTTTACCATCATTATAAAAAAAATCTAGCGAGGTTATGTCAAATTCCAAACCTAATCTAAAAAATATTAAATGCTTGAGCTATCATTAACGTATTTATTATCAAATTTTTTCACATGACAACAGTTTTTTTCAATGGGGACACCATATCATGTGTTTACTACTGCATTGTACTGAGATGAAATATCACAATTTAAAAGAACCATCCTTTTGAATATTTGACATATTAACAGAAGTTCGAGTAAAGAAGTAACATACAAAAATTCTCAGTAATTATTTACCCTTGTATGAAGACGTATTAGTTGAAACATCCCCTCCGGCACTTCCAAACCTGTCCGGGGAGATGAAGTTTCCATAGGCTGAAGGTGCATCATGATCCGTATTTTCAGCTCCGGCCTCGCCACCATGACTACCAGCGATGCCGTACAACGACCCGTCGGTACCAACTACTGACCAACCCCCACCTGGTCCCTCTGTTATAAGTAAACATTATTATCAGCATCAATGTTAATGATAATTTAAAAGTAAAATGTGCACTTTTTCTTGAAGGAAAGTAATGGTAAACACTGATAGGACATGGTCACAAAACAAAATTTTTTACAAACATTATTAAATCTATATGTTAAAAACAAGAGGGCCATGATGGCCCTGAAGTCGCTCACCTGTATATAGGCTCCCGGAGCGGGGCCAGTTTAAAACTCCAGGGCTTTTATTTGAACAAACATGTTAGACACCCATTAGAAGATGTTTAATGCTAAACATCTAAGGTCTAGCTCGTTAAGTTTTTTAAAAGAAGATTTTTTAAGTTTTTTCTTTACAGATATAGTAAAAAACAATGAGACCCCTGGGGCAGAGCCAGTTTTGACCCGAGGGCCTTTATTTGAACAATCTTTGTAGACACTTACTAGAAAATGTTTCATGCTTAATATCTAAACTCTAGCTATTCTAGTTTTTTCAAAGAAGATTTTTTTAGTTTTTGCTATACACATTATAAGGAAAATCAATGTCCCCAGACGGGGCCAATTTTGACCCTAGGGCTATTATTTGAACAAACTTTGTAGACACTCACTAGAAGATGCTTCATGCTAAATATCTAAACTCTAGCTATTTGAGTTTTTTCAAAGAAGAATTTTTAAGTTTTTGCTTTACACATATAAGGAAAAATAAATGACCCCGGGGTGGGGCCAATTTTGACCCCAGGGCTTTTATTTGAACAAACTTTGTAGACATTCACTAGAAGATATTTCATGCTTAGTATCTAAACTCCAGCTATTTGTTATTTTTCAAAAAAGATTTTTTAAGTTTTTGCTATACACATATAAGGACAAGAGGGCCATGATGGCCCTGAAGTCGCTCACCTGTATATAGGCCCCCGGAGCGGGGCCAGTTTAAACCCCAGGGCTTTTATTTGAACAAACTTGGTAGACACCCATTAGAAGATATTTCATGCTTAACATCTAAGGTCTAGCTGGTCAAGTTTTTTTCTTTACACATATAGTTAAAAACAAATGCAACAACTACAAACCCAACCAATTAGTTTGATTTTTTGAGTTATTTGCGACAGAATATTTAAGTGTTGTTTCCGATGCTGAAATGACTGACTCTGACAAGTATATCCAATCCTTAACATTTATTCCTTAACTATCAACATTTATTCCTTAACTAATCAGCTATAATTAACCACCAATCCCACATTTATGATAAAATAAATTCATTTTTAAGAGGACTCGAACTCACTTCAATTGTCCCTAAGCCGTCAAATTCTTCGGTTGTGATGTAGATACTTCCCCCAGCTCCCCCGCCTGCAAGTGTTTCTCCGTCATCTCCGTTAGCGCCAAGGGTACCGTCAATTTTAACTTTAGTCCTACCATTTAACCGTAGTATACCTCCCCCACAACCACCTTGAAGTAAAAAAATCATACAGATATAGAAACCAATCCAATAAAGCTAATGTAAAACATCAGAAGAGCACCACATCACTCTCTGCCAGAAAAAGATTTTGGTTGTTATGTGAAAGGTGTTGCATTAAAGATGTTGAATTTTTATAACTTTCATTATTTCAGGAAAATTTATTCTTGCATATCAGACTGATGTTTCTGTTAGTTTTATCCATGCCAGAAATTTTATCTGGCATGTTTTATTGAGATAAAGAATTTAAAATATGATAGAACATGGTAGAATATTTAAGAAAAAATATCTGAGATATGTTAGAGGCTTTAGATTGGAATACATACCCCCCCCCCTTAGGAACTGGCACTTCATACTATTATTGTAAAAAGGTTATGGGTCTATACATAGAGACTGCACTGTATGTGTATGTAACACAGTTACTTTATATCTTTTATAATTCCTTTTTCATCATAGGAGTTTCAGGGCATACTGATATTCTTTACCATCATTATAAAAAAATCTAGCAAGGTTATGTCAAATTCCAAACCTAATCTAAAAAATATTAAATGCTTGAGCTATCATTAATGTATTTATTATCAAATTTTTTCACATGACAACAGTTTTTTTCAATAGGGACACCATATCATGACTGTTTACTACTGAGATGAAATATCACAATTTAAAAGAACCATCCTTTTGAACATTTGACATATTAACAGAAGTTCGAGTAAAGAAGTAACATACAAAAATTCTCAGTAATTATTTACCCTTGTATGAAGACGTATTAGTTGAAACATCCCCTCCGGCACTTCCAAACCTGTCCGGGGAGATGAAGTTTCCATAGGCTGAAGGTGCATCATGATCCGTATTTTCAGCTCCGGCCTCGCCACCATGACTACCAGCGATGCCGTACAACGACCCGTCGGTACCAACTACTGACCAACCCCCACCTGGTCCCTCTGTTATAAGTTAACATTATGATCAACATCAATGTTAATGATAAAGTAAAATGTGTACTTTTTCTTGTATTAAGTTTTTTATGCAAACATAATATACATAATGATATATATGACTGTGAAAAATACCACAAACTCATTTTTCTGCCATAATACTGCTTAAAAGTGATTGAATCACAAAATCCTGATCATATGCGCCAGGTCACTTCATTATTCTGATTAAACAAGTATTCTGTAAATGTTTGGCGGAAATACCATTCATAAATGTCACAGAATTTGCTGAAAGACAACAATGGTTTCCTGTCATCTAAAGGGCATAAAGCTATGAACGGTAAATTATTCAAGTAATATATCATATACTGACTACACACACATATTTTTCATATCCAATTACAGAGGGTTTTACAAAAAGAGTCTTTATTATTTAACACACATGTCAATAAAAAAATACCCCCCTATCAACCCTCATACCCCCCATCAACCCCCCATACCCCCAAAAAAGCATTGCTATTTTAAATGGCATTCAAAAATGATTCACTTAAAACAAAATATTTGAAGTTGATACCTTTATATATGAATATCTATTTATTTCCATAATAATGGTATAACAGCATTTTAATTCAATATTACTTGAAATTATTTGATGCTCAACCAGTGATTGCAAATTTTCCAGGGAACAAATACAAAACATAATACAAACCCATGTCACAATATCCCAGCCCGTTAGCATTAAATTCTCCCATTACGTCCACATTTAGGGTGTCTACGTCGACCCTCAAATTTTTAGCTTGTAAAGTGCCTCCAGGGTATACCTGAAAAATAATAATACCAATATAATGTATGTCAATTAGGTCTTACACAAAAATTAAATAAGACTTTTTTTTCCCTGAAAATGAACAGTTTGTTTTTTTATTACATGAGACTTGACAAGCAATTTTAGGCCATTTGATAAAACAAGCGAAAAGAAACAGAATATTAGATGAGGCAAAGTATAAGTTTTCAGACAATAAATACTTAAAATTACAAAAACCAAAGTGATGTTGATGGCCAAGTGGTTAATGCGTCAGACTAGAAATCAAATGATCGCTAGCCCCATGGGTTCAAACCCTGTCAGGGGCAAGTCGGTGTTTCCTAGAGCAAGAAACTTTACACTCATTGCTCAGTACTGGTTGGTTCCAGGAATGGATTCGAAAGTGTGTCTATAAACTTCTAGCTTCCTACACAATCAAACTAAAATAAATTCTGTATAAACCAAATCACAAACATTTATTGACACCACCTTCTGTCATTCTAACAATACAAGGGAAAAAAAAACTAAATAAAACTGCAATATATTTTAATTACGTGCTTATGCTCCCTACTTTTTAAATGCTTAAAAAATCACAACTCTTTAAAGCTGCACACCTCCAGATGAGCCAAAGTATTTCAAGAAAATCAATATTTAGAAAAATGTACTAACATTTTAAGAAAGGTATAATCATTCAAGATCCAAGATAAATTTTACATGTAGTGCGCGGTTTAAGACTGATTTTGTGGTATTTTATCACCATATTTCTACTGTGTTACTAACGCAGTACGGGCTTTAGCCATTTCTTTGCATCAGTTGACCACTTTTTGGTCATTTTCTTGGATTGTAAGTGCGGATTGCAATAAGTATATTACTTTATTTGTTCACCTAACAATATTTTACTTTTAAAAAACATTTCTAAAATTTTCATGAAAATTTACATGAATATGGAGGTGTGCTGCTTTAAGTGTCTTTTAATGTATTAAACATACCTGCATGCTGTTGCCAGTCATGTTATGCTGGAATATGTCATTATTCATAATAAGATAGCCTCTGTTCCTTATGTTAATGGCATTAAATGCTATATTATCTATTCTTTGGTAGGCAAGGTCCATCATAAGGTTGATCTTCAACACACCTGTAAAATATAATAATTGTGGATGTCAGTTAGCAAGCAGTTTGTAAATTCAAACAAGATATTTTCCTTAAAGTGACATTGTGCTCTTCCATATGTAAATGGTCAAAGAATAGGTAAAAATAAAAATAACTTTACCTTTTGCCATAATTGTGTTCAATATTATATTTTACTATTAAAATATAATCAATAATCCACATGTTCAACAAAAATTTCTAAAAAAAATTCCATAAATATCCTTAAAATGTATTTATGACACCCAATCTTTAAAGATCCTGTATGTTGTAATTAAGGTTATTACCACACTTGGGTGAAATTTTATATATGTATATAATCATGCTTCTAAAACAATTATCAAACATAGAAGAATATGTAAAATATGTACTATATTTGTCCACCTTATATATAATCATTAAAACTGGGTGTGTCATAAGTCTACAAATGAGTGTGTCTAAAGTCTACAAATGGGTGTGTCTTAAGTCTACAAATGGGTGTGTCTAAAGTCAAATGACTGAGAAACAGGAAAACGTCATGATGATCGAGATAGTGCCAACTCTATAAAAAGGAGCATGATAGCGTTGATATTACTGAATGAAGCTTATGCAATCCTAAGTACCTGACATAAAACTATATATCAACAAAACTGAGCAAAATAAAAAATATATATGCCTCCATCAACAATGGTCATATTTTCGACATTTTTAATAACTCCTTCAATCATAACAGTGACCCCAGCTACCCTCAACTCTCCTTGAAGTGTTGTTTCACTACCATGCCATACAAACAGGTTGAGTGGTACCATACCAGTTCCTATAAATAGAACAGCACATGGTATTAAAGATAGTTAACAAAGTCATATATAGCAAAAGATATGTCCATAAAGCATGTTATTAAAATATTTACTGCATATAAGTCAAGAATTTGTTTCTTAGTGCTGAAATCAACAGAGTAATTGATTCAATTGCACAAAATAGGAAATAGTTTAAAGTTTTAATATTTTAGCTTCATAATACTTAAAATATCATTACTCTACAAATTTTTATGTGCACTCATACCAACAGACTAGATAGGTTTTACCTTTGCACCACAATACCAATAGACTAGTTCTATATTTGCATTACAATACCAATAGACTGGTTCTATATTTGCACTTCAATACCAATCAACTGGTTTTTTATTTGAATTAAAATACCAACAGATTGGTTTTACATTTGCACAACAATTTCAAAAGACTGGTTTTATATTTGCTTTTGTACCAATAGACTGGTTTTACATTTGCACTACAATACCAATAGACTGGTTTTACATTTCCACTCATACCAATAGACTGGTTTTACATTTGCACTCATACCAATAGACTGGTTTTATATAAAATTGCACTACAATACCAATAGACTGGTTTTTCATTAACACTCATAACAATAGACTGGTTTTACATTTGAACTTGTTCAATTCAATTGGTTTTTACACTTGCATTTCTACCAAATCATCTTGTTTTTCACTTTCACACATAACAATCATCTACTTTTTCAATTGCACTGATACCATTTAACTGGCTTTTCATTGACACTCATAATTATATTCTGGCAGCATGAACAGAGCAGATTATTACAAATAATATAAAACAAAAAATTCTGGAGAGACTCCTACCTATAAATATGGTATGATTGAAGGCTATGTGTCCGGTACCAGTTCTGTCACCTTCTGTGTATGTAGCGTTCAGGTCTATCTTTTCTGTGTACCGTGGTCGAACCATCGCAAACTGGGCTTTCTCGTAAACCTAACATAAAATAACAAACTTTTACTATATTCTTACATAGGAATTATTAAGACAATACATTAATATTATTATTTATCTTTTATACATGTTAAGAATTTTGAGTTCCACAATTTTAACAAAAATATTTCTTTATCACATGGACATGGTGTATTTTACACACCTTCAGGTAGTCCAACTTGATTTTAACCTCTTCATCCATATTTGGTTCACCAACTTCCACTGCCGGTGGGTACGGACTGGGCCAAATCCATGCCACTCCACTGGCTAACGAATAATTGGCATAGAAATCTGTCAAATTCTTTTGAGGCTCTCTTGGTTCATAACCCTTGTTATTTAGATAGAGTGTTTTGTTTTCTGTAAAATCATCAGGAATAACTCCGTCAACACGGTCAGGTATCCGATGTAAGTATACAGTTCCGGCTCCCCCAGGTTCCGCGTTACTGCCTCCAGGACCACCATGATTGATAAAGTCCCCTAATATAGTATTAAAGAAAAATTCTCATATTCAAAAAACATTCATGAATAATAATTAGAGTAAATTTTTCACGAAACACATCTTGCTGAAAAAAAAGAAATAATTTTCAAATAAAGATATCTCATCAGGAACAGATTGACTGAGTAAATTAAGTGGATATTAAATAGTAACATTCATTTATTCACTGATCTTTTTCCACACTTTTCCTTTCCCTTCTACTTTAATAATTTAGCCATATAAGCTGAAATGAAATATTTGAAGTATTAAATACCGAACACTCACCCACATAGAAGTTGTACATGTAGTAAAGAGTAACTCTACCACCTCCTCCACCTCCACCATGTGGAGCCCACGTTCCACCGTACCCGGCTCCGCCTGAGGCATCAATCTCTCCATTTCCATCAATGGTGTACGTCTCAATGTGGATTGAACCACCACTGCCACCACCTGCAGCCACTGACCTCCAGTCACCTCCGAGTGCAGTCAGGAATCCGTCCACAGTAAGAGTATGATTGATTTTAAGGTAAAGCCTTCCTCCACCAATACCTGCTCTACCAGGGAACAAAGAGTGACCTCCATTTTTACCATAACCAGTTGGATATGTGAAGTAGTCATGTGCTCCTCCAGCAACAATCTGAACCTGACCTTGACCTCCGTTGCCACCGTGACCTGCGCCAGAGCTGCCACCATTATGACCATGGCCTGCTCCGATACCTGACATAATACAAGAAAGCTATTAATTGTACCTTGCTGAAAATATACTGTTGTCATAACAACATAACTGGCTTGGTAACCAACATTTTTAATACTATAGACATTTCAATTATAAACTTTAAAATATAATAATTTCAAATCGTAAAACTCAACTTATTGTTCATCGCAAAAATTGTTTAAAAATATTCAGGGGGTAAACACTGTCTGGTTAATATTCTGCATAGCAATGTAATTGGCAACAACAAAGATGTGAAAATAGTAACCAAATATTGACCTTTACAAAATTTTCATATTTAATTTTTCTTAAAAGTTTTTAAAAAATGCATGTAGTAATATATCACTGATATATGCAATAAATTGGGAAGAATTAGTAATCCTATTATTTTCATTCCTTTGGGATATTATTTGTCCAAAGATTTGAATCCAGGAATCTTATCATTTATAATTGTACTCTAGTTTGTAAAAAGAAATCAACAGATTCTATACATACTAATTCCTGTTCACTCATGAGATATTTTCTTGGATGATGCAACAACAATTTTTTTTTAGAAAAAGACGTCTGATGTAAGGTAACAATAACTACTAGAGACATAAATTTAATTCACAGGGAATAAAAATAGTCAATGCAAATAGTAGCCAAAATTTCTATAATCTATAACAAATAACAAACCTTCATGTTGAAGATTGTATGGACATCCCTCTGTTACACTCAGTACACCATATGGCTCTATTGTAACATTGTAATAGTCCAACATCAAATCATTGGACGTCAGCTGCAATTTTATTATACACTCATTAAAACTTTGAATCAAAATTTGCCTCATTACAGCTTATATATACATGTATCTTATATATTTTTCGTAAGTTTTGTCATGTGTCTACGTACAATGCTAATGAATATGGTTATAGAAAAAAATGTATTGAGTGTAATAAAAAAATTCAGGTAATACTAATTGTATATCAACACTTGGATCTTACAACCCCAAAATTATGTAATGGAATTGTCCTGGTTTGAATCTTAGGGACTGTCCATTGTTAATTTTAGGGGTTGTCATATCAAAATGCTAAAATTTGAGCAAACAAAATATATAGCTTAGTAGGATTGCAATCCTATGAGCAAGCTGATCAGACTCTTTGGTGGCATAGACAAGTCATAGTTTCAATAGCATTTAAACATTTGGGATTATGACAAGCAAAAACATGCAATCAAATTCACCCATATCGCTGCATACAGTCTTTTGATTCAATGTATATGGCTTGCCTGATAAATTTTACTTTTAAATTTACGTAATGAAATCACCAACAATCAATGTGCTTAAACTGATATCAACCCCTCACTTTATCAACTTAACACCCCATCCACAAGTTAAAGGTCTATGAAAAGAACCTTCATACCATATATAAATGATACTGGTAAATTAAAATAAAGAATTAAGATGGACAAAACATAGGATGATATGGGGTCAAAATTCAGCATCTACCCCTCTTCCCTACACTTATTTCTTTTCATGGAGTTCATAAAACAAACCGAAAAATTGAGCAAATTTTTGACATATATATATGGAGTCGAAATTCATATCATTCTACCCCTCCTCCTTACCCCTATTTCTTTTCATGAAGTTCATAAAACAAACCCAAAAATTGAGCAATATTGACATACTTTAGCTCCACTGCGGACCGTGAGTGTTGTTCCCGTAAGTGTGGTCAGGGCCTCATCCTCTGTGAATACATCTACCGACCCAAATGTCTTTATATCCAGGTTGTCTATGACATTTGTTGTCTGTTCATGATGGTCAATTGTCATGTTGCATAAGGCATTCACTGTTATATTTTCCATAGATCTGAAATGTCCTGAAATATAATAAGAGCAAATTTACTGCAATATTATTTACGGGTCTGAAATTTTGCTACTGAATCTGAAATTCACAACAAGATCTGAAATAGAAGTCAAAATATATGCCGTGTAATACCTTTTTTTACAGAGTTGCAAAAGTGGCAAAGGTGTGTGATAAGTTGAAACATTTTTGGTTTTACATCACTGTTGTGCAGAACGCATTATACAGCCATCTTAAAATATCTAAAATTAATGATGGGCAGCTGAAAATTCAAGGCACCCTTGCACAAAACCAATAAAGAAATATATATTATTACTACTTCTTTAATCAAAAACTGCCAAAAATGCATATCAGGTCATTCTAAATCACAGCTAAATCACACTGTTTCACCTTTTATGTACATATCAATCCCTCTACAATTAAGCTCTGGTGGAAGATTGGTGTAAGAATTTCTCTGAGCAAGAAGTGCGGATGTCTGTTGATCTCGGCTTGCTGTGTTTTCAAAGGTCTGGGTTTGCCTTAGCGTTATCCTGCCTGTCCCATCCCCAATTACTTCATGGACAGTAAGGCTCATGTCAGCACCTTCCAAATTTAGAGAGGCTCCACCCAGAATATCCATCTGAAATAGATCAGTTCATACGTTGTTTTTTATCTCCGTTTACACTGTTTCTAAAGAGATTATCAAGAATTTCATATTTAAACACATCATAGTCTGAATACCATATTCACGTATTGTCCAGAAAAAAGGTATGTTACAGAGTTTATCCACTTCGTATTTGCGAGGGAAGTAAAAAATAATTTCATCCAGGTTCTTGTCTTGCTAATTACCAGGCATACAAAAAATCATTAAAGTGGTTGTAATGAAATATTTTTTATATTTCTCGAAACTAAAGTAGCAAAAATAAAATGTTAAACACACCCTGGAGTTGTACATGTGTTCCTCAACTTTTAAATAACAGAAATTTTGGGGTTTTTTATACTTCAATGTCGATATTTAACACTGTTACAATAAATCTATGGAACATGCAAACAAACATATATGTATTAGTTATAGCAAACTGGTACAATAATTACCTTGTCAAATTCAAAGTTAGTGTCTGTTCCTTCAGGTATAATATATGTTGCATATTTTTCACCGCTGTAAGGTGTCATTACAGGAGACGTGGGATCTTCTCTTACATACAATTCAATCTCACTGAGTGCAATATATCTGTCACTGGCTTGAAGGTGAATAAAAATCTGAAAAAAAATAAACATAATTGTAACAAAAGCAGAGATCTTTTCATGTATATTTACTACATTTCTCCCTCTGCCAGGACCATGAATTCATATAATTTTGTGGGCATGAAGAGTCGTGGTTTTGCCACAAAAAAGACATTTTTGTGGGTAAATCTTGAATTTGTGAGTTTAAGCCTATTTTTATATAAAAAGATGCAAACAATATTATGATTTTACAGCAAACAAAATGAAATCTGTTGCAACTGAAAGTCATTTATTGACCTTCCCAAAAAACTCACGAAAATTAGTGCCCCAAAAATAATAACAAATTTGCATTATACACAATCATTTCATATACATGTAATTTAAAAACAAAGTTATTCCTTCAATAAAAATAATAAGACACTGTAATAAATAAATCATCTCATAATTCTTAAAGATGATTAGTGAAATTTTTACTCATAATGAGTAAAATTATGCTTATATTTGAAGCAGACATGTGCCCTAGAGTTTAAGTTGCCACATTAAGTACCTCCAAAGATCATCCCATAACAACAAGACCTACCAAGTGGCTGGAACCACCAACTTCACATTAAAGTGCAATGAGAAGAATGTTATTACCAGTAGTCAAAATATTGTAATAACATGTAGTTCACACAAAAAACTCAAAGGGGTATGTAATCTGGCAATGAAATTGACTAGACTACATTTCTACACATTGCCTTGGTGCTACACCATTATGAACCTATTATAGAGATTGCTTGATATCACTGGGTATAGCAGAGTTTCAAAAAATGAAATTTCAACTGACAATTTTGACAGACAATCTGCAATTCAAAATATTCTGTATAAAAAACAAAAAAATATATTACCCTCTATAGTTGTAAGCTCTTCACTGTGATGTATCTAAGTAAAGTGTTTCAAACAAGGGTATGACAAAGGCACCAAAAATAGAGATTAAAATTCTGATACAATGTTTGTGAATATGACCTTTACCTTGTCAACATTTTCCTTTATTTCCACTATTCCATACTGATCTTCTTCATTTTGTGTCTGACAGTATTCCGTTGACACGAAGCCATCAGTACGCTCTACAGGTATGTCGTCAACAAGGGAACTGGACACAGCATATGATGTTACTAGACTTCCAAAGTTTCGGTAGCCACCACTATATTAATACAGAATAGTGAATATATCAATCAATCAATTTGAAGTTAGAAATTTGACACAAAATAAGATTTTTGCTAGTATGCTGGAAAAAAAATTCTGCCTAGAAGTGATCTGAATTAACAAAATCCAGATTAAAGCACAAGGGTTTTAATGAAAATCATTCTATGTAAGTTTGATTAAAATTCCTTGTAGGGGGGAGTTATATAAATGAGAATTCCTGTTTTATATTGGAGCATTCCGTTAAATATATATAAAGAATTTCAATAAAAAAATACTTAAAATTAAGCAGCCAAATCTGCAATGACATACCGGCATTCCATGCAGGCTTTGCAATGTTGGCGAACTGGTAAGTTTATGAGTGTGCCATCATATTAAGCTTAAGGGAAAAGTACAGCAAATGAATGAAACTGCCTTAAAGTAACTTGAAATATCTTGATATGTATATCTAACTAAAAAAAAACAAACAATAAAACTCACTCATACCTTTCATAATGCCCGTAATCAGTATCGCAGTATGGATAAATGCGGAGGTATTCCACATACACAGGAAATGGTAGATCGATGGTCAAATTTGCAGTGTCACTCACAGACATGTAAAAATAGTTGACATTTGCTTTCACGTCACTAAACATGTAACTAAGTGGATAAGTGTTGGAGTAGTAATCATAATAACTATACAGGTATTGATGCTTGGAATAAGGCCTAGCATCTGTTGTAATGTTTATTCCACTATGCGTATGGAACGTAGTTTCCGGATACTCAGAGGTCGTGAAATAGTTTCCGGTCAAATTAAGTCGTTGAACTTCGTTAATCCTATTGCTAGAGCTGTATCCCAAATTGTCGGTGAGAAGGTAGTTGGTATTCGGTTGAACATTTTGTGCCTCTATATATACGGTTCCTGCACCGCCATATAGGTAAGTCCCTTTGCCTCCATGTATCAGGTACTCGCCAGTAAAATCATTATAATCTCTGTGATATATAGCAATTCTTCCACCTCCACCACCACCACCCTGAGTTCCACCTGAAATTATCAAAACATTTTAAAATCTCTTATGCATAAGTAACATTAACTCCTTTTGTTAATGATCTTTTTTCCACACAAATCTTTTAGCCTAGAATTTTTGTACATACCAATGTATACAACCAATATCTTGACTAAATGGTATGAAATTAGATATTATCACCAGCATATCTATGATCCTTTGGCATGCTAATCTAAGGATTTCGTTCACTACAGTATTGGAGCAGTACTCATGACAGAAATCATGATCACAAAATAAAAAAATATTGCATTTTACACCGATTTTTATATTTTTCAATCATTCTTAGATAAAAATCTGTGTAAACAGATGAATTAGGCATCTTAAAGTGTATTTCAGCTGGTGGAAAGGCAAGATTTTAGCGTTTAATCGTTCAAACGCCTTGTCTGGTATAATTTTACCAAAATACAGCATTTAGTGTGGTGGTCCAACTCTTTTTTAGTCTCACTCTTTACCTAACTTTTGAAAATAACCAATCACCAAAATCATTGACACCAAGTATAAATACCCATGTATCAAAATTGAACCTTCAGCATGCCACCAGACTTTTGTAAAAATATTGATATATCACCCAAATTTAGGAAATTTTATGACCTTCAGGCTGTCATATCACATCAGAACTTCTTTCACAAATGCATGTATCAATCCGATCCGTGATCTTATAGCTTGTAGGTCAAACAACTTACCATCACCACCTGTTGCCTCAATTGTGCCAGTGCCATCAAGATGGAATACTTCTACATAAATAGATCCCCCAGCCCCGCCTCCTGCTTTATTATCCCCGCCTGTTTCACCGTTGCTATGTAAACGACCTTCAACTCGCAGTTCATCAGAAACATGGAGATACATGATCCCTATTATAACAAAATTCAATGTTTACAGAAGTAATACTGATGATGAGTTTTTGTTCTAACTACAATACATGTACATAATATCAGCAAATTATAGCACAGATAAACATCATTTTGACATGACCTTCATGTATAAACATATATATATATATATGAACTCAAATGAGTTGCCAATAGTATTTAGAGGTTATATAACATTCAACTTTACAATACAGGAATATATTTTTTGATAAACATAAGTGCAGAATTTTACATTTTACATTTTAACAGCATTGTGTATTAATAATACAGCAACAAACATGGCAAAAACTTCATAAAAATACATGTGGTGAAGTTAAGATGATGATCTAAACAGGTGTATGAAAATTAGCCAAAAGATATAAAAATAAGACAAAAGATATAAAAATGAGACAAAAGATGTCTAGAAAAACATTACCTCCACCTCGTCCACCATTTCCATCTGGAGAATTTCCTCCACTACTGCCCATATCTGACGGGAGAGTGATTGAGTCATGGGCATATGATGAGAATATTCCCGACATACTCGGACCACCCCGGCCAGCATGACCACCTCCAGATCCACCACTCTCGTACTCGTTAGCATTTCTACCTCCACCCGGCCCTTCTCCATCGGAATATCCAGTAAAATCTGCATGGAAGTCACCTATGGAAAAAAAAATTCCTTTTTAATAAACAGACTGATAGAAGTTTAATATACAAAATGTATATATTTTTCAAGACAAATATTTAATTCAATCTAATGTTGAGAGAATGTTTTTTTTTAAATCTACATTTTCAGCTAAACTATGCGCTTCTAAAAAGATTGGAACTTTTCTTATGCCTCAGTAACACTCAGTGATATATTCAAGTATATCATATTCATTCAATTATAATTCTACCTTAAAACAAAAATAAAATCAGACAAGCTGTATATTACAAAAATATACAATTGTAAAAAAATCCAATCTTTACCATGACTGTTTATTTATACATTTGACATTTTCATCACCAAATACTTATTACATCTTAAGGTTCACATTTCTAATCAAATTCATGTTGCTGAAAAATGACAGTTTTTGATATTCCTTTGAAAAAAATGAAAAGTTTACCTGATAAATCAATTGTCACATTGGTTGCTCCAAGTTTTAGATTATTCGTCCTCAAGTAGCCATTTCCATTTATCTTTAGCCTTGTTACGTTCAACTTCATCTGTTCTTCGGCAGCGAGAGGTTCAAACTTTCCTCCAGCTCGCACAGAAATGTTCGTCGCTACCAGCTGACCAATGTCATAGCCATGCGAGTTAGCGTATGACCAGATATACAGCTCGCCAGCATTTTCAATATTGATAACGTCCATTCCATATATTGTCCCGTTGATTTCAACCCAGACTTCCCGCAGCGTAACCTTTTCTGGTACCTCTATACGGCTGTTTCTAAATACATATAACAGGAAATAAACTTCGTGAAACACTGACAGATAATAATTTTGAACAGTTAATTAAAACTGACCCAAGGTTTTATGTATCTGAATAAAGCACATGCAAATAAATTGTCCGTAAGTTATGAATATACCATCTACAATCACATGTACTTCAATGAACCTTAATTAAGGCAGACATGCATTATAAAATACCTTTAATATATATATTAAATATATATTTTACCTGTAAGCAGCCAAGTTTGCTGGAAGGTAAACATCCACTTCCTTCAACCTGACCGTCTGGTGTTTCCCAGCATGCAACACACCTGACCTATCACCCCACAGGAAGTCAAAGTCAACCTCTGTTTCATCTGAAGGCGAAGTACTTAAAATAGCAACATGTGCTTTGCCTCTAATATCAAGTTCTTTAAAGCCGTATGCCAGGTCCTCATGATAAAGCCATGTGACTCCACCAGCGTAACTTATGTCATCGTAATTCCCGTCGAGAAGACTTCTCAAGTCTCCTTCATCATAGATTGAAGCATGGGGATAATCGTGTCCGTTGTTGTCGACAATAAGTTTCTGTGTAAGCAGAGTACCGTTTGACATGGATGACTCGAGGTAGGAAGTCCCAGCTCCTCCTGTTTCACTGTTACTCACACCTGTATACAGGCAAATATTCAAAATTAAACAGTCAAATTATCCTGGAAATTTGAGAAAACTAGAAATGTGTCCTGGTTAAACATTAAGCTATTTTGTCAGTCCACAGACAGACAGACACAGTGTCAGAGGGTCAGACAGACAAGGGCAAATCTATACAAAATATAAATTTAAAAATTCTCCACCTATCTATTTAAAGATCAGGCTATAATGCAAATTGGAACTGTCACATATCTTTAATCACCAGATATTAACAAAATTAATAATGGAAATAAGATTTCTCTTAAATTCATAACTTGCTTTATTTTTTCAATTAATTCAATCAATAATACATTTTAAAAAGAAAACTTGCTGTTATTTTAGTGTAACAGTGCAACTATCTTAAATTTAAAAAGGAACTGCGATGATGTACAAAAGCCTTAATTTAATACATAAAAATTGAATTTCTTACACAGATCAGCTGGGGCACTTAAACAGAAAGATTATATGAAAAACATAATTAAGAAATATACTCATAAATAAATTGAAAACCATATTTTTTGTGATATTCATAGTCCAATTGGAATGAAAAACATTGTAACACTTAAGGGTCATTTTTTACATTTAGAATAATTATTTTACAAAAACAGAGTGAGAAAATGATCTGAAGTTTTTCTCAAGTTATTGTTCTGAACCTATACCTTATGTAATATTAATCTCAAAAATTATTTCCAGTCCTGTCATGTTAAAAAACCTCAGGGGAGTCCCTTTAAAGTAATTTGAATCATGTAGATTTTTCACATTATCATTTTATAATCAGAAAGCATTGTATACCTCCATAGGCTTGCATGGTAATGTTGAACTTTAAGAGATTGTCACACTGTACCGAGATACGACCTCCTGCCCCACCACCTCCGGCAGATCCTAGAGGTCCGCCACCGTTTCCACCGTTAGCCGTAAGGGTGCCGTGTCCAACTATCTCCTCACAAAGTATATGGATTGTACCGCCAGCCCCGCCACCTGTAATGTTTAATTTTTGTAAAATTATGTTTTTCTTTAATTGTAAACCAGGAAAGATTTTATTAAGCAAGAAGCTGGACTGCTTTTTGGTACAACTTGTAGTGGTTGGACCACTTGAATAAAAAGTTTTCCACTTTTAATAATGAATATATGACCTGATTCGTATCTTTATCATTATAATGATTGTCTATATAAATGTGACTGTGGTCTTTATTCAAAGGTGGTTTATTATCATACTTCATTCAGCAATGGTCTAAATGACAATATGGACTTCATTCAGCAATGGTCTAAATGACAATATGGACTATATTCAGAGATGGTCTAAATGACAATATGGACTATATTCAGAGATGGTCTAAATGACAATATGGACTATATTCAGAGATGGTCTAAATGACAATATGGACTATATTCAGAGATAGCTTAAATGACAATATGGACTATATTCAGAGATAGTCTAAATGACAATATGGACTATATTCAGAGATAGCTTAAATGACAATATGGACTATATTCAGCAATGGTCTAAATGACAATATGGACTATATTCAGCAATGGTCTAAATGACAATATGGACTATATTCAGAGATAGCTTAAATGACAATATGGACTATATTCAGAGATGGTCTAAATGACAATATGGACTATATTCAGAGATAGCTTAAATGACAATATGGACTATATTCAGCAATGGTCTAAATGACAATATGGACTATATTCAGAGATGGTCTAAATGACAATATGGACTTTATTCAGAGGTGGTCTAAATGACAATAATGGACTTTATTCAGAGGTGGTCTAAATGACAATATGGACTATATTCAGAGATAGCTTAAATGACAATATGGACTATATTCAGCAATGGTCTTACTGACAATATGGACTTCATTCAGAGATAGCTTAAATGACAATATGAACTATATTCAGAGATGGTCTAAATGAAAATATGGACTATATTCAGAGATGGTCTAAATGACAATATGGACTATATTCAGCAATGGTCTAAATGACAATATGGACTATATTCAGAGATAGCTTAAATGACAATATGGACTATATTCAGAGATGGTCTAAATGACAATATGGACTATATTCAGAGATAGCTTAAATGACAATATGGACTATATTCAGCAATGGTCTAAATGACAATATGGACTATATTCAGAGATGGTCTAAATGACAATATGGACTTTATTCAGCAATGGTCTAAAGGACAATAATGGACTTTATTCAGAGGTGGTCTAAATGACAATATTGACTATATACAGAGATAGCTTAAATGACAATATGGACTATATTCAGCAATGGTCTTAATGACAATATGGACTGTATTCAGAGATAGCTTAAATGACAAAATGGACTTTATTCAGCAATGGTCTAAATGACAATATGGAATTTATTCAGAGATGGTCTAAATGACAATATGGACTATATTCAGAGATGGTCTAAATGACAATATGGACTTTATTCAGAGATGGTCAAAATGACAATATGGACTATATTCAGAGATGGTCTAAATGACAATATGGACTTTATTCAGCAATGGTCTAAATGACAATATGGACTATATTCAGAGATGGTCTAAATGACAATATGGACTATATTCAGAGATGGTCTAAATGACAATATGGACTATATTCAGAGATAGCTTCAATGACAATATGGACTATATTCAGCAATGGTCTAAATGACAATATGGACTATATTCAGAGATAGCTTAAATGACAATATGGACTATATTCAGCAATGGTCTAAATGACAATATGGACTATATTCAGAGATGGTCTAAATGACAATATGGACTATATTCAGAGATGGTCTAAATGACAATATGGACTTTATTCAGAGGTGGTCTAAATGACAATATGGACTATATTCAGCAATGGTCTAAATGACAATATGGGCTATATTCAGAGATGGTCTAAATGACAATATGGACTATATTCAGAGATGGTCTAAATGACAATATGGACTTTATTCAGCAATGGTCTAAATGACAATATGGACTATATTCAGAGATGGTCTAAATGACAATATGGACTTTATTCAGCAATGGTCTTAATGACAATATTAACTTTATTCAGAGATGGTCTAAATGACAATATGGACTATATTCAGAGATGGTCTAAATGACAATATGGACTTTATTAAGAGATGGTCTAAATGACAATATGGACTTTATTCAGCAATGGTCTAAATGACAATATGGACTATATTCAGCAATGGTCTAAATGACAATATATGGACTTTATTCAGAGATGGTCTAAATGACAATATGGACTTTATTCAGCAATGGTCTAAATGACAATATGGACTTTATTCAGCAAAAGTCTAAATGACAATATGGCCTTTATTCATGGTCTAAATGACAATATGGACTATATTAAGAGATGGTCTAAATGACAATATGGACTATATTAAGAGATGGTCTAAATGACAATATGGACTTTATTCAGCAATGGTCTAAACGCGGTATGGACTATATTCAGCAATGGTCTAAACGACAATATAGACTATATTCAGCAATGGTCTAAATGACAATATTAACTTTATTCAGAGATGGTCTAAATGACAATATGGACTTTATTCAGCAATGGTCTAAATGACAATATGGACTTTATTCAGCAAAAGTCTAAATGACAATATGGCCTTTATTAAGAGATGGTCTAAATGACAATATGGACTTTATTCAGAGTCGGTCTAAATGACAATATGGACTTTATTCAGCAATGGTCTAAATGACAATATGGACTTTATTCAGCAATGGTCTAAACGACAATATTGACTTTATTCATGGTCTAAATGACAATATGGACTTTATTAAGAGATGTTCTAAATGACAATATGGACTTTATTCAGAGATGGTCTAAATGACAATATGGACTTTATTCAGAGATGGTCTAAATGACAATATGGACTTTATTCAGCAAAAGTCTAAATGACAATATGGCATTTATTCAGAGATGGTCTAAATGACAATATGGACTATATTCAGAGGTGGTCTAAAAATGTGTTAAAATTGGCATAAAACCAGAAAAACAAACAAAATTTCAAATTACAATCAAAGTGATCATTAAATCTGTTTTGCTTTTCCGGAAATATTAAATACTTTAATTATAATTCTGTCAAAGTCTGGTCCTAAATAACAAAAGGAAACCTACCTGCACCAGTGTCAAACCGGTCATCTGGGGTGTTACCATTGGCTGAAATAAGTCCATCGATATCTACGTGTCGACTTATCAAGGAGAAGGCTCCTCCTCCGGCCCCACCTATGGTCTTATATACAAGTTGATTACCCCATGCGTTATCACCAAAGTATAAGGCACCTATAAATTAAAAGGGTATTTTGTTGATTTTTTTTTGTGATTTTTTTTTTTGTTGTTTTTTTTTTATTAAAATCTTCAGTTCATGCACATAGACAAATTATCAAATAATTTAAATGGTATGGAAAATTTGTTTTTTATTTTGACAAGCATAAAAAAGAACTTATTCAGTGTTTTAATACCTGGCTATACAACTTAAACTAACTAAAATAAGAAGTAACATTAACAAATAGCTATGTAATTAATCTAATAAGATTGAAATTAAAGAACAAAAAGTAAAATCATTATTTTACTTAGGCCAGTGGGTTTCTTTGCTTGTAAAATAGCACTGATAAATACATACCATGTATTCTCATATTTTAAAATAGAGAGAATATAATTACTGTTTTGCAGGAAGAAATAACTAAAATGTTATACTTACCGTATAAATATCCAAATCCACCAGCAGAGCCTGCCAAACTTGGAATGTACAAAGAATCATATCCTATACCAACGATTGTCAGGCCCGAGCCTCGGCCACCACTACCACCATGGCCTCCTCCACTTCCACCCAAAACTGAACCTAATAAAGTATCAATGGTATTTAGTTTAAACAAATTTATTTCAGTTGAAAGCTATTAATTTACTGAAACACTCTCGAATCCATTCCTGGAACCAAGCAGTACTAAGCAATGAATGTAAAGTTTCTTGCTCAAGGAAACAACGGCTTGCCCCTCACTGGGTTTGAACCTACGCCATCAGCAATCCCTAAATTACTAATCTGACGCTTTAACCACTTATCCACCTCGCCAATATAATTGGTATATAATCTGAATACACCAACACCATATGCTTCAAGCCATAAAATATTTAGTGTAAACTTTTTTCATTTAATTAATCTACTATAATTTCTCTCTGGTGAATATGCTTTTTCTTTCAAACAATTTTAAAAATACAAAAATTAAAGTGTGTCTGACTGTCATTTCCCAAAGAACTAACTCAATTTAACATTATATCAGATTATTTCTTTATTTATTATAATATTTTTCAAATTTAAGTCTTCAATCTTAAAACCCAAACAATCTTGAAAAGTCGTTTAAGAATAATAATGATGTTGATACGAGAAACTTGATGTATGTGGTGGAATAATATTGTAGTCAAGGAGTGAAAATTGGCAACAGTTACAATGGTCATGTGTTCCATCAAAAAATTCAAAAAGCATTTTATAACAAGAGGGCCATGATGGCCCTGAGGTCGCTCACCTGTACATAGGCCCCCCCCAAAGTTGCAGGGCCAATTTAACCCAAGGGCTTTTATTTGCACAAACTTGGTAGACACCCATAAGAAGATGTTTCATGCTAAACATCTAAGCTCTAGCTATTTGGGCTTTTTAAAAGAAGATTTTTTTTAAGTTTTTACTATACACATATAGTTAAAAACAATGACACCCCTGGGGCAGGGCCAGTTTTGACCCCATGGCTTTTATTTGAACAAACTTTGTAGACACTTACTAGAAGATGTTTCATGCTTAATATCTAAACTCTAGCTATTTGGGTTTTTTCAAAGAAGATTTTAAGTTTTTGCTATACACATATAAAGAAAATCAATGACCCCCGGGGCGGGGCCAATTTTGACCCCAAGTCTTTCATTTGAACAAACTTTGTAGACACTCACTAAAAGATGTTTCATGCTTAATATCTTAACTCTAGCTATTTGGGTTTTTTCAAAGAAGATTTTTTAAGATTTTGCTATACACATATAAGGAAAATCAATGACCCCCCGGTCGGGGCTGTGCCAATTTTGAACCCGGGGCTTTTATTTGAACAAACTTGGTAGACACCTATTAGAACATGTTTCATGCTCAATATCTTAGACATAGCTCTTTGAGTTCTTTAAAAGAAGATTTTTTAAGTTTTTACTATATGCATATGGGGAAAATCAATGACCCCCCGGGGCGGGGCCAATTTTGACCCCAGGGCTTTTATTTGAACAAACTTGGTAGACACTTATTAGAACATGTTTCATGCTAAATATCTTAGCTCTAACTCTTTTGGCTCTTTAAAAGAAGATTTTTTAAGTTTTTACTATATGCATATAGGGAAAATCAATGACCCCCTGGGGCGGGGCCAATTTTGACCCCAGGGCTTTTATTTGAACAAACTTGGTAGACACTTATTAGAACATGTTTCATGCTAAATATCTTAGCTCTAAAACTCTTTTTGGTTCTTTAAAAGAAAGATTTTTTAAGTTTTTACTATATGCATATAGGGAAAATCAATGACCCCCCGGGGCGGGGCCAATTTTGACCCCAGGGCTTTTATTTGAACAAACTTTGTAGACACACATTAGAACATGTTTCATGCTAAATATCTTAGCTCTAACTCTTTTGGTTCTTTAAAAGAAGATTTTTTAAGTTTTTACTATATGCATATAGGGAAAATCAATGACCCCCTGGGGCGGGGCCAATTTTGACCCCAGGGCTTTTATTAGAACAAACTTGGTAGACACTTATTAGAACATGTTTCATGCTCAATATCTTAGCCATAGCTCTTTGAGTTCTTTAAAAGAAGATTTTTTAAGTTTTTACTATATGCATTTAGGGAAAATCAATGACCCCCCGGGGCGGGGCCAATTTTGACCCCAGGGCTTTTATTTGAACAAACTTGGTAGACACCCATTAGAACATGTTTCATGCTAAATATCTTAGCTCTAGCTCTTTGGGTTCTTTAAAAGAAGATTTTTTAAGTTTTTACTATATGCATTTAGGGAAAATCAATGACCCCCGGGGGCGGGGCCAATTTTGACACCAGGGCTTTTATTTGAACAATTTTGGTAGACACCCATTAGATCATGTTTCATGCTAAATATCTTAGCTCTAGCTCTTTGGGTTCTTTAAAAGAAGATTTTTTAAATTTTTTTACTATATGCATATAGGGAAAATCAATGACCCCCCGGGGCGGGGCCAATTTTGACCCCAGGGCTTTTATTTGAACAAACTTGGTAGACACTCACTAGAAGGTGTTTCATGCCAAATATCTAAGCTCTGACTCTTATGGTTTTTATAAGAAGATATTTAAAGTTTTTTCTTTCGGTTGCCATGGCAACCAGAGTTCTGCATGGAATTAAATTCTTTGAACAATTTTTAAAGGTGACCACCAAAGGAACATTCCTGTGAAGTTTGGATGAAATTGGCTTAGTGGTTAATGAGGAGATGTCATTTAAAGTTAAAAGTTTACGGACGGACGACGGACGGACGCCGGACAAAAAGCGATCACAAAAGCTCACCCTGTCACTTTGTGACAGGTGAGCTAAAAACTATGTATGTATAAATTCAAAAATCCATCAATTAGAGACATATTGCCATTGATGGTTTTGTATTTTGTTTTAAACTTCAAAAAGCATTTTATAAAAACTATGTATGTATAAATTAAAAAGACAGTCAAATTCAGACATATTGCCATTAATGGTATTGTATTTTGTTTTAAACATACCTTGTCCAGGGCCAGGACCCTGGTTCTCGGTGATGGGTGCAGGCTGGAACCCGGCTCCATTAAAGCTAAACACACCACCGGAATACACCGCCAATAAATGATGCACATGCATATTCAAGCTCGTATTCACTTTAAAAAGACCACCCCCATAAATCTGAAATGAGAATATAGCACTTAAATTCATGTTGACTCAATACTGAGTGACGGGAGTCTTTAATTGTAGCCAATACCATATAAAATATTGCCTGCACTAAAGCCCAAATAAATCAAATTATTTGAAGATGATAGTTTCAAATTTTAAGACCATATTTGAATTTCAAATGAACAAAAGGTTTCACTCCTTTTATTCCTCATTTTTGTTGATCACCTATATACATTAAGTATATTCTACTGTAATTTAACTCTTAAGCCTGCTGGCAGCAACTACCAATCTGGCCAGTGCAGACCAATATCAGCTGGCTCATCCATACAGACTGATCATGGTCTGTGCTAGAGCTGTCATCGATATCGACAATATCGATGTATCGTTGATATTTTTTTGCCGATCAATAATCGATACACATTTTAAAAAATCGATACTTTTGACTTATAAATTAAATGTCTAGAAATTATAAAATTCACCCAAAATATATACAGAAGCAGTTATTTATATCTAATGTTATGCTTTTGTTAATATATAGTTGAATTATTTCATAGCAATGGTGACAAAAAATATTGTCTGGAAAAAATCATGCAGTGGACAAGACACAGTACAGAACATGTTTTTGACTGAAATCATTGAAACAGGTATGAAAGAGAATGTATAGGATATTATCGATATATCTGTGTATCGTTGATTTTAGTCACTTGATATCGATATATTGTTGATGTGCTTTGTACTGAATCAATGACAGCTCTAGTCTGTGCACTGTTTGCTGTTAAGTCACTACATATTTTGAACTTTTCCCTTAAACCTTCATTGTATTTTAAACATTTTTTAAATAAAAAAAACAAGAGCTGTCGGTAGGACAGCATGCTCGACTATTCTAAGTGCTTGATAGTAAAAAAAATGCCTGATACAGTTACCTCCTCCTGTTTACAGGTTGGGGTCATGATGGTGAACAAGTGTGCAAAGTTTCAAAGCCATATGTCAATGGACTTTGAAAATATTTGAACTATTACAAAAACTTTAACGTAAATTCTAAGTCGAAAAAGGGGCATAATTCTGTCAAAATGCTTGATAGAGTTACCTCCTCCTGTTTACAGGTTGGGGTCATGATGTTGAACAAGTGTGCAAAGTTTCAAAGCCATATGTCAATGGACTTTGAAAATATTTGAACTATTACAAAAACTTTAACGTAAATTCTAAGTCGAAAAAGGGGCATAATTCTGTCAAAATGCTTAATAGAGTTACCTCCTGCTGTCTACAGGTTGGGGTCATGATGTTGAACAAGTGTGCAAAGTTTCAAAACCATATGTCTATGGACTTTGAAAATATTTGAACTATTACAAAAACTTTAACGTAATTTCTAAGTCGAAAAAGGGGCATAATTCTGTCAAAATGCTTGATAGAGTTACCTCCTCCTGTCTACAGGTTGGGGTCATGATGGTGAACAAGTGTGCAAAGTTTCAAAGCCATATGTCAATGGACTTTGAAAATATTTGAACTATTACAAAAACTTTAACGTAAATTCTAAGTCGAAAAAGGGGCATAATTCTGTCAAAATGCTTGATAGAGTTACCTCCTCCTGTCTACAGGTTGGGGTCATGATGGTGAACAAGTGTGCAAAGTTTCAAAGCCATATGTCAATGGACTTTGAAAATATTTGAACTATTACAAAAACTTTAACGTAAATTCTAAGTCGAAAAAGGGGCATAATTCTGTCAAAATACTTGATAGAGTTACCTCCTCCTGTCTACAGGTTGGGGTCATGATGGTGAACAAGTGTGCAAAGTTTCAAAGCCATATGTCAATGGACTTTGAAAATATTTGAACTATTACAAAAACTTTAACGTAAATTCTAAGTCGAAAAAGGGGCATAATTCTGTCAAAATGCTTGATAGAGTTACCTCCTCCTGTCTACAGGTTGGGGTCATGATGGTGAACAAGTGTGCAAAGTTTCAAAGCCATATGTCAATGGACTTTGAAAATATTTGAACTATTACAAAAACTTTAACGTAAATTCTAAGTCGAAAAAGGGGCATAATTCTGTCAAAATGCTTGATAGAGTTACCTCCTCCTGTCTACAGGTTGGGGTCATGATGGTGAACAAGTGTGCAAAGTTTCAAAGCCATATGTCAATGGACTTTGAAAATATTTGAACTATTACAAAAACTTTAACATAAGTGGTTACGCCGACGCCGACGCCGACGCCGACGCTCGGGTGACTGCAATAGCTCTACTTATTCTTATCGAATAGTCGAGCTAAAAATAATAATTTTTACATTTTGTTAAGTCATATGCATATCAAACACTCACTTAAATTTTTATTATTTCCACATTTAATATTCATAAGTTATTTCAATCATTAATATGCAATTTTAATGCTAAGAAACAATAAGAAAATATCAACTGAGAGTAAATACAATAACCACAGAACTCACCGAGACATTAGTTGCGTCAATAGTGAACGATTTCTCTGGTGAGTCGGACCAAAGTTCAAAGATGCCAGCCTCTTGGACATGCAATGACTTCAGAGAGACGGTAGATGGCGCATGATCTGTTGCTAGGCTACTGTCAACATCCAGGGAAACTAGGCCATCTTTAAAAACATATAGGTCTTCCATACCAGAAACCTGAAAATGTTCAACTCAAATTTATTTGACCGTTTAGTCGCAACTAAACTCTATTTGTAAGCATAATTTCTTACCATATATAGTCTGGCAAATGAATAACAAATGTTCATGTATTCAGACTTTTAACAAATATTACCCATTTATAATTTTTTTTTTTCTGTTAGTCACTTTAAGTCAGAGTATAAAATGCAAACAACTCCACAGAAATAACTTAAATCTCAAAAGATAAATAGGATCATGGCAACTTCTAAAGAGCAATTCTCTGTAGAGAAAATCGCTAAGATCAATTATTAGGAAGATAAGCCAATATCTTATCCATGATCGCTTGGTTTGATCCTCAGGCAAGACAAAATCACTCATTGACAATTTGTCTTGAACATTGAGTCTAATAGTCATTTGATAAATGAATAAGGAATAAACTCAAGTTATGTACACTTTAATATATTAAATTTACATATTAAAAAAGTTTACGCACCTTGCCTTTAATGGCATATAGTTTTGTCTTGTAGAAGAAATTTCTCGGAGGAAATGTGACATGGCTTTCTTCATACACGTAGGTATTAAATGGCACGTCATAATCTGTGCTCTCAATTGTCAAGTCATGGTTGTGTAACAAATGGATGTAACCTGAATACAATCGGAAAAATAAAATAATTTTATAATATCATATATAAATAATAACACAATAACAAATTTTCTTGTACAAGAAATTGATCTAACCTGAACTGAATAATGTTGTTATGCAATAAAAATGACTACTTACTAGTATTACAAACCTGCGTTGTGAATATGCTGGCATTTGACTTTGTAACAGTCCATTGAAATTCAAGGGAATTCACAAAAAAAAATTTAAAAATTGTACAATCAGAGCCTGGTCAGGATAAATGGATGTGCACAGCAGATGGCTGGCTTGACTCTAAATTGACAACAATGGCATGCAATTAGATATGCTAGCATTCAAAATATTAAAGATCCTACATTCATTCTTCAAATAAATGTCAATCACAATAGATGCATTTCATGTAACATGCATTACCTACCCTTGTCACCAATTTGAAAGCATTCCCACTATAATATTTTCTATTATAATACTCACTCATGGTATGTTTGTAACGTCCCTTTCAATTAATATAACCACAATGTTTACATGATGATAAACTTTATACACAAACGCTGTTAATTTTTGAAGCAATTTCATGTTTTCCTCTAACAAAGGAAGTTTGCTCTATTATAAATTGGTTATATATTGACTTAGCAGCTTGGGTTATATATACATGCAGCCATTTATAATGGGTCATTATAACCTGTCAAATTCTTATACATGTAAGCAATAATATAAAAAGTCTTTTCTCACAATAATATCACCATCATGTAAGCTGATAAAAACTTTTCTGACATTGTTGCAATAATAAAATCTTTCTTCATTTATGTTAAAGAAACTGAAAATTCACAGATACCATCAGTGGATTATGCTCATTTTCTTATTTTTTCATTTACAATAAAATATTAAATCAAAATGTTTGCCATTTTTGTCAAGGGAGCTAAATATTGTAAGTATTGGAAACTATCTTTTTTTGTCAAGGGAGATAAATATTGTAAGTATTGAAAACTATCAGAACCTGTCTTATCTCCAACAATGTTCCCAGCCACAATAGAAGCCTGACTTTGACTGGCTCCATAATCAAATGCCAAGTGGGCATTCCCTTTAATGTAAATTTCACTGAAGCTGAACGTCTCTCCAACAGTTGCTGGTATCCATGTGGAAGCCCCAGCATGGCTTGCATGCATCATTCTACAATAACAACATTTCTCATTCAAAATCTATACTGAATATTAAACTTCCAGAAAGGAACATTCCCTGCCTTAAAGGGACATGCCCTGCTTTTATCTATTTTTGTTTTTGTTTTCATTATGAAAGTCTGTAAACTGTGAAAAGTTTATGCCCCAATTGCAGTTATTGAGTTTTCTGATCATCAGCAGTTATTTTTCTTTGAGTGCACACAATGTGCTTCTATTAGTCTATATATCTATATTATTTCTATAGAAAAATCACTGACAGTGTTAGGACACTAATTTCAAATAAATGATGTAAAATTTCAAAATATCAATTCTTACTGACTTAAAGCAGCATGCCTCCAGATTCATGTTAGTTTTCATGAAAATGTTCAAAGTGTATTTCGATCAAAGTAAAATATTGTGAAGTAAACAAAGAAAGTTATTTTGCATTGCAAACCACATTAAAATCCAACTAAATCACCAAATAGATAATAGCCAAAATATGCTAAACTAGCCCTTAATGTATTAGTCATGCATTAGAAATATAGTAACAGAAACTGCAAAATCAGTCATTAATTGCTTATTGTACATACAATGTAATATGTAAATTATTACTTAAATCTTGAATCTTTCTACTTTCTTATATTCTAAGTTCATCTATGTCAAGTTTGATTTTCTTGTTATAGTTTGGCTTATCTAAAGGCATGCAGCTTTAAATATGGCTCTGAATAATTCTACAAGTTGTATTAAAAACAAAACTAAAAGCCCTCATTAACATCCTTAAGATATCAAACTATCAATGTTAACAAGGGGATTGGAGGCCTAATGGTTTCGGTGTCTGCTTAATAGGTTTGAACCCTACTTGTGTCACGACCATGTCTCTTCATATGAGACCAGTACTGGTTGCATCGAGGAAGCGGATTCGAAACTAATTAATATAAGTTGCAAGAAATTGTTTCACAATTGAGTTTAAATAAATACGTTTAAAATAAATTATCAAACAGGGTACCAAAAAAATTATATTTTAATATAGAACTTTAAGATTCACCTGAGATCACTTGTTGAAGCCTTGTAAAATATTTCGATCTCGGAGAGGGCAACATATGAATGGGTGGCACCAGATCCTAGTAGATCAAACTCGAACTTCAAAGCCTGTCGATGAACAGGGAGATCAATGTACGATCCTTGGGTCCCGTAATTACTGGGTTCAACATAGTTGTTGCTAGTTACTGGGAATGCCTCGTCACTTGCTGTATAACCAGTAACCTGAAAGAAAGTATACATGCAGAATTACAATTTGACATTTATCACATAGACTGTTACTTTTTACTTCTTTTAGTGCAAGAGATATTACTGGATAGTTTTGGTATATAGGACTAAATTTTTTGTAAGTTATGGTAATGGTTATAAGTTAACACCAGTCACATGGAATGATACCACTTTTACTGTGCAAAATAATACCCTCAATGTAAGTATATAGGACCGCAAAGAAAATATAATTCCTGGATAAGAATATGACATCAAATCACATCAAATTTACTTCTTTTGATATCGCATGGTAAATATATAGGATTGTTAAGTTAATACAATAGAACTTTAGTTAGTGGAAGTTAAAAGGACTTACATAAAAACTTCGACACATCTGGACTTCGATTCATGAATAGGTCCCAATTTAATGACAAAATTTTGACCAGTTGACGTTTGCAAGCAAGTTACTAAACTTTGTACTTTCATAATTACAACAATTGAAACAATTATGTCCACAAAAAGTATTTTCTTCATTGACATTTTCTTTCACTTGATTACTAAATGAGAAATGCCATTAAAAGAAACTTACCATAAACTTAGTGTAGTGCTGGACTATTGGGAACACTTTAACCTTTGTGATATACATAGCTTCTATGAGGGTAATTGTAACTTTTGCCGAGCCTGACTCAGCCATAAAGTAATCTTTTTCTGAAGTTCGAAGGGTATGATCAAACAAGTGATGCAGTCTATAAAACGAGGGTGAATTAATGTATGGGCAGTACCAGCCACAGTCGTAGTAACAATAACAGTTATAGATAGACTGGTCCACTTCCACCTGAAAATACAAAAGTAGGTCAAATAAAATTAACTTTAAAGTGGAATGGTCTACAGTAAGCAACGTTTCCATAAGCATTTCAAAAGTTGACAAAATCAACCAAAATATATCTGATTATCAGATGATTTTGGATAAACTTCTTACAAAATATATCTTGAATAAATAACAGTTAATACTATGTTCTATGTGATTTTGTATGAACATTAATATAATTAATATAATGAATAATAACATTTTATTCTAGATTAATTTATTATCTGCTATATAAATATATTTAATTTTAGATCATATAAATCACACTTGTATCATAGTTTGGGGACCTTTCTGTTATACATGTGACAGCGTTAAATCGTATACATATACATGCACAGTGCGTTAAACTGGAGTGCAGGTATTAGTGACCTGCACTCAAGAGCATGCCCATTGATTGGCTCATTTTGTCCGGAGTTTACATATTGTGACAACAGAGAAAGGGATAGCGATGGAAATATCATATTCAGATGCTCATGCATTGGTTACTTTTTTGTGGGGTTTCATATTGTGGTATCAGGGAACCTGTTTTTATGTTTGACTATGATACAAAAGAGATAGAAAATCAAAACACTCGGCAATCTGACCTCGGGGGCTTTGTAACCTCCCCTCATACAAATCAGATAGCCTCATGTTTCGATACTCTTTCTATTACTTACCAACAACTTCCTTATTTGTTTGTTGTTATGACTTGTATTAAAAACTACAGTGGAACCTGTCTAATCCGAACTCTTCCGGACCAGAAGAAAAGTTCGGATTAGAAAGGTTTCCGGATTAGAAAGGTTTCCGAATTAGAAGGTTTTTTACATGTTTTTTTTATGTTATTTGCAAAATAGTTTAAGGAAAGAAAACGGGATTGCATTTGAAATTGCAATTTAGATATTTCATTTTTGCAGTCACTTATCGTTCATTTATTACATGTGAATACAAAAATAAAGAATTAAAAATAAAAAAATAAGCAAAAGTATTATGTTCTAGAGGGTAAGTTAACCTACGATGTTAAACAGGAGGCCGAGACATGATTAGATATTCGTACAAGCATTTGTCAATTGTTGTTTACTCTTATTCGATTCAGCGACTATCCGAACTCATTGACAGTTTCCATTAATTTTCATTACTTTAGAATCACATATCATTGAATCCAATACAAGGGATTAAAAGATATTTCTATTGCATTATATCACAATATTTATAGAAGCTGACGAAAAACAATCAATTAAGCAATTATAGAAGATATCAAGACAAGCTAAGTGTAATTTTCACACCTTCGCAGATCTTACGTTTCACCCATTAATCAAGCGAAATAACACATCAGTTTGGTGTATGTTTACACCTCCAAGATGTGCGATTATTTGTTATTTTGAATGAAGGTGTGACATTTAGTAAAATCTGTTCGGATCCGAGAGGTAAATTTTAGAGTAAAATAAGAACAAAAATTGAAAAAATCGTCCGGAATTCGGAGTAGACAGGTTCCGGATCCGAAAGGTTTTTTACTATTGCAAATAGAACAAATAAAATCGAGACCGGACACTTCGTTCGGATAAGAAAGGATTCCGAATTAGAGGGGTTCGGATTAGCAAGGCTCCACTGTATCAACATACTAATTATGAGTGAGAGACATTGAATGACCACAGATTCATAACTATATTAACTTACAGAATGTCCTTCTTTAGTGACAAATGAAGTTTCTTTGCTATAATCTGAAGTGAAAGATGACAGATCCACCCGAGACCCTTCGTCTGCAATTTCAGTATCTTCAGCAATCTGCTCTTGCCCATTGTTGTCAACTTGTAGCATTCTGTAAAGAAATTTTGTAGTTTATTTCTCAAAAAAACTTCAGCATTTACACTTTGTTCAGGCTTAAGTTTTTCAATGTATTTTCCTTTTGGTTTGAGTAATACACAATAAATTTAATATACCATGTGGCAATTTTAGATTTTCTCTAAAGGGAGAGAACCCTTAAAGTCCTTTTTTTGCATTATTTCACTATGGGTAGAAGGCAAGGGCGTCTGTGGCCATGTGGGTAACCTTTTTGACTTCAAACCACTTGCCCCTCAAAGCTGTGGGATTGAATCCCACCAGGGATTAAGGATTTTTTCATGTGAGGAAGCTATTCAGCTAGCTTAAAGAATGTCTGGTTCTACTTAGGTGCCCATTCCTGACAGACAATGCACAGAGGTCTTCCTCCACCAGTTAAGCTCAAAGGTCGCCATATGACCTCTGTTGGTGTAATGTAAACCCCACCCCCCCAAAAAACAAACAAAAAAACAAAAACACCTTAAGTTCTCGACCTATCTGCACATTTCTTTCACCTATACAATAACTTTCATACAGACTAGCAGACAAGCTTCCACTAGAGCATTACCGAGGACAAAAGAAACTTCTAGGAAGGAGTACGGACTTTCAAAGACAACAACTTTGTGACAAACATATAAATGATTGTGGATAGCTTTCGCATATGACATACATAAAAATTGGTGCATATTCTTCACATGAATAGCTTCCGTTGAACATAGATACAGGCATTCATAAGATAGTTTGATGAAAAGATGAGTATGATAAGAGTTTCCTTAGACATACAGTACATTAGTTTAGATAGCTTCTTTTAAGACAGAGATGGGTGCGGGCAATATCTTCAAACACAAAGATGGGTATGGCCGGCTACATCTGAAACATAAATATTGTTACAGATATTTTCCCTTGAAATAGAGATCTGTTCTGTAAACACAGAGCTGATCTCTTTCTTTAGCAAAGGGATCTCTTCAGTAAATATACATAATTATCTCTTCCATAATCACAGAGATCTCTTCTTTGAGTACAGAGATCACTTCCCTAAATATAGAGATCAGGTTAGATAGCATCATAGGACAGAATTTCAATATAGAAAATTTCTTAAAATAAAGACATAGCATTCTTTTTTGCTGGACCTGAGGAAATGAAATCTGTGGCAAAGAACTGACTTTTGATCAACTTGCTTACAGTCACAGATATATAGGTTAACATATAACAAAAATCAATGTGTCATTTAAGGTGATTCAAAGAACTACATAGTACAATATAATTATGTTATGAAATTATTTCAAACATTTGCTTAATTTTAAGAAAACAACAATAATTGTAAATAACCAGACACAAAGCCTAAGCCACCAATGTAGAAAGCAATACCTAAAAAGTCTTTCTAAATAACATTATAATACTGCATGTTTGTAAAAACTGTTGATCATGACGTTTATATAGTTTTTATATTCACAGCTGCTGTCCTTTTACAAAGAAATCTCTCCCTTTTTTTCCCAGATTTTATATACAAGCAACTGTTTATATAGGGCCATATAACCTGTCAAAAATCTTTATAACTAATATCATAATCATTAGTAAATTGCTATACTGAAAATATTCTTACGTATACGATCTTTCATCATCTTGTACATAAACTGTCCCTGAAGCACCAGCCTCAGCATCTGTTCCAGGGGCTCCTCCATGTGTATCAAAATATCCCCTGTGATAAGGTATTGTGTCATGACGTGAATGATAGAGCGCAATCCTCCCTCCAGACCCACCACCACCAGATGTCAGATCCCCTGAGCCCCCAAGAGCCTGTATGTGCCCGGTATGACTTCCTGTAAATGTATCCAGTTCATAAATAATGTTATAAAAACAAACTTTCTGTAACAATTTAAGACCCGAGGTAAATATTTATGTAATATTTGATCAAGTCTATTTTTATCACTTGATTTTTTTTTTCATTTTTCATCAAACTTGGCTAAGAAGCACAGCATCAACAAGAACAATATAACTAGATGTTCCTGATGTTTTATCAATTATAATCAAAACAATTATAGACTAGTTCTTTATCATAGACCCAATATTTCATAATATACATTGTATGTTTTTTTCTTTGCCATGATAGATAACTGGACAGTGAGATAATATTATAGGCTCTTCTGAATATACACTTAATGTTAACAAATGTTAAAAGTGTACATCTACATGTATAAATGATCACCTATATATGGGTCTTAATAATAGGCTCACGCAATCATACTAGAATTTTCAATAAATACAGCTAAGAGACATTATGTGAGATTCATTTTACTTATTCAATTTTATAATAAACACAAATGCAACACATGCGCTCGATGTATGTGATTTTATAGAAAACATTAAGTGTAAATTATTAAAATACTGCATATTCCCACTGTAGCTTGGTAGCATATTCATGGTAGCATTGTCGCACTTATGCTACAAAACTATACCTTCATCACTTTTATAATAATGACTATATAGTGTCCGTACACAAAAATATGAATTGTCTTGCAAAATTTGGGACTCAAGTATAACATACCTGTAAAGTTATGGGTCCATATTTGAATGCTGCCCCCACTGCCACCACTAGCACCATCATTTATTACACTCTTGGTGTTCTCACTGTTCGCTATGATATAACCATCAACGGTCAAAGTGTGAGCAACTTCCATTTTGATTACACCACCACCTGAAATATATATTTTGAATGAAAATGAAAAGCCATTACAATTAAACTTGTACTGTACTGGTTTCCTAGCAGTTTCCGTCCCCTAGCAGTTTTCCAGCTGTTTATCATTTTCGTCCAGTACAGACTATTTTTACCAGTGTCACTCAGGCATCCACATTAATTTATCAATCAGAGAGACATTTGTTTTCTATGCTAAACAACATATTAAATAGTACAATGATTTAAATCTTTTTAAGTTTTGCCTGTTATTTAAAGTAACATAAGAGAACTTGCGACTTTTAAAAATTAGCAACACCTGGGGAATTCTAGTTTGAATATCCATGCGCAATAACTAAGACCCCATTTTAGGTAAATCAATATTTCGGAAAATAGTTTTGCAGACGACACAGAAAAGGTTGGGAAGTTCTGTTTGTCTGATAAAACCATCTTAACATTGCTTAAGTTACTGGATTATTACTCAAAATAAAAAAAGTCCGGAAAACTTCTATGAATTTTTTAATAAAGCTGAAAAAAAGTGTTACATTTCAGGCCTATATTCAAATTAAAAAGTAAAATGAAAGTGCAACATAAAACACATGGCAATGCTGGACAGGTACCTAACTTTATCCTGTCAAAGTTTTGTACCCCTCCGTAATCTGATATTTTTTTTATTTGTTAAAAAGTGCGATTTGTGCAAACTGCAAACCAGTACTGGTTGAGGACCTATAATCAGATAATCCTATATCAAAACTGCACAACCATCAAACCCGGACGGCCCCGAAAATGTCTGATTTACATTAAGGCCTACTTAAAATCTAGTTTATACAAATTTATATAAGTTCGATTGTGTTGGCCGCTATAATTAAGCTTATTGAAACACTCTTGTATCCGTTCCTGGAACCAACCAATACTAAGCAATGAATGTATCAAGTTTCTTGCTCAACGAAACAACGGCTTGCCCCTGACAGTGTTTGAACAAAGGGGTATGGCTCATTGAATGGTCACAAAATATGTATTTGATCAAATACATATTTGGGTTTGAACCCACGCTGTCAAAGGGACCCGGCACAGTGTTTGGATAGTGTAAAAAAAGTAATTCTAGAAATAAAAATATGTTATATATAATATATAGACCTTGTCTATATTATATATATTACATATAAACTATATATATTTTTTTCTAGAATTACTTTTTTCCACTATCCCGACACTGTGCCGGTCCCTATGCACGCGCTTAGATTACTAATCCGACGCGTTAACCACTCGGCCACGCCGCCACTTTGTTCAGACAACAGTGGTTGTCGATCAATCAAAAAAATAAGAAAAGAAAAACGATACATTTCATATATCTGCCAGTTCCTCTGAGTCACCACTGTCATTTTCTTAAACAGTAGTGCAAATGTCGTTTTATTTTCAAGAGAAGTAACTCTTTTTTTCTAGATAATTTACAAGGGTTAAATGCAAATGGCGTTTTATTATCAGGGGACGTAATGCATCTGTAGTATACAGCAGAGCAGAAGGATAATTTTTAGCTACATAATGAAGACAATGATTTGACAGATTTGTTAGACTCTTTATACACATTGTTAGCCTTTGCAAAAATGTGCTAATTTAACATCGGTATAGATAAAGGTATATATCGTACACAGCTTGAAAAGTCATATTGAACTCGTCTATCGGCTTGTCCAATATGACTTTTCAAGCTGTGTACTCGTCCAACTATTCCCGTATTGTAGAGTAAAATGTATAATAACCTATAATTCTTATACAGAAACTATTTTCATATAGATCTTATTTCCTTAAGGATTTTATTTTCATACAGCTTTAATTTTCACAGATATTATTCTCCTAAAAATCTTAGTCGAAAACAGACATTATTTTCATACAGATTTACAGTATTTTCGCATATGTCTTATTTTCATGCATATATCAATTCATACAAGTGTTATTTACTTACAGATCATATTTTCGTTTATATCACATTTTCAATAGGATCTTATTTACGTACATATATAGTATTTTCATACATGTATTATTTTTTTTAACACATCGTATTTTCGTATAAGCATGTACCTTATTTTTCGTATATGTACATTATTTCATACAGCTTTTATTTTCTTACAGATCTTTTTTTCGTATAGTATTGTATAGATTTTATTTTCGTACATATTCTTATATATAGATCTTATTTTCGTAGTCGTTGTTTCTGGATTTTTTTTTCGCACCAGTTCTTTCTTTTATTTTGATACTTTTTCACTACAAACATTTCTTGTCTTATATAAGAACATTAAATCCCTATACAATCTTATTTGCAAAATCATAAAAAAAATAAAATTAATACCATTTTAATATAGAAATCTTAGTTATGAACCATGTAAATCTTATTTTCGTAGTCGCCATCTTAGGTTATGTTCGCATGCGTTCTTTCTATACTATCTGGGATATTTACCATATTTACCGCAAGGACGTCTACATGTAATATATCACTACAAAACATTTCATTCTTTATTATTTCATTTAAGCACAAGTCATTTAATCAAAATGAAAATTCTTTTTACTATATTATATCAAAAATAAATCTTATTTTCGCTTTACACGGAGAATTAAGGCAATTTTTGTGCCCAAACTCAACTTTTTAAAGTTTTTTTTTGGTTCTGAAATTATAATTTGCTGTAAAATCATTAAGAAATTGCACAAGTATATAATTAACATAGTTATTTAGACAGATAAATTCACTATTTCAAAAACAAATCTTACTTTCGTAGCTGCTATTTCATTTTCACGAAAATAGCTTATTTTCGGTATCCATCTATACCCTAATCATATTATACATTTCCTTTTGTTTTAAATAGCATTTTCCACGTGCTTAAATAATCAAACAAAATTTCTGACATAAAATTATGAAAAAAATCTATATAGATAACACCCATGTATATTATATGCCAGTTTCTCGACAAGTCACTTATTCTTTAAAGGTATATTAGAATTTAAAATGTCAAAGCGCGGATTTTTATGTAATAAAGATCCGTGGTCAAAGATATATATATGAGCTGTGTCACGACAAAACCAACATAATGGGTTAGCGACCAGCATGGATCCAGACCAGCCTACGCATCCGCGCAGTCTGATCAGGATCCATGCTGTTCGCTATCGGTTGCTCTACTTGTTGTTGAGTTGGTATACCGAAAATAAGCTATTTTCGCGAAAATGAAATAGCTGGTCGCAAATACACTATGTTGGTTTTGTCGTGACGCGGCTCAAATATAGAAAATCTTGCCTGTTCCTCCGTTAGCTCCTTCACCACCAGACCCGTGCTCATTAGGAAAATAAAGGCTACCATAGGGAGGGTAACGTTCTAGCCGACATGTCACATAACCTCCACAGCCCCCGCGACCTCCAAGGCCACCATGAGAAGCCCCACTTGATCCGAGTATGCTCCATGTTCCCGCGCCTTAAACATTTTACAAAGTTATGTTGTTAAATAGACGCTAATTGTAAGTGTGATATGACAGATAAATAAGCTAGGTTATTACTTGAAACTAAAGCTTTTCAAATCATTTATCACAAACGACTAAGATTTTAAACACTTTTAAACCAAAACTCATAAAATATGACTCAGAAAAAATTATTACCAGGGCCATCTCCTGGAAGAAAACCACCGTTGCTAGCATCAATAAATCCACCATCATCTACCGTGAGGTCTGTCGCCTTGATATGGAGATTTCCACCTTTTATTAAACCACCTCCTTCGATAATGATCCATCCGAAAGTCAGATCGTATGAATCCGAATCAGCATTAGGATTGGAGCAATTGATGTACGAGTCAGCTTTAATAACTGTCAGTCCTTCAATGACGTAATTTCGAGGATCTCTGTCATTGGTAGATCCAGTTTTAAATAACCTCAGGCCTCCACCTTGTACAAGAGTTAAATTATGAATGTGATCAACGGTTCCTTCAATGTGTAGAAAAACGCTCTCGAGAAAGGTTTCCGGTGCCAGACCGAGGTAGCCATTTTCGTAAACATAAGAGTTGAATGGAGTGTCCAAAAAATCGCGCTCAAGATCCATAATCTGATTTGGACCTATATGTACATATCCTGTTCTATCACCAATCATATGTAGGAAATGGATATTGCAACCATTTTCATATGGGTCTGGCATGAATGCTAAGTGGGCGTTACCGAATATTTGTAATTCATTAAACCTGTAATCATCAATGGCACGAGCAAGTCTATGATCAGACGAGGAAGGCAATATCCATGCTTTAAATCTATCTTCTTCCAAATCAGAGTATGTTTTAACTAGATTGCCTTCTTTTGAATTTGTACGCTTATTATTATTGACATATAATGTGCTATGGTCTTTGTCTCGATGATAAATGTAAACAGTGCCTGGGCCACCAGACTCCGCATTTCCACTAGCGTAACCACCGTGACATTGATATGTACCCCAGTAAGTCACATTCTCCCGTAAGTAAATAGCAATTCTTCCCCCTGCACCTGCACTTCCAAGTCCGTTTTCAAAACTACTTCCGCCATTTGCTGTAATATTTCCCATTCCACGGAATTTGAAGGTGTCAATTAAGACTGACCCGCCAGATCCACCACCACCAGACATGGCCTTACCGTCTCCACCATTTGAACGAACTTCGCCATCTATTTGAAAAAGATTTGAAACTGTAATGTAGAGCCTTCCGCCACCTTGTCCACCAACGTTCCATCCACCTCCTCCTGCACTTCCACTTTCTCTAGGCTGAAACGTATTGCCATACGGTTGACCGGTCATTGTTGTTCCAGATCCTTTTCCACTAGTACCTCCATGGCCAGCACCTGACGAGCCGTCATCGTCTGTCGTTCCTAAGCCACGATTTACAGTACTTGTCTGGGAATCCTCCGGTCTGTACCCTAAAGAGTCTGCATGTAGAGACGCTCCATAATCTAGCGTAAGATCGTTTGCGATTAAAATGATATCTGTTCCATAAAAGTGACTACCTCCCTCCATATTCAATTTGTTTTCAACTGTAAATGTAGACACTGGGTCGGACACTGGATCTGTGATTATGCTTATCGTTGCATTATCTCGGATGGTAACCCAAAGGAAATTGTATTCATCTGCTTTAGCCAATGTTGTACGACCCCCTGATTTCAGTGCAAGATGTCCCCTGTGGTGTAACGTTATATTTTCAACATGATCAAGTTCTCCGTGCAACCAAACTGTCACATCATGTACGTAAGTGTTTGGAGCGAGTCCTAAATATCCACCTGCATAAACTCTGGCATTAAACGGAAGGTCAATCTCAGCTCTTTCGAGATCCATAATTTGATTATTTCCAATATGCATGGTTCCAGTTCTATCTCCGATCATATATAAGAAAAAGATGTCAACGGGAGTGCCAACTGGGTGTGGTAAAACAGCAAAATGCGCTGCGCCGGAAATTTGAACTTCATTGAAAGAAAATGAGAATTTTCCATCTGAAAACTCATTTGTACCCGACTCTGGCAAAATCCAAGTTCGGCAAGAATCATGGGTCAAATCAGAATAATCTTCAATAACATTATTCTCATCTCTTGGATGCTGATCATTATTGTCTAGAATAAGTGTGGTGTGATCTTTTAACATATTATAGGCAAAAACTGTACCTGCACCTCCATGTTCGGATTCTATACCTCCTGCAGGGCCACCATATGCCTGGTGGCGAAAAGAGGACATTGTTTCGTTTACCTTAAAATAAACGGCTATTCTTCCGCCAGCACCCCCGCTGCCAGTACTCAGTGAATAGTTTGAGCCGGAACCCCCGTTAGCAGTAATTTTACCATAACCCTGAATGATATTACAATGAATCCAAATAGCCCCACCTGATCCACCACCTGATCCGTTAAAATAAGCATCTGCTCCATTAGCGCTCACAATACCGTCTATAAATATAGTATCGGTAACATTAAACCAAAGTGTTCCACCACCAGCACCGCCGTCCAAATCGTATAACCCAAGTCCTCCTGAAGAACCTAAATTCTCTGGCTGAAATGTGTCCCCATGGGAAAACCCTGCACGGGAAGTTGCATTGGCCTGCTTGCCGCCGCTCCCGCCATGTCCTCCACCTCCACCTTTACCAAGAATAATATCGGGGGGGCCCCCCCCAAGGCTTTTTAAACAGGCCATGTTTAAAAAAAGACCAATTTCACTTTGACTATGCATAATCTATATCCCAAGACCTTTTGGGCATAAATTGCCCCAGCGTCAATTTGTTAACCCTTTTTTCAGCTTCAGGGTTATTTTGAGTTCCATTGTTTATCCCACCCCTTAATCGTCTTTCCTTGAAAGATAAAGGAAAACCCCTTTTCTGCAAAAGGATCGGGTTGTTGCTTTTTAAGTGTTGAATCATCTTGAATTTTTACAAAGTCAAACTTATAACTACTCTCTCGCTTTTGTGGCGTATGCCCACCGTGTTTAAGCCATAGATAACCCCCTTGTCGTAACGTTATGTTTTCGACATTAGACAGAATTCCACTCAGATGCATTTCCACACCATGCACAAACGTCATTGGGGGAAAGCCCCTAAAATGCCCGGGTATTATATGTGTTAAAAAGGAAAGGTTCCATTTTCTTCTGGGTTCTATATTTTTAAGTAAGTCCATTCCCTTGCCTTCGGCAACATGAAACTGACCCTGTGGGGTTTCACTTTTTCATATACTTTGAAAATATTTTTTACGTTAAAATCATTGTTATCCACCCCCTTTCCTTTAGTGATCTTCGCCCATTTTCATATAACAGAAATTTACTTTTTTGGGGGCTGTTCAATCGCGCAGTTCTCCGTTTCCATATATCTGAAGCTCCTCAAACTCATATGCATATCCCCCGGTTGTGCCTGTGGCAAAAGAATGCTTTCCAGAAATTGGCATAATCCAGGCACGTCCACAATCTTGGCTTTTGCTGTTCCAGTTGACATATAAATCTCTTGGGCGTGGGGCGCCGTTGTTATCTATAATCAATGTCCTATGTTCCTCTTTTAAGTGATACAAGAACACAGTACCTGGTCCTCCAGCTTCGCACTCATCACATTCCCTACCAGGCAATCCCCCATTTGCAAGATAACGAAACTCACTGAAAGTAAAGTTTCTTTCAAACAGAATTGATATTCTTCCGCCCGCACCGCCACCTCCCGACGACTCTACGACGTCACCTAAGAGCGTGTACGTGGGAATTGGGGTTGTATCAGAAATAACATTTGGTGGCGTAGTCGTGCTTGTGGTCGGATCCTCTGTAGATGAATTAGTTGTATTTGAAGCTGGTGTTGTAGTCGTTGTTGTTGTTGTCCAGGTTGAAACTGTTCTGGATTCACAGCCATAGCCTTCTGCACAACATATTTGCTCACGACTACAAGAACTTCCAGAACACGAATCTTCTATACGACAGCACATGGTCTGGTTGTATAACCAACCGTATTCATTATCATAAACTGTTCCAGTGTCGTAACAACACTCTTCACCGTATGATATATGATCATGACAGCAAATGTATTTTGACTGTAAGTTTTTTGTTTTCCTGTCCAAGAACAAATCAATGGAATCATAACAACAGTCTGAAAAGTCGGCTGTGCAGCATACTTCTTTTGTCTGACACGAAGCATCGGCATAGTTGCATCTTTCCTCGTTGTTACAAAGGTAAGAACATTCAGTTATTGGAACACAAGAACCGGAGCTACAGTCCTGACCAGCGTAGCAACGCATTTCGTTTACCGGAAGTTCGTCCACTTGTACTTCTGTGCACGTTGCTCCTGATTCAAGGCTATTACAGACGGTCTTTGTACAAGTGGTTTCATCATAACAGTTACTACCGATGCATTTTTTAATTGTATCACAACGGATCCGTTCGAGGCCATCGCTGCGGACTAGTTCTTGAACCTTGGTATCACCGAACGAACCTTTTCCCCCAGCTGCTTGAATGAGACCAAAGCCTGTCAGCCGATCAGTTTGCATCCAGATACTACCACCACTCCCACCACCACTAACTTGTCCAAGAACGGTACTTCCGTCTTCAGCGTTAGCTGAAAGTTCACCGTCAATGTGGATTGTATTTGTTGCACTGATTCGTATCAAACCGGCACCTCTTCCACCACCGTCTCCACCACCAGATGATCCGAACTGTGAGGCGCTGTAGACATCATCATGTGGTAGACCACAGACAATTTCATCTGCAAGGCAAAACAATAGCATAAATTCAAAAATAGGACAGAAACGAACTCTGAGTCTATACAATATGTTCATTAAATCAACAGGACCAGAAATATTACCAGGAAAGTTGAGAGCCTTGTGTGCGTGCGTGCGTGCGTGCTTGTGTGTGTGCGTGTGTGTTTGTATGTGTGTGTTTTGTTTTTGTTCTATTTAGCAAATTCAATTCAGTTACAATTTTCTGCAGCGTAATTATTGTTTTTATACAAACAGTATCTTTTTTTTCTAAGTAACAATTTAACTGTTCATTTAAAAGCACATTTTACCTATGAAATGAATTTTCTTTCCCTTTCTTAGAAAGAGCAAATATGAGTATTTTAACGCTTAAATAGGGAATTTAGAGCATGTAAGCTGCTTATTATGTGAAAAATAGCGTTGAAAGTGAAATTATTTGCCATGAAAGTAGCAAAATGTAACCAAAGTAGTATTTTGACTTTCATATAAAATACTAACCCTAATTAAACATATTGCTAAAAAAGCAACAGAATCTAAAAATGGTTCGGGTAATTGGCAGGTGAGTAACCTTTCTAGAAACTATAACAGGGCACCAAAAAGAAAATGTTTTTTTTTTAAGAAAAAAGCAGCAAATCTTTTTTTAAGAAATAAGCAGAAATTTTAACAAATTTAAAAAAATTTCATATAGCGAAATTTTGAAATTTTACCCCAAATTTTTTAAAATCATAATTTAAAATTTAAATTTTTTTCCGTTGCTTTGCAAAAATAATTTTAAATATATATAAAATTTGTCCCTTTCCCCCCAACAAACCCCCACTTCCGCCATGTCCGGCCCCATTTTCGGAGCCAGCCCTCTTCCGGGGGTTGTTTCCATATAAAAAAAGATCTCAGTTTTTGGTGTCAGAAATTCTTACCCACCGTGGGGCTTCATCTACCCCCGGGCCGTAAAATGGGATATTTGCTTCAAATGTTAAATTGTGTTCCCAAAAACCCCAACTCCGCAAGTTTGTTTATTTTTAAGAAAAAAGTTTTTCCCCCTTTTCGTCAAGGGTAAAGTTATTTTGGAATGTACCTCCAGCCCTTTAAAATTGGATTTCGGGAAATTCAAAATGAACCTGCGAAAAATTTCCTTTATTTTTACCCATTTATACACCCCAAAAATTGCCATTTTATAAAAAGTAAAATTTTTAAATTTTGACCCAGGGCCTTTCAGAATATTTAAATATCTTGGACTTTCAATTTGGGTCCCAAGGGCCCAAGATTTCCATTGGTTTTCATGAAATTTAAAAGGGAAATATCAATCTTATCTTTTTTTAGTTTCAATTTTTGGTTTTTTTTCCTAATAAATGGTCCAGTGCGATCGCCGTTCATTTTTGGGAAGTAATAGTTGGGAATCTATTTTTCCCTTTTTAACCGGGCCGTGAGCTTTTCCAAAAGATTTCAGCCGTAAAATTTTATTATTTTTTGCTGTAAAACAGGTAGATTCAAATAAGTACTAAAGATTAGTAACATATATCAAAAAGAAGTCTTATGACAGTTTTAACTTTTCATCTGCATAATTCCTAAAATGGACTTGTCAAGCTTCTATTTGTGCAACAGACATTATCCATTTTTGGAATATCAAGATATATATTTACAGTTAGGCAACCAACTATAAAGGATTTGGTCAGACTGCATGAATGCAATGGCTGGTCTGCATCTATAATTATGGTAATAGTTATCACTAACTCCTTATAAGTATTTATATTTAAGTATCCTATATTTAAACACCAAGTTGATTAAACTTTGAAGAATTTATATGTCATAAGGTTTATAGAATCTAAAGCATTAAACATAAGTGACAACACATGCTTGCCTGTAGGAAATCTGTTATTTTCACCATGGTGAGGTAAAAACCAAGTATGAGTTGTATCCTCTGAAAGGTCGTTGTAGTCATTTATCACACCACTTTCGCCAGCTATCCCACGGCCACGGTTGTTAATGAGTAATGTTGAGTGACTGTAGCCTGGAATTAGGCAATAAACGTGAAATATTCTTCAGTTGTGCAAAGATATGTTTCCTTTATCATGTTTTTTCACATGAAAATAATTTTTATCATCATGTTATTTGTATGAAATTTAATCCATCTTAAGATTGACTTTAACATAATATACACTTTTCATTTAGGTTGGCAATGGTAGATTCTTGCATTTGTCATTGAGAACTTGGTTACTATAATTATGTACATGTATCATCAGTAATCCACTTGAGAATTAAATTATTTATTTACTCGCCAGATGTGAAAGTCTCTTTAATAGATGTAAGAACTTCATACGTAAATATATGTAAACCGTCTGCTCCTCAAAAGTTGCAAATACTTTGAATGATACATATTATGGTGAATATTAAAATATGATTGGGTTAATTAATACAGTTGTGAAAAAATGCCCTTCTTGTAACATACCATTGTGATAAAAGAACGCTGTCCCTGACGCTCCGTCACATTCTGGGCTTGAAGAGTCGCCTCCGTAAATGTCCCAAGAGCCAGAATATGTAAAATTGCTATCAAAGTACATTGCTATCCGTCCACCTGACCCACCACATCCTTCATAATCACCATAAGTGGAGCCATCACCCCCTGTTACTTGAAAATGTCCGTAACCCTAGAAATCATAAGCACTTGATTTGTAAATGAACTTCCCAATTGAAAATGACATTTATATGCTGTTAAACCCTTTCACTGCCAAAGAGACGGCTTAAGCCGTCCCTGTTATTTTCGGCGTATTTGCCATAATTATGGACGGTTTTAGCCGTTTCTATAATAATAATAGTAATAATAATGAATTAATAATAATATTACTAAAAATAATAATAAATATAAAGAAAATTATACCATCGACAATTATTATTATTATACTAACAGATTTGGAAACATTTATAATTATTATAATACTAATAACAAATAATAATGATTATATTAATTAATAATTAAATATGCAAAAATTTGTTGAATTAATTACTACAGAATGTAAGCGTGGCATAAGAAATTTAAGTACATATGTAGAAAAAGCATTTACATTAAGAACAAACGAACTTTACAGAGATAACTATTCTTAAACTGATTTTTCAAGATGTAATGATGTGAATTTTGTTAGTATGACTCTTATATGCCTTTATTGTTTATCACTTAGCTTTGTAAAATGTAATCTCATTATGTAAAATTATAGTAAATCCATATGTCAATCAACTTGCTAGTTTCGCTTTTGTGCAAGTTTTGACTGGAAATGGAATAAGAATTCGTATTTATTTTATGTCCGATTGACATTTTACATTTATGATTTAAAATTTTTGAAATAAAATCCATATTGGTCACCAACTTTCCACTTTCGTTTTCGAGCAAGTTGTGACTAGATATGGAATCATTTTTCTTACTACTACTTACTTTACTGCACTATGCTGTATATGCACATACAAGTGTATTGAATATTAAAAATGTTTATTCTGTCTATTATGTTACAAAAAAATGTTGGAGCATATCAATATTATTAGAAAAACGGGTTGCATGTAGCAGTGCTTATACATATGCGAAAATATATGTGTATACATATGTGTAGATGGTATATATGCAAAATTATGAGCGTACTTATGTATATATACATGTATATATATATATGTATGTAATGTATGTATGTATGCATGTTTGAATATGTAATTATTATTATTAAATGTTAAATTGCTGTAGCCATATATAGTATGTAAATGTTGGCCACATGGGTCTATGACCTTCTGGTGTTTTGAAAATAAAATCTTGAAATCTTGAAATCTAATATGGTAATTTCTTAGAAAATCCTCTGGCAAATAGGTGAACAATAAAACAATAACCCTCTGGCTGCGAAAGGGTTAAGGGCGTGACATGCAGATAATCCGAATTATATACACGTACATTGTATATCAGTTTCCTTCCAACAAAATTTTTAACATTCAATTATTTGTTATAGTTATACAAAAAAGTTTATACATTTTAAATAAGTTTACAATTATTGAAAATATGAACAATGCTTTGTCAGAAACATATTTCAAATTGCCTTCCTTTATTTCCTGTAAAATTAGATCATATCTTTGTTAGTATGCATATTGAAACTTATGATATTTGTTAAGTCTTCATTTGAGCATCAGGTTTATCATATAAGACGATAAATTTCTTCAGGTACAGGGACTTTGAAAACAACAATATTCCTCTTCATGTACCTTTTTTACTCGGTAAAAATAGAAAAATTGAAACCCGCTTAATCGATTAACATACTGACAGAAAATTTTGCTGTACCTTAACATTTGCAACATCAATCAGAATCGATCCTCCACTAGCACCACCGCTAGCGCCAGATCCGGCCTCGCCATTGCAGCTTACTTCACCGTCATTCTGCAGCTCAGATGTTACTTTAAGGTAAATTACACCTGCACCACGGCCACCGTTTCCCGATACTGAAGAATCTCCACCTTTGCAACCTCTATCCTTCGGCTCAAACGCTTGGCCAAAAGGCGCACATGTAAGCTTGTTCTTAGTGTTAGCTCCACCGGGACCAGCGTGACACGCACCTGTAACCCAACATCGCAGTTTTAGACAACAGCAAATTTAGTAAATAAGTATTCTTTACATCTAAGTTAAGTGATTAATAAAAGTGGAAGTTATTTCAAGTATTCCACTAATGAACTCATACAAACATACTAGTACATACAAAGATACTTAATCTTTTGGAAAACCTAAGGTTCAGTACATGTGTCCATATTGTATATACAATTACACATTTGAGCCGCGTCACGACTAAACCAACATAGTGCGTTTGCAACTCTTCACACCATTCACCTCTCAAACAGATAGGGCAATCAAGTGCATTATTACACAATATATGAGCCGTGACATGACAAAACCAACATAATGTGTTTGCGACCAGCATGGATCCAGACCAGCCTGCGCATCCACGCAGTCTGATCAGGATCCATGCTGTTCGCTATCAGTTTCACTTCTTGTTATAGCAGCGCAGGCTGGTCTGGATCTATGCTTGTCGCAAACGCACTATGTTGGTTTTGTCGGGACCCGGCTCATTTATTTATCGATATAATCACCTGTTCCGATCGTTCCGCTTTGGCCTCTGTTGGCAGCATCACATGGGATGTCGTGTAAATCTCCAATGATCTTGCCCAAGTCGTCAATGATAAGATTTTCAGCCTCGATATTCACTTTGGTTGAATGTACTAAACCTCCGCCTTTCACACGAAGCTTTCTCGCCTAAATTGTGAAACGAACACAAAAAGATCTTTAGATTTAGTTCTACGTTTCAAATAACCGCGTGTTGACCACGTGCAAAAGTAAAATGTTTTTATGTTCCCTGATCAATCGCAGTTTTGTTTTCAAAAAACAAATAAATAAATACATGAAAAAAAAACACACACGCACACACAAGCAAACATGAATTTCTTTTTTGGAGATTCCGTGTTTCAATATCTTTATACATCCGGGGGTGAAAAAGTATATTTGTAATTATCAAACAATGAGGTTTGACTTGTTTAAACCTGATCTAAAACCCCATTAACTTTAAAATAATCTTTGAATTTTACTTCAAATTGTTGAATTTATGCGATTTGTTTATTTTTGTCATATCTCATCAGACGGTCCACCTTAGCGGATTTCCTGCATATATAATTAACTTGCAACTACCAGGTTCTCCACAAGTAACCTACTACCGATACTTATTTCACACACTACATAATTTCACAGAAGTGGTTAAAGACAAATAGCATATAGACTATATGTCGAGAACATTGTCTGGAAAAAAAGAATTGACACTGCGATACACTGCTTGAAAATTTATATTTTTATTTAAACAGACGTTAACACCAAGATGTATTGAAATATGAATCTATATAACCTTTATGTTTATGACGTCATTAGCTCCCGTAAGATCCCATGTCGATGTAATTTCGCCACCTGCCGCAACTGAAATCTCGTCAAAATCAAATGTTCCACTTTCAGAGGAAACACCTGTTCGCGTTGTCGATCCTGTACTTCCTAGATACAATGAACATCCGTCACCTACTGTCATATCATGGACACCTATTGTTCCCCTGAATAATAAATGTAGTGGTTCGATCATGAAGGATATAAATATGACTGGCATTTTCCACATTTCCACATTATTAAAACTTTCCCCCGCAGGAAACCTTTTTAACTTGTTTCAAGTATGAGCTGTAAGTGAACGACTGTGTTGAATTCTAGCCTTGAATTCTATCCAGGTAATGGTAAGTGTTAGTTTACATCTTATCATGCCGGAAAATTGTGATTGTTTGTATCTCCTTTGTTTTAGAAGCAGTTCGGAAAAAGAATTAACATTTAATATTATAATTTGATAACATATGATAATTGATGGCATTTTTAACATATTTACAGTTGTTCGTTGAGGGATCAATCTTCTGATAATATATAAATTATTGTTTGCTTATAGAATCTATTATTTTTGTGGTGAAACATCAACTAACAAACACTTACTATGTTTTATATCAATCAAACCCTTACCCTTATTTTTATGCACTTAAATTTACGTAAAAATTTTTTAAACTAATCCAACCAGCCTTACAATTGAATTTGTGTTTAATATTTATAACTTCATGACCATAGTTGTATCGTATATAACTGTAGTTAAAACCGATACATAAATACAACAGTTCTGTTCACGTGACCAAATCAAAGAATACCTTACCAAATATGCATTTCGGTGTTATAACATATGAAATCTGTTGGTAAAATCAACTTGGCATCTTCATAAACATAGACGTTCACTAGGAATTCCATATCTTCTGGATGTTGTACGATCACAAGCTGACCAGCTCCTACATGCAAAGTACCTGATGAGTCACCTTCAAACATGAACGCTTGAAGTTGAAAAACGTCTCTGTAAAAGATATTATCACTTGATTTGTAATATGTTCTGCAAAGCGACTCCAAACAAAACAATGGTGTCTACGAGAAATACAAAGGTATTACACGTACGCGTTTACATATGTTATAAACATGCATTATTAAAATTTCGATAATTACAAATATAATGAAATAATAACATTTCGTTTAAAATGATTTATAAACAAAATTGAACAAATCTTTAATATGTCAATGTATGCAAGGTTAACTATTTACTCTGTCAAACTCGGATCTATTGCAAGATGGGCGTTTCTGACTAAACGAATTGTGTCCATTTCTTGGAGGGTGTCGTCAGCAATCCATGTGCGGCCCGCTCGACTGGTGACATCACCATATGCATGGTCACTAATTTCCGATTCGGAATGTTCCAGACCATAATTATCAACGATTAATGTCTCGTTCTGGGCGTCAGTCACCATGTCCTGATATGAACAAATGTCACTGTTAAAGAGTATCTCATAAACGAAAGAACTTTGTTAAATATATTATGATGTTGTTATCAGTAAAATGTACTTCTTGTTAAAGTTAAGACATTGTTTTTTTTAAATTTCGTTTTTAATATAGAGTAATTGAATAAAGCGCCTGAGATCTGCGCCCTGAATTAAAGTTTTTTTTTACATGTATTGTCTGAATGAGATAAAATCCCGGCGTCGATGCCAAGAATAAAGTCACTTTCTTTAAAATGTGCAAGACAAATAACGCATCAATAGATCAACTTCACTGTCATGTCATGAAATTTAAGTCCCTCATTATACTGTTTTATACATTCAACATTTTAATCATTCATATAGGCTCAAGTTGTGACGAGACCGCCACTTCATCGGTATAATCTTCTTACCTTAAGATAGACTGTTCCCGCACCGCCAATGCTCATACTGCTATTCCCGCCACGTGAATCTAGACTGCCAAACCAGAACTGAGTCGTCTTATAATAAACAGCAATCCTTCCGCCTCCGCCAGGTCCCGTTTCCGTTGTTCCATCTCCACCGGAAGTCTGTATACTTCCGGAACCTTCCAGGTCATGTGTGTTTATAAGTATACAACCACCACTTCCGCCAGCGATTCCAGAGGAGTAACCGATATTGCCATTCGACTCAATTGTTCCTTCAACAACTAGAATCTGACTTATATCAAGGTCTAGTATGCCTCCGCCTTAAATAAAAAAAAATGTCAATTTATTTACCGGAACATAGTATTGTTGTTTTCTCCGGGCGTTGCAAAAGATAGATCTCATCCTGGAACTACAGCAGTGGAAGTTTTATACATGGGTTTACCTTTTTATTTTCTTCTTTATAAGTTTCAGCTATTTGCACTAACGTCTTATACTGCCGTTTCATCGACTACGACTAGATCATGAAATGTGTTGCTTTGGTAATCAAATGTGATAGAAAACCGTGCAGTTTAAAAACATAAATTAACGAATAATGAATAAAGAAACGCCCAAAAGCGAGCTCCTAGACAATGTTTACTTTGACTATTTAGTGTGAGTTGACACAAGCATAAGTTATATATAATCAAATGTACAGCGACGTACCAGCACCGTATGTAACGGTAGCTCCTCCGCCACCACTCCCAAACATCAAATGCGAATTATAGACACTGCCATATGTCAGCCCTGGCTCACCTGTTTAAAATATAGTAGAAAGGAAATACTTTTTCGTTCACTTCAAAAGACTTTACTTTTAAATATTTTTACAAAATTTTCATGAAAATTGAAAGAATCTCGAGGCATGCTTCTTTAATGATTCTTGCATATCAGACTGGCGTTTCCGCTAGTTTTACCCATGCCGGAAATTTCATCTGGCATGGGGGGTTCCAGATGAGTCGCGTGCTGTACAATGGCACGATAAAGATGACGTCATTTTACCGTTATGAATGATTTTTGTAATTCATACGCTGTTGAATGAAAGTAGTTACGGTTGTAATGATATAAATTTTCATTGAAAATAAAGATAAAGAATTTAGAATATAATGGAATATGGTAGAACATGCAAGAAAAAATATCTGACATATGTTTGCGGTTCGGATCGGAATATCCGTCCCTCGGTCACCCGCCCATGGGCGGTAACTCGGCAAGCCTCGTTACCGCCCAATGGGCGGGTCACCTCGGGACGGATATTCCGATCCGAACCGCAAAATATGACAGATATTATTAATTTGGAACACACATTATGTAATTGAAAATGAACACTTGTGACACAAACCTTCTAGAAATTATAATGAATCTCAAATAAAAAAGTAAACAAATTATGCTTATATATCAACTAATGTTTACCGGGGTTTCCGATTCCACCGAAGCCACCGAAGCTTGCCCCTGCTAAGACTGTCCCCGCACCGTCGCCAGTCCTAAGACCTTTCCCAGAGGCAGTCAATGTTCCAAGCTTGTCGACTTTTAATATATCTGTATGTACCCTAAGATTTGCTGATTCGATCACTCCGCCAGCTTCTATCGTAATCTGACCCGTGTGACCTGCTTTTCCTACCTAATAAACATATTGCGATATTTGTTATTTTTTTGTTGTTAGTTTATACCATCTTATTTGATTCAATTGTGTTGGATTGAAAATCTAATTGAAACACTCTCGAATCCGTTCCTGGAACCAACCCAGTACTAAGCAAAGAATGTAAAGTTGCTACGGCTTAATGCCTCTGACAGTTTTAAAGTCATCCAGCCAGCAAACCTTAGATAATTAGTCTTACACTTTAACCTCTCTGCCACGCCGCCATTCGATTTGTTGTTGTTTTTTTTCTTCTTTTGTTGTTTTTTAATTGTTTCTGTTTTATTCTGAGACATAGGTAATTAGCTATTCAAACACTGAGCTATAAAGTACTATTTCTTATACATCTAATTTAATATATGCAATATATATCAGACAGCATGCGATCTCCTTCGTTTGCAACTATGTTTTATTTAAAAATTCACAAAAGGTATTTACTATGAGTAACTATCAGTTTTACGTACCTCAAGAATCCATACATCATCTATGTCGCCGTAATTCGTATAGAGGTCTAACACTCCTCCATCTTGTACTGTCAAGTTAGCGAAGATGTTATTTCTTACTCCCGCTGTTCCGAGGGTCAAGGTCGCACCTAAAATGTGAAATTTGAATTTAAAAAAAAAACATTTTTCAAGTTCCCGAGCCGCTTTTACAATTTTTGTAAAACCGTACGTCATGGCCGTGCATGTGTATGCAAATTAGCCCAAATACTCATATTTTACTAAATATGATCTACTCGGCTTTTGTATTGTGGTAGAACATGTAGAGCAGAAAAAGTTAATGCAATATCCAATATAACACACTTAATTACTAAACAGTATTAATTTTTTCATTAACAATGTAATTTTATTCATATAAATCTTTTGATGTGCATAAGACCGTGATAAGACGCTAAGAAATGACTGAAACATATGTGTCAAGGATGGTCATCGAAATGAATTTTCGTGATGCATAAATCTTCGCATTTTCTAACGACAGCAGCAAGTTTTATATCAAGTTATATATTATATTACTCAACATTTGCTTAGCACCAAAATGTTCTCACTATATTATGAAAAATACAACAGCGATCAGTGATCACAGTGTCGCCTGGTCATAGCCAATTGCATATTGCAGCTACTGTGTAGCAAGAGACACACAAATCACCAACAGGAGTAATTCTCTTTACCAATGGGTCGTACACACGCTACTGGGTCTAAACTTGAAAACATAAATGAGCTGCGTCACGACAAAACCAACATAATGGGTTTGCGACCGGCATGGATCCAGACCAGCCTGCGCATCCGCGCAGTCTGATCAGGATCCATGCTGTTCGCTAACAGACCCTATAACAAGTAGAGAAACTGATAGCGAACAGCATGGATCCTGATCAGACTACGCGGATGCGCAGGCTGGTCTTGATCAATGCTGGTCGCAAACCCACTATGTTGGTTTTGTCGTGACGCGGCTCATATGGAACAGCTGTTTTACCCACACATCTACCCACAACCAGCCAACTGGTTAATGGATGTGAACGGTTCTTATATCGCGATATACCTACCGTCTGTGACATTGTAATCGGTTTAAAATTCTCGTATCTGATATTCAACAAGTTTTAACTCCTACACATCAAGTTAGAATTCCCAATAATTGATACGTAAACGAATTGAAATTCAAAGGGTGTGATATCCAAATCAGATTAAACTGAATTCCAAAATACGAGTAAATTTAAACAAATTGTATTTGAAATGAACAAAAATTTATTTTTTTTCAAATTTGATATGCGAGCGAGTCATACGTTTTCAACTTACCCGTTGATATCAGAAGATGTGCTTTTGTTCCATCTATAACTCCCCATATATGACCGGAAGTAGATCTGAGCATGCTGGCCGGACATGATGTAGAACTGGTTTCCATTCCATGAGCATCCTGGTCCAAAACCTCACGGAACTCTACAGTCGACTCCGGCAACACCCACGTGGCGCCTTCATATAGGAAAAGCTCATACGTTATGTTCGTCCGCCTGTACGGAGACACCTACAATATAGTGAAGCACATATCTCATATTTTTTAATGAAATATATTAAACCCCACAATTCATACATCAAATTTCAAACCGTTTACACAATATATTAATATTATAACATCTGACACACCAGCAAGAATCATGTCTTGAACAAACAACATTTTTCTTAATCACATTTGAACCAGCATACACCATATATCATACGAAATATATCACACATCGTATTTTAAATAAATTATTTCACATCTGAAACAGCATACATCATATCTCGAATGAAATGTTCTCACATCATAAATTATTTGGAATAAAATAAATCACATCTGAAACAGAATACACCATATCTCGAACGAAATATGTCATACATCATACCTCAAATGAAATATATCGGTCATCATAAATGATTTAGAATGCAATGTATGACAACTGATATAGTATGTATCATATCTTGAATGAAATATATCACCTTTGAAAATGTGTGCATCATATCTTGAATGAAATATATCACTTTTGAAAATGTATGCATCATATCCCGAATAAAGTATCAAAATCGCATTGTGCATCTAAAACGTTATATTTCGAATTAGTCATATCGCTTCTGAAACAGCATTTATCATAGCCGTATGAAGTACATCATACTTTAATTAAAAATTTGATCAGCTTTAAGATTTTATTAGAGAAAAGAAAAGATTTTGCATTTAATTTATTTTAATGAAAGAAATCATCATTTTAATTTTTTTTTAATCGTTGTTTTAAATCATCTGAAAGCATACATGGGGCGTCGAGCAGCACGCCCGTTCAAAGGCAAAGTTTATCATCGATTTATTGTTCAAAATAGAAATAAAGTTTAATCGTACGTACCTCAATTTGTTCAAAAGTTTGTCCAGGGCCAATATGAAGGTGTCCACTATCGTCACCATACATAAATTGTGTAACCACTTTAGTCCCTGTACCATTAAATGCTAAATGCGCTCCCCCGTAAAGCTCCATGTGAGAAAACGTAAAAGTGTACCCGTCCGATGGCGGGTCCAGGATGGCAATAGCGCCTAAAATAAACGGCGAAAACTTGCTGTCATCTTATGTCATTCTTTAACTAACTACAAATAATTATAAAACAAAACAATTCTAAAATGATTCAAAAATATAAAGTTGTTTTCTTAAGGTCCAATTGATGCTGAAGAAATGTTTAAAGATCCTGTATGTTATAATTAGTGATGTAACATATAGTTTAGTGAAAATTTATATATGTAAATAATTATTCTTCTAAAACAATTACGAAACATCGAAGAATATGTTAAATATATCCAGCAAATGTTTATATACATAATAATTAAACGTTAAAATTAATGCATTCATTTTTGTATTGAAAATAAAACTGGTTAAGACTTTATCTTTGTCGAAATTTTCTATTACCTCCCTTTATTTACATAAAATATTAATTCGGTAATATCTTTACATATAATGTTTTTTGAAACTTACAACATTGATAGATCTTCATTTGAGCATCAGATTTATTATATAAAACCATAAAAAATATGTTACATGATCTTTATAAGACAATTTCAGAATGATAATACTATGATATAACAATTCGTAAAAAATGGCCTACATTTATACTTAAAATATTTTTTTAGATAAATTTATGAAGAGTTCAATTTATTGTTAAATATGTTTGCATTTCATTTCCTGCAAAACTCTCAAGTTTGTTATTTATAACAATAGCGTGACACGAATAATCGTTTCGTCACCAATCGGAATGTCCGAAAAGTTGCGATTGCCATATCTCATTCCATAGGCACCGCTCTTCGGTGCGGACGCCAAAAATTATATCAACTGTATGATGCAATTATAAGCTGCACATGGTATGTAAAGTACCGCACTGTGAATGTCATGAAATAAACATTACAATACTGCCATTTCAAAAGTATTCAAGTTATCTTCTCTGATCTTTTAAATGAAAATAATTGTTTGTCCCTTGACTTTTACACGTGGTAAAACATTAAGTCAATATCATATACAAAACATATAAATTTAGAAATAACAATTGTCAGTATCTTCATCAAGAAGTGTTTTAATTGCAACAACTGTTCTGAACTTTGAACCTTGCAGAAATATAAAGTGGTGTTAGGCCGTAGACAGTTAACACGTGACGTGTGATTATAGTTATATATTTATAGTTTCCATAGCCATAATTCTGCTATATATAACTTTAAAAATGGTTTATCGCGTGTTATGGAATGCATCATCTTGAAATACATTACCTGTTGACAGATATGTTTCATACTCGTCGGCCCCAGCATTGCTTCCTACAGGTTCCGTTACCTGAAATATAGATAATTCACAAAATCACATCATAGTAGGAGTGTAAATTGTTTTTGATCATTTTAATAAATTCACAATAAAAAGTCAGAATCGTTATACCAGAAATAAAAAGAGAGAAACAACAACTATCCAAATCCTTCAATTAATACCTGCTGGTTGTTGATAATGGTTGTTGACAGCCGTTATCAACTCGCAGATCAGATTTATTATATAAAACCATAAAAAATATGTTACATGATCTTTATAAGACAATTTCAGAATGATAATACTATGATATAACAATTCGTAAAAAATGGCCTACATTTATACTTAAAATATTTTTTTAGATAAATTTATGAAGAGTTTTCAATTTATTGTTAAATATGTTTGCATTTCATTTCCTGCAAAAACTCTTCAAGTTTGTTATTTATAACAATAGCGTGACACGAATAATCGTTTCGTCACCAATCGGAATGTCCGAAAAGTTGCGATTGCCATATCTCATTCCATAGGCACCGCTCTTCGGTGCGGACGCCAAAAATTATATCAACTGTATGATGCAATTATAAGCTGCACATGGTATGTAAAGTACCGCACTGTGAATGTCATGAAATAAACATTACAATACTGCCATTTCAAAAGTATTCAAGTTATCTTCTCTGATCTTTTTAAATGAAAATGATTGTTTGTCCCTTGACTTTTACACGTGGTAGGAAAACATTAAGTCAATATCATATACAAAACATATAAATTTAGAAATAACAATTGTCAGTATCTTCATCAAGAAGTGTTTTAATTGCAACAACTGTTCTGAACTTTGAACCTTGCAGAAATATAAAGTGGTGTTAGGCCGTAGACAGTTAACACGTGACGTGTGATTATAGTTATATATTTATAGTTTCCATAGCCATAATTCTGCTATATATAACTTTAAAAAATGGTTATCGCGTGTTATGGAATGCATCATCTTGAAATACATTACCTGTTGACAGATATGTTTCATACTCGTCGGCCCCAGCATTGCTTCCTACAGGTTCCGTTACCTGAAATATAGATAATTCACAAAATCACATCATAGTAGGAGTGTAAATTGTTTTTGATCATTTTAATAAATTCACAATAAAAAGTCAGAATCGTTATACCAGAAATAAAAAGAGAGAAACAACAACTTAAAAAAAATCCAAATCCTTCAATTAATACCTGTGGTTGTTGACAGCCGTTATCAACTCGCAGATTTGAAATTTGTGACCCTTCAAAATATGAAACACCGGGACCGCCATTTTCTCCTTGACTTGAGCTTCCTCCTGCAATGGCGAAAAAATAGTGCGTAATCCGAACCGTATTACATACATATCGTGCGCATTTTAATTAGCAGTTTATCCAAAACGTAATGTAATAGTCAGAAAATATTATTTCATAACCCTGTTATGAACATAAACGTTAAATAACGTTTAAATTACCTTTTGCTTCCACGTATCCGCTGTGATAATCAGCAAACCGGAAATACGCATGTATCCATCCGCCGGCTCCGCCTCCACCTCTGCCGGAAACTGATCCGCCATTACAATATATATTTCCAGTCAATTCAAAACGATCCTCACTGCGCAAATAAATATTGCCACCACTACCTCCACCAGCATACTGATACTGTTTAATTAAAAGATAAATTTATATTTAGTTAACCAACATTTTAACATAGAGGTCACAATATAATAGTTCTTAAATGAAAAACAAAACTGAATAAACATTATCCTTTTCATTTTAGAATTTCATTATTGAATTTTAAACTACAAGACTGGCATTGCAGAACATGGAAGAAAGTTACATACCGATGGACTTGCGCCATTTGCTCTCAAAATGCCACTTATTTCGATGCTTTGTGTTACGTAAATATGAATAATGCCTCCGCCACGCCCACCGTTGTTACCATTTATGGTATGGCTTCCGCCTCCCGATCCCCAACTACTTTCAATAAATATAGTTCCATGAGGCAAAAGCGCGGAAACAAGTGAATAACCACGCCCACCCCGTCCTGCATGACTTGCTCCGCTGGCTCCATTAGAATTTATCTGGCCTTTGCCTGTATTTGACAAATTATATTTTTTCAATAATTCTATATTATATTGTAAATCATTTATTTATGTCTTCTATGTCAATAAGCCTACCATAAAATAAATATTTATCCCGTAAAAAAGAAAGAAAACAAAAATATATCTTTACCACGACATATATTTTTGAAATGTTTTTTTTTTGTTATTAAAAGTAAGCAAAAATCATAAATACCTGGTCCGGTGTCATAAAGATACCCTCCACTGCTGACGTCAATGGTTCCAGACACGTACACATTCTCACAGAACTGCACGTTATCACCAAGGTGACCAATATAAAGGGAACCAGCTCGGAATGTCCCAGCAATGTCCACCGTTTTATAGAGTAACGTAGATGGTTCTGAACCCTGGGAAATGTCCTCTGGCGATTTCATGTACGCAATGTCCATTGTTGCTCCAGAATTTACATTAAAACCACTCCCTTTGAAATGGGAAGTCCTAGAAAATTCAACGCTTCCGCTACTCTGAACAGTGAAAAAGACTATAATTACGTCTGAAGACGGGTATGAGTACAGGGATCCAGCGATTAACGCTTCTTGCACATTCCATTTAGTGTTTCCGGTTTGCCAGTAGGAACCAACATCCATCTGAATTTGGCTTGCTGTGACAGCCGATTCTTCTGACCAATCAGAGGTGACCAAGGAGTCAAACTTCATTTTACCTTTGGGTCCCATATGGATGATAAGGTCTGCGTCTGTCCCTGTCATATTGACGGTATCGTATGCCTCAAAATGTCCATTCACATACATGTAGTCAATCAGAAAATTTCCTTCCGGTTTAAAATAGAATGTTCCATTTACAAGAATTTCAAGTTTATCCCAGCCTTCTTCTGTTGAACCGCTTGTGACGTAATTTTTCATCCAACCAGCTTTGAAAGCTCCATAAACTTTGAAGTCGTGTACACCAACAAGTGAAACATCTGTCCAATCTCTTGAACTTTGAACTTCTGCGTCAAGCGTTACTTTCCCTCCATACTCTATATAAAATTCGTGTACTTTGTCCAGTCCATTTCCTATCAGCGACAAAGGTCCAGCTGAAGTGATTGTACCATTTGTATAAATCGTGTGTATTTGAAACGTGTTGCATGCATTGAACGTCCATGTGCCGTCCTTATTTACAGTGACGTCATCCATGCCATTGTCGATATCAAGGTCGTTAGCAGTGAACGTTTTATCTATGGTAAGCGATTTGACTTTCAGTATATTGCAAGTTTGGTTAAGTTCTTCGGAATAGTTTTGTGCGGGTAAGTTCTCTCTATTAAGTTCAAGGACTCCACTGGGAGAGTGTATGGTCATTTCTTTCACTCTTCCATCTAAGGATAAATGTGACATTATCGTTGCAATGTTTTCAACGTACATTTTTCCGGCTATGGAAATTGTGTCTGCCTGGAAAGGACCGTCTGTTGTTAAGGTAAATGTACCAGATGACCCTATGGTAAACTGGTCTATTCCGGTTCCAGTAGAGACAATGCCGGGGCTGAAAACACCGTTAATTTTTACGATTTCACACTCAAGCATAATTATATCATCAGTTTGCGGCCAAGTGAGCGTACCTTTTTCCAGAAGGAATTGATTACATGGTTTCTTGATTGATATATGTTTTTCTAAATTCACTTGTCCCCGAATGTCGATCTCTTCGCCGAGGTAAAAAAATGGTGTTGAAGGGTAAAAGTTCACAACTCCCTCTGACTCTACAATGAAACTTTTAGTACCTCCTAAAATGTCCAACTCTTCGGCAATGAACTCTCCGCCTATCACAACATTTGTTGAATTTAATATGAAAGGTCCGATGTTGTTTATTGATAATTGGGCATTTTCTTTTATGTCTAATGTCTCGCATTCTAAATGCATTATTTCCGTCGTATTAAATGTCAAAGCTGCTGGTTCAGCAAGGATCAAGGACTGTTTTGGACCATTTGTCATTTCTAAAGACCCACTTACATAAATGGAACCGACAAGTTCCACTTCCGGAACTGCATGAAATTTCATGGAACTTCCAGGGTAGATGTGCGCATGAGCAGTCATTTTACCATTTACATCGAGATTTGAGTCGTCTGCTAAATGAAGAACTGACCTCCCATCTCCGAGTACATCCGTGACGTTCTGATTTGAGCTTAGGACCAGATGAGATCCGTCATTAATCACAATTTCGTTAAAAACAGCATCCTCGTCGGAAACATATGCGGCGGCACCTTAAAATATGACAAGAACGAATCCAAAAAACAAGTCAGTAAAGATGTATACCTAGAATAAGATTGTAAATAGATATTTTGTACGATTCTTAATAAGCCTATTTAAGTTAAAAGTGTTTAAACGCTTTTTATTCAAAATTATATGCCAAGGTGCGCTAAAATACTACATATTTGCATAAGATTTGCTCCTATTTGCAGCATTACATTCAACATGTTTGACCACATAGCTTCAATAAATACAGAACGCTCAAGTTAATTTCTTATATTCCTTTTTGCAACGGCTATTTATATATAAAACTAGCTTCTGAACTATAGATTTATCCCTTGTATATTAGATTGTTTAATCTTGTTCTTTCCATACCGCTTTTTTGCCCTACACTGAATACGCGTACGTGAAATGTTACTTCCATTCCTTAGGTAAAAATGTAAAAAATGGAATAAAAAGTGTTTCTCTTCTTTTTGGAAAGGATTACGGAAAATTTGTTATATTTTAATTAATTAAAAAAACAACAACAATAAAATCAGTCTGCATACACAGATGTTCTACATTTTGGTTTTCATCAAAAAGGCGGCCTTAACTATAAGCAGATAGAAACTAATTACAGTGACGCTTACCTTGTTGAAGCACGTCCATAGCTGTGCATGTTGGGTCCATTGCTAGGTTCGGACTCTTTCCATAGTTATTTATGACAAGTTTAGCCTCGTTTTCATTCATTCTGTAATATATCGTTCCCGGACCGCCACTTCCACCTGTAATGTTATCACGTTACAATACAATTTGAAATTGAGTTGACTATATCTATAATGTACATAAAGCATACACGTATGTTGTGCTTTCTTATAAACAGACGATAGAAATACTAGTCACATATTTTTCACTGATTGAAGATAATGGCATTCTGACGAAAATATTGACCTAAAAAATTATTACACATTACATTTCATCATTGTTTACAATAAAAATTAGTACGTGTTATGAAAAAAAAACCTTTTCAAATAATCGTTCACTTCGAATCAGCGCAAAGAGCAATCTTGCAATTATAAGACACACATTGACAGAATTCTGGAAACAAAGTGATCCCTCGGAAGCATTAATCACAACAAAATAACATAAGAATTGCAGACTCGGTTTGATAGAGTCTGTGCATGAGGGATAATGAATTAGTGCAACATCCCTCACGCCCCCTAGCACCGGCTTGAGCGGTACTCAATTCTCAACACTTTATAGTGTTGGCATCAATGATCCCGAAGGACCAGAAAATATAACAACACTGAAGTGAAGTACGGGGCAACTTTTTACGGCTGCCACACGGCACTTGACACCTGCTGTTGTGAAGTACAAAATTCTGGAAACAAAGTGATCCCTCGGAAGCATTAATCACAACAAAATAACATAAGAATTGCAGACTCGGTTTGATTGAGTCTGTGCATGAGGGATAATGAATAAGTGCAACATCCCTCACGCACCCTAGAAGTCTTTCCGTTGCATTAACCGTACTTTCGAAATTTACTTTTATTATGGTTTGGTTTAACTATATCAGAAAGAATGGATCTACAAGTAGGACAAATGGTCTTAGAACAATTTGACTTCATCTGCAGCACATAATGCGCTAGAAGTGTTTTTCGTTTGAATATTTTAAAGTGATTTCATATATTAAAAGTGCTGGGAAAAGTAAGCTAATGTATTCCTCTGTTGCTTTAAGTATAAGCCGATTTCTGTTCCGAACATACGTTGTCCAGAATTTAACGCAATATATTGGTATGTGTTACCATCATCTTAAGTTTTGGTTTAATGCGGCGTTATAAATAACTTGTTCTTCGGGATTATTACTTGTAATGAGAGATTTAAAACATGTGTAATCACTAGTTACACCGTCCACAGAAGTGTAACAGATTTAACGAGAACCATTGGCTGCCCTGTTACTGTGTGAAGATGAAAGAGGTTATATTACAGTTTCCAAAATCTGTGTGTCCAACCACTTCGAGTGAGAGGGTCATCATTTTGGGTTCTAGCTATCAAAGGTATTACAACTCACATATTTTTACTGAATATTTAGCAGTTTCTTGGTTTGATACATTTTTTAAGTCAAAGAATACGATTAAGAATATTTAAATGGCATCAAGTGATAAGTATAAACTTTATGTAAAGATATGAAGTTTAACTTGTTGATCATGCCGGTTATCTTCCACGACATATTTGAGCCGCGTCATGACAAAACCAACATAGTGGGTTTGCGACCAGCATGGATCCAGACCAGCCTGCGCATCCGCGCAGTCTGATCAGGATCCATGCTGTTCGCTTACAAACCCTATAACAAGTAGAGAAACTGATAGCGAACAGGCTGGTCTGGATCAATGCAGGTCGCAAACGCATTATGTTGGTTTTGTCATGGCGCGGCTCATTTGTGCATCAGCTACGCGACATCGGATTTTTATCAAAAGTATTGAAAGGTGTCTCAAACGTGATTATTGACCTCAAAACTTAATGATGTTGAATACTGCTTGAGTCTATGATATGACGCATGACATGAAGCAACTTTCAATATTTTTCAAGGACAGATTCAATAAATTTTTACGTTTTTTTATTTCTTTTTTTTATTATTTTTTTTTCATTTTTGAACTCTCGCAGAATCTCTATTCATTAAGGCTTTGAGAAGATGCAAAATTTATTTTGATTTAGCACAATTATGTTGTTCTTTTATATTTTTAGTGTTCTATTCAATAGGTTCAAACAATTCAAAAATTGAATTCAATTCGGAAAATCCTATGTTGTTATGTATTGTTTGTTGTTTATTAAGCTAAGCATTTTATAATGTGAATAAATAATATACAAAACTAGTTTGGTAATATTATGAAACAATTAATATTCGTTATATACATTTCTTTCAATTACATATTACATTAATTGTACAGAATCATTGTATCTAAAGACAATTGAGACTTTATTTTATTGTTTACAGAATGTTGAACGCTCTGTTGAGAACGTTTATACTTTTTGCAACTTTTGTTGCGGCAACACGGGGAACGTACGTTGTTGATACCTATAACTCATTGGATATTGACGAAACGTCGAGCTTAGAACAGTCTATCAATGCTGAATCCAACACTGAAACGCTTGAAATAAGTATCTGGAGTCCATGGGGAGCATTTAATGGTGGAGGCTCAACTGAAGAATCAGGAACAGCCAGAACAACAGTCAAACCACACAGCATTAAATCAGTGGGATCTCAAACGTCTGACGACAACTCTAACTCAGTCGATAGTGCCACGGCTAATGATGGAGCTTCTGTTAAATCAATTTCACTAAATTCTGGGGCGTCTAATAATGGTGACGAGAATGCCGGGGGTGGATTGAATGGTGGAAGTTCAAGTAAGGTTTCAGAAATAAATAGAACGACGGTAAAACCAAAGAGCATTAAATCTTCTGGATCTCAAACGTCTGACGACAACTTTAACTCAGTCGATAGTGCCACGGCTAATGATGGAGCTTCTGTAAAATCAATTTCACTAAATTCTGGGGCGTCTAATAATGGTGACGGGAATGCCGGGAGTGGATTGAATGGTGGAAGTTCAAGTAAGGTTTCAGAAATAAATAGAACGACGGTAAAACCAAAGAGCATTAAATCTTCTGAATCTCAAACGTCTGACGGCAATTCTAACTCAGTCGATAGTGCCACGGCTAATGATGGAGCTTCTGTAAAATCAATTTCACTAAATTCTGGGGCGTCTAATAATGTTGATACCTATAACTCATTGGATATTGACGAAACGTCGAGCTTAGAACAGTCTATCAATGCTGAATCCAACACTGAAACGCTTGAAATAAGTATCTGGAGTCCATGGGGAGCATTTAATGGTGGAGGCTCAACTGAAGAATCAGGAACAGCCAGAACAACAGTCAAACCACACAGCATTATATCGGCTGGATCTCAAACGTCTGACGACAACTCTAACTCAGTCGATAGTGCCACGGCTAATGATGGAGCTTCTGTAAAATCAATTTCACTAAATTCAGGGCCGTCTAATAATTATGACGGGAATGCCGGGGGTGGATTGAATGGTGGAAGTTCAAGTAAGGTTTCAGAAATAAATAGAACGACGGTAAAACGAGCATTAAATCTTCTGAATCTCAAACGTCTGACGGCAACTCTAACTCAGTCGATAGTGCCACGGCTAATGATGGAGCTTCTGTAAAATCAATTTCACTAAATTCTGGGGCGTCTAATAATGGTGACGGGAATGCCGGGAGTGGATTGAATGTGGAAGTTCAAGTAAGGTTTCAGAAATAAATAGAACGACGGTAAAACCAAAGAGCATTAAATCTTCTGAATCTCAAACGTCTGACGACAACTTTAACTCAGTCGATAGTGCCACGGCTAATGATGGAGCTTCTGTAAAATCAATTTCACTAAATTCTGGGGCGTCTAATAATGGTGACGGGAATGCCGGGAGTGGATTGAATGGTGGAAGTTCAAGTAAGGTTTCAGAAATAAATAGAACGACGGTAAAACCAAAGAGCATTAAATCTTCTGAATCTCAAACGTCTGACGGCAATTCTAACTCAGTCGATAGTGCCACGGAAATTAATGATGGAGCTTTTGAAAAATCAATTTCAGAAAATTCTGGGGCGTCTTCTATAAACGGCGGAAGCTCAAGCAAGGTTTCAGAAATAAATAGAACGACGGTAAAACCAAAAAGCCTAAAATCATCTGAATCTCAAACGTCTGACGACAACTCTAACTCTCTCGACAGTGCGACGGAAATTAATGATGGAACATCTGAAGAGTCAATTTCACAAAATTCTGTGGCGTCTAATATAGTTGAATGGAGCCCCTGGGGTGGATTGACTGGTCGAAGGTAAAATTAGATGAAGGAATGTTAAGTAAAGAGACAATAATACTGTAACCGTCATGTTGAAAACAAACAATAAAAATGTAATTGATAAAAACATCACTATGTGAAGCATGCTATGTTTGATCAATAAATAATGATCTTATGTTTATTATGTCTTTTAGTGTTGTCGCTCAGAGGTATTATAGTTCCGTTCCTTGTTTATCATTTAGCATGACACTTCTGCAGTTAGCTCTTTGAATTTAATCTTATTCTACGGTTGGTTCAAATATACCTACTTTAATACTATTTTCTGTTATTCCTATGGTACGGCGTCCCATAGAAAACTTAAAGGAAAACGACGAGGTGTTCCGGGAGTGCTTTTGGAAGAACGAACGAAATATCAAAGGAAGGCGATAAGATCTAGATCCAGGACGAGAAATTAAAAAAAAATATATTGTTCGCTTAAATTAAACGGTTTTTTCCGTTCCCGACTCTTTAAAAAAAATATTTATAGCTCTATTTTGTAAAGCGCTTAGTAAATTGATACCGCACATGGACAATTGAAACAGATACATACTTCAATAAGCCCCTCCCTTTAACCATTAGATAAAAATTACTTCAATCAAGTTCATATGACATACTTTTTGTCCGGACCAAGTTAATTATTGGGAGAACAAGGACACTGTGAAGAGGGTAGAAACATTAATCGCGACGAATCACAACCACATGACCGTCTGACATCGCACGTTACGAAATATACAGAGATCACTTATGGAACAAATTGTATCTTTGTAATTTATTGTATTTCATAATTGCACAAAATGTAGTCATTTTTAAAAGGGTAAGAAAATTTGAAACCAACCCACTGAAATATCACAAAAAATATTTAAAAGCACAATAGGTATAATAATGGAAATTTGCCGAAATAATTATTGCGACAAAAAATAGTAATAATAGTGTATAAATAATACCGGTATATAATTACAAAAAAAGTAGACAAATACAATTTTCCATTTAACTGCACGTACTATGTATTTGCATTACTTCAGCCAATTAGAACACAAATAACGCTTTTGTTTGGACTTTCTTTGGTCCACTAATCAGACTGAAAAATCAGGTCAACATTCTATTTTTAAAGTTAGATATCTTGAAATCGCTGTACATTAACATGTTTTTGAAAAGTACGACAAGAAATGAAAACAAAAGAAAAAAATGTCGCAATAATTAAAAAAATTCGGTGCCAAAAAAAAATAAAAATGAAATCACCGTGTCTAACCGTTACAAAAGAAGAATCGTATATTCTCAGATCAATATGGCTTAATTGGTTTGTAACACACGAGCTTTATTTGGAGCTTGATTAATGGTAGCACAGAAGATTTACTGTAACACGGGTGGTAAATTATTGGCAAAAATTGAGCTTAATCAATGGTAACACTGGAACTAAATTTTTGGTAACACATGAGCTATTTTACTGATAAGTCGGGAGCGGTGGCCTAGTGGTTAAGGTGTCTGCCTCTCAACCCAGAGAGCATGGGTTCGAGCCCTACTCGGGTCACGACCATGTTTCTACATACGACACCAGGACTGGTTGGTTCCAGGAAGCGGACTCAAAAGTTATTAATATAAGTTGCAAGAACTTGTTTCGCAATAGAGCTTAAAAAATATGTTTAAACCAATAAGTCGGGAGTTTCATTTATAGAAACGCACGAGCTTTTATGATGGTAACATGGGAAATTAATAACACGGTAACGTAATAATCAGTAACATAGGAACTTATGTATTTGGTATCACAGAAGGTTAATTATCGGTAGCACGGGAGCTTAATTGTTCACAAGTTAATGTGATTTTGGTCGATTTAAGGTATATCCTGGTGAAAGAGTAACAATTTTTTTACCAGTGATGTCCTTTAAAACAATGACAATTTACCGTTTCGTTTGAAAGATAAACATTAACCAACAAGTATTTGTTTTTCTAGTTGATGAATTTAATGAGCTAAGCTGAATGTGTCATAATTAAAGTGGTCGAGGACCTAAAATCCAAGGCGCAACAGTCAGTGCTTGCTGCTTATTATTTGTTTAACAATAGAATGTAATACGATGACAAAATTTTCAAAGAATCTTTTAATAATATTCCAGTGAATCTAAAGTGTAAAACGTGTTGCTGTATGACCATTTGCGGCCACATTTTTTTACCCCCTTATTCTATATAATGTGTTTATATTTTACGTGCATAGGTTTTCACAAAATGAATAATAAATAAAAAAAACAAATAAAATAATAAATGAATAATAGCATCTCGCGCCGAATGTCCTACTTCACTTTGATTGTGTTAATAATACTTAAATATAAATCTTTTCTTGATGCGGAGAAAATTTACCGTCATAAGGTCATACTTAATTGATCCGATTCTTTAATGTAACGGTTGTGCACGGTGGTTACTGACACAGAGAAGTATTTGATTTATTGCACACGAAGTTGAACGATAAGGATACTTGAACGATAGAAAATAGATTTTTCATTACAGTCAAGCATATTGTCAGTTTACTAACCCAATCAGATAACAGAACAGAACGATTTATCTATTTTACCTATCTGCACTCACGAGTTTTACCTAGACGCACTTTATGTCCTCATTTTTATTTAAATTTGTAAGTCCGTATAGGTTATAGATGATTATACAAGGGCAAAATATTATTTACGCAAAATATAATTTACGGCCGACTATTTACGGCCGACTGCTTAAAAAAAGCAACACTAGGAAAACGTTTTGGTCAGTAATGATTTTATATTTATGTATGTATGAATCTTGTAAATTGATATGAAAATGAGGATTACGTATAGTTTGATTAATAAGACATCGTTTAGTCGACAAAAGTTCAGCCCGGGGCCAGTATAAGGTTGGATATGATGATCATAATAATGATGAAGTGATGATGATGATGATGATAATGATGATGATGGTGATGATAATGATCAATAAAAGTGATAATCATCGGACTACAAAATTTCACAAATTATTTGACACCGTTCAGCACCTCAAAACAGTAATTAATCTCCAATAAACTACAACAAAATTTATTTTCAGCAAAAACATGAACTGCCACTCTCGATAACTTTCAGCTTAATGTATGCCACTCATATCAAAATTTGAGCCGCGTCACGACAAAACCAACATAGTGCGTTTGCGACCAGCATGTATCCAGACCAGCCTGCGCATCCGCGCAGTCTGATCAGGATCCATACTGTTCGCTTACCAACCCTATTACAAGTAGAGAAACTGATAGCGAACAGCATGTATCCTGATCAGACTGCGCGAATGCGCAGGCTGGTCTGGATCCATGCTGGTCGCAAACGCACTATGTTGGTTTTGTCATGGCGCGGCTCAATTTGTTTTCAGCAAAACATGAACTGCCACGCTCGACAGCTTTCAGCTTAATGGATGCCACTCATATCAAAAATCCTAACAACATAGCATTTGAATTTAAACTGGAAAGATATATATAAAAAGACAACATAGAAATACTGAAAGTGTAACGAAAAGTCGAGAATTTGTGTGATTATTAGCCAATGTTAAGAACAAGAGACGGTTTAAGATGATGATAATTTTCATGAAAAAATTGAAAATGTATTATATTTAAAAAATTGAAATACTGTCAAGTGAACAAAGAAATAATTTACACATTGCTAATGAATGTTCAATTCAAGTTTATCACCATATAAAGGTAAAAATTGCAAAATATGGTGATAATCATTGCAAAATTATTTTTTGATTGATGTAAATCATTACTTGAATCATGATCTTGTTTTACAGGTTAATTTTCTTCATCTGGAGGCATGCACTTTTAAATATATTGTTATAAAGTGAACCATTAGTATTCTTTATACTATTTTTGAACGATATATATTTTAAGAATTCAAGCGAAATCATGTGATAAAATTTTATTGACCCATTACTTGTGTAAGAAACCAAAACATAACTTACATAACTAAACACATAACTAAGCACCTTTTGAAGCAATGCACTTAAAGAAAAAGAAAGAACTTTTTGCTTAGTGTCAGAGTGAATTGAGTCCAATCCAGTTTGCGTTTAGTACACGTCAAAGTATTTTTGGAAGGACTTGATTTTCTTTCTTTTTTTCTTTCAACTATGACCCCTGTTTTCTATCCGTTATCATTTTAGTTATAACTTATCTTTACTTGACTCGGACCTTTCTTTATAAGTTTAACTTCGGATTTATCTTTTTTCCTACTTATCTTTTTCCATTTTTATTTCGGACTTTGCTTTTCTTCATGTTACTTCGGACTTCTTTATCTTTCAGTTTACTTATGATTTTTCCATTTTTATTTTACTTCGGACTTATTTTTTCCCCTTTACTTGGGACTTATCTTTTTTCAGTTTATTTCGGACTTTGCTGTTTTACATTTTACTTTGGACTTTTTTCATTTCTTTTGGACTTATCTTTTCATTTTACTTTAGATTTATCTTTTTTTTTTATTTTACTCCGGACTTATCTTTTTTCATTTTACTTCGGACTTATCTTTTTTTTTAAATTTTACTTCGGACTTAAAGTGTTCTAGATTTTAAATTACAGGTACCTTTGTCTTAGATCGTTGGAAACTTGTCAAATTAAGAATATAAATGCCTAATCATTCTCGGTAGATTGAGTGTGCTATACGCTTAATGTGCATACAAATATGAAATGAAATACAAGTATATATCGTGCACCGTCAATGACAACGCGTTTTAAACCCATGCAAAGATATTTCAATTCGTTTCCAGTTCAAAGGGAGAACAATAAAAAACAATTCATAAAATACTTTGTGTTGATTTCAAATGACAGAAATGGTTGGTTAAATAGACGTTAACAAAAGATAATTATCGGCATTTCTTGATCTAAGACCATTTTTGTTTTCCCTTATTTACAGTGTCTGTAAAATCATGCACCTTGGCATGTAAATGGCAACGTGATATATACAAATTATGTCACAATGCACTGCTGAAAATATCAGGGTCAAGGTAATAAGCATTTGTCTAAAAAGTGATTACGTTTTTTAACACGCCGAGATGAAGAATAGAAATAATAAACGCAATTACTGATAAGCCAGTAAGATATTTAACCATTACTGTTACCTTATTAAGTGTGTGTTATAGATAGGAATATAGATTTGAAAACGATCTTTGTTAGTGCTCGCATACGGACAATGAATAGAAAATAATGTTAAAACTAGGCAGAAATTAGTTGCGGGTCTTACTAGATTTTTAAGGCCGTGCGAGCATAAAATGACTGTGTGACAAAATGTATAACTCTCTTAGTCTCCAGATAAAGAATTTATGAATATATCTTTGTTGTTTTTGTAGTTGTTATTGATGTTTTTACTTTTATTGATCTTTACGCAAATGTTGTGCACGTTTGCATGAATGAGATATTGGCAGATATGCAAATGAGTTCTTATTATGAAGTCTATACTTGGAAAGGCTTCTACTTTCCTTGTATGGTAGCGCTTTTACGTAGATTCTGGAACAATGAATTATAAATGTGGACTGACACTTTTTGTTAAAACTGGAAGGAGAACTGTTGCACGGAGATAATGAGTTAGCAATATCATAGAAGGAAAATATTTAGTACTGTTCAACCAGAAATAAAAAAGAAATATGTATAAAGCTCAAACCTTTCGTTGCCGGAGTGCAAATACCGGTTGGATTTGTCTCAGAAGTGCCTGAAACGTAATATAGATATCCAAAATAAAAATCTGAAACATTGGATTCATTTCCCCCATAATTCAAAATGTCTACATATCGGCACGGACTTTAATTGTAATATAAATCCGTGATATCGGACGGAAAATCCAAGCGTTTGTGAAACATCAGATGTGAATTAAATTATTATTGATTAAAGAAGTTGCATATGCCTGTATATGTTCATTGATTAAATTTAAAAAAAAAATGAAATTTAAGAAACATTTAAAATGACGCTATTGTGTATAATTTTTTTAGTATATACATGTATTTATAAATGTGACAAAGTGACTCAGACCTGGAGCATATCCTAGCAACTGGAATGAGAGTTCAGGTGCGCCGGAGTATGACACCGGGTACAGTCGCACTTTATTTGTATACAACGGCCATGGCAGGTATCGCGTTACTTGACTAGACGCGTCCGTATTGCCGCTGAAGAGATAGTTGTCATCTCCAATGGTAAACTGAAAAAAAATATATAATATAGTCTATGATAAGTTTAGGTATAAAAAGTACTAATGGGGGAGGAGGCATTTTTGTATTTTGCAAGTGTTCTCACTCAAAGATCGATTTCCTTTGATACTGTTGGGGTCTACTTTTATTACTTTTTATTCTACACCGGACATTGACCATGCAACGCTAGGCTAATTTTACTTTTCACTAGAAATTTATGCGGATAATTAATGTTGAAATAAATGATAAATTAGTAAATACTCTTGCTCTGAATCACTTAAATGACAGCGAACTATCTTGTTGCGCGCATGGATTTTGATTGTTGCTCTATGACCCATGCTATTTAAAACGACGGTAAAAGAATGTGATGTATCACCTTCAAGCAACAGTATTTTCAGCGCACGGGTGTGGCAAGTAGGTGTTTCCTTGAGCAAGAAATTTTACACTCATTGCTCAGGTTGGTTCCGTGAACGGATTCGAAAGTGTGCCTATAAGCTTATAGCTTCCTACACAATCGAACTTAATAAATGTCTGTATAAACTAGAAAACAGTATTTATGAAAATTTAGATGAGTGCAATATCACTAATTCTTATTCATTATAAATATGAATAAATAAGCCTGTCTATTCCTTACGGAAGCCATTATTTTCTTGTATACACGTTTCCCCGCGATTCTTTACTCCAATTTCGCTCGTCACACATATTGTTTATTACTTTATTCAAATTGTAGTAAATCAGAAATTTACTTAAAAATCACAATGAATAAAACCTGTGGAAAAGATTGTGCTTGTATTATGGTAGAGAACGTTTATCAAAACTAAAATTTAAAACATACCCATGAGTCAGATGAGGAGTTGTAGTACCGGACAGTGTAGGTTTGCACATAATAACCCGATCCACCTCTTGTCTTGATGGCCGTGACATAGTTCTCGGAGTCGAGGCTCATTTGTAGGTACGACCCGGCATACGTCGATGGTCTCCAGGAATACGAGCTGTGCGTGCCGAGATAGCCATATGAGTTCGGGCGAGCGCTTTGACTCGAACTTGAGCTCATTGACGATCCGGATGCAACAAGCGTTGTTTGCATTGAACCTAAAGATAGCCGTAGATATTTTAGTCTGGTTGATATGTAATAATTTACTTCACATACGATAATAAGTTTTCATTTTTTACTAAAATCAGGATAAGATCATCTGTCTTTGGGTGTCTTAGCGGTATAATACCGCTTAAATTTAGTGATGCGTAGCCGCTGAAATTCTGATTTTATATAACTGTCAAAACAACATACATTGTATAATATTGACTGAAAACTTTAAATACTTAAAATGTTGTACTTAATGAATGAGCGGAAACTTTTTCCGTATATGGTATTAAAGTAAGATAGAATATATTTAATAGTACACACTACTTTGCATTTCAAAGTATCTGAGGGTGTCCCAGTCAGCCTTTATAATGAACGGACCTCAACAATCTGTTTCGGCCAGACTGACTGGTTGGTCTCTATGAAACGCTAGATGATGTACTATTCCTAAAGTCTGAGACCGCATGCATACATTAAATAAGAACTCCTCCAGTTCCCATACTAGAAATTGATCACTCAGACATATAGGGTCTATTCATTCATTTATTTTTTTTTTATTTGTTCAGTTGATATTCCAATTAATTATCTTTAATCTTGAATAAATTTCAAAGACCTAACATTGCTGAATAGCGTACGTAAATCTACATAGAAGACGAAATTTGCTATTTGTTAAGCTTATTTCAGAATGAAATGAAGGTATTTATGGTACCTACCACCAAGACCTCCGTCGGCAAAAATGTTTCCCGAGAACGAAAGCGCATTAGTATGTACAATAGCTATTCGTCCCCCACCTCCCCCACCACCATCCCCGGAACCATCACCGCCTCGTGCTGATATCACACCGGAACCGGAAAGTGTACCGATTTCGAGGTAGACGCTTCCTCCACTTCCGCCACCACCACTTCCGGTGGCATCGCCGCCATTTGCCGAAATCATTCCATTTATTGTTAGGGCGTCTGCATATATATCGAACGTTCCACCGCCTAGACCGGCCCCAGAACCCCCACCTGCACTTCCAGGTTCAGCGGTATTTGAGGTACTATCGTATGTAGGGGCGTCGGACACGGAGAGGAAATTGTTGGCTGCACTACCTCCCCGCCCACCATGGCTACCTGGAATTATAAGTTATGGTTTAATGATAATGAATGTGAATGAAAAGAGATAAACAGACACAATAAAAGTTTTTATGTGAATAAATGTTTTCTTTTTTAAGAAAGATCAAACAGTTTTAAAACATTTAAATCATGGTTTAAAGCAAGTAAGATGTTTAGCCTGATGAATGTGAAATTATTAGACATAAATAATAAATTATGTAAACAAACAGTATTTTAACTTCCATGCAAAATACTAAATCACTGTAACTGAACTATTGTAACCAAAAAACGGCAGAAGCCAAAATGATTCAAGTAATAGGCCAATGAGTCATTTTGTCAACTTTTTTTGTTGAAAATTTAAACAGGGCAGTAAAATAAAACTTTCATGAACTTAGATTTTATGAAATGAAAAACAATTCAAGCAAATTTGTACATGTTATGTGCGATTAATGTCTAATATTGCAATATTTAATGCATTTTCAGAAAAAAATCTTTTATCTAAATTATTATTTGAAATAAAAATAATAATTAATAATAATAATAATATTAGTATAATAATAATAATAATAATAATAATAATAATAATAATAATAATAATAATATAATAATTATAATAATAATAATAACCATCATCAGCATCATAATAATAATAATAATAATAACACATATAATAATGATATCGATAATAATAATGATGATTATTATGATGATATACATGCAGCGTAATTTATTCCTCTAATTTCAATTTTATATATATCTAAAACTCATAAACTGTTACATTGCTATGTTAACATTTACCTAATCTATATAATTACGAATTTTTGTTATTATGGCGATAAATAAATAAATGAATGAATAAATAAATAAGTAAGGGAGTGACTGAATGATTGAATAAACCAATATATTGATCGACCGATCGATCGATCGATCAATCAATAAGATCAATCAATCAATCTGTCGAAGTGTCTTCGCTTTTGATATTCCTAACATTTGAATTTTTTACTGGATATTTTCCCCCCTCATTTCTCATCAAATAAGTAACATATACTTTTAGTAAAACGATGTCGGTTGTATTTTTAAGGAATTTTAGAACAAAACATTGTTAAAATAGTATTTTAGTTAATTAACGGATAGTATAACCACTCAAAGAAATAAACGGACACTCTTGTTGTAATTAACAGCGCGGATCTTGCTTGACTGACCGAAAAAATGGATGTAAAATTTATGATATTAAGGAATATGCCATCAAACTGCTAAACAATGAATAATTATTGTTTCTCATGTTAAAATATTAAAACAGAAGAAAAGACCGAACAATAAGATGATACTTTACCTCCAGATCCGAGAGCATTTCCCCTACCAGTTCCGCCGGAAGCTAAATTGTCGGCTGTTATTTTACCGCCAGCGTGTACATCGACAATATTGGCGCGAATAACGATAAGATCCGATGTCGTTATTGTAATAGTTCCATGAACTATCACTTCATTCTTGTCAAGATCCGACGATAGAGTACATTCCGTGTTTTCAGGAACTTCCAAAGTGTCGGCGGAAACATAATTTGAACAATCGTTAGCACGAGTTCCGCCGATAAAAATCACAAAAGCAAAGCACAGCGTTAAAACGCCGCTTAGCGTCATTTTAAATTCCACAATTTCTATGTATTATGAATATATTTGTTGATTTAATAAAAAATAAGAAATTTCTTTTGGACTGCAAGCGTCGTTATATTGAACGCCCGCAAACTGATCTTTTCTTCCTGGTGATAGGTTATTTTGTATATTCGTTTTACAATAATCGGGAATATCCAATGTCTAAAAGGGGTATCGGGTTGTGTTAGTTTCGAATTTCAATTTAACAAATTTGAACCACGTTTATGTTTTTAAATATATAAGTGCATATATAATTTCAGGTATATCTAATCAAATGAATATATGATATAAATGCACCGACATGAGTCAATGGATCATTTTGATGTGAATTATTTATTTTGTTAAGCTTGAATTATACCCGTAAATAACGTGTCACAATGCAATGTTAATGGCAGCTGTCCAGTTTCAACCGCGCAAGAAGTTTCCAGCATTTTGGTAAATCTGTCGACTTTCGTTATTTATGAGCTAATTTGATCCGCTTCTTGACCGGTATATGTTTTTACGTTGCATGATAAATATGTTTTATGACTATATTGATAAATTTATTCATTTGATTTTCATATAGACATATAGGCAGAATTGAAAATGTTCAATAGAATTTCTTTAATCTCGGCATGTTTTTACAATATAACATAAATAGTTTAAGTGAAAAAAAACATTGGTTGTCGCCGATCTCACTTTTGGGCAATATGCATTAGAATCTGAATCATTTAATTATTAGAGGTCATTTCAAGGGCAGATAACTCATATGCTCGTCTACAATATCTTGTTTTTTACTTATGAATTATGTTTTTCTTTCTATTTTTATCACAATACACAATAACATGCAATTCCATAAACTATTCTGATAAAAATTTTCAGTTTGAAAAAGGGACAGAAATTCTTTTAAAAAAGGGCCATTTTTATGAGAAAAATTGTAAAAGTTTAGGAAAAGTAGGGAAAACGAGCAACCCGCTCTTTGTTCATTCTTGAAATTTGCAAAATGAGTCAAGAGGAAGTAAGGTTCGTGAAAATCTGAAAAAATAAGGTATTGTTCACCTTCAATATGAATTATCTGCCCTTGAATTGAGCAAAAAAGTCCAACTCAGGGGCACATAACTCAATAAACGAGAACGGTGACCCACAATTAGTTTCGCTTAAAATGTTTCTGTTATCATATTTCAATCATATGCCATGTTAAACAAAATCTATGAAACAGTTTTAATTTTGCCTTAAATTCTCTATGAAATCACCCGATAACACATTAAAGTCACAATGGTGTAAATGGTCGCCCGTGTATAAAATATTTAATTTATTCTTTAAAAAAAATAGTTCGCAATAAACCAATAGACAAAAGTTCAACATTAGGGCATGCTTTGTGACCGTGGCTGGCTGATGTTTAGAACTGTAAGTACGGGTGAACCGTCATTAAATTTGAAAAATTGTCTAGATCTTATCCAGTAATAATTCGCTTTTAATTTACCCCCAAACTAACGGGAGGGATTGTGTATTGGATTTGATAAGCGACATTGACAACACATGCCTCTTAAATCAATATACCAACAATAATCTGTATATTTGATATCTTTCATATGTAGATAAGATATTTTACTCTCTGAAGGCCAGGGCTGCGTCTCAAAGAAAGTGTAAAGTATATCCTAAGTCCTAGGACATCAAAACCAACGTTAGGAATAAAATAAGACCGTTTCAATAAATGTTGTTTTTTTTTAAAATTCTGTCATTCACACAAATACTGTAGACTATAATCAGATTCATTCTCCTTAGAACATTTAAGAAATACAACGACATATCCTCTTATTCTCAATGTGTTATTGGTTGTCTGTATTGCTACTTAGAAATTACAAGAGTCATACAATAGGGGTCAGAACATAAGACATTTTCTTTGAAACGCAAAATAATCTTGGTTTTGGTCTTAAGAATAATTTCAGGCTTAGGACTTTCTATGATACTCCAGCTGCCTTGTCTAGTACACCAGTTTAAATCTAAGCCAAGCTTTACGTCAACGCACTATAGTCTCTATATCTTTTTAGAAGCCTGATTCTAACGTGAATCCTTTGTTTGCAGATTCAGGACAGTCCTTTTGATCACGCTTATATCGCCCGTTACAAACATTAAGGGGGACAAAAGTTAAGGTGAAGAATTTGAAAACATCTTAGGTATAAATATAGATGTCATTTATCACATACCCGTGCCGATTTTGCGACTCCGTAAAAAAGGGTATTGCACAGTCGTGTTTTAATTTTTACGTGTGGTCATTTGCTTTATTATACATGTACAAACATACTGCAGTGTAAAGATGCACTAAATGTTAGCGCGTCAATGAAGAATGATTCTTTTGCACTTTAAACAGTCTTTCATTTGGGTATGTGATAAATAGAATATTATATTTGTGCAGGTTCATTACTGAATTTATTGAACTGTTGAATAAAATTACATTATGCTCCCAGAATTTCCCATATGATTTCATTCAACTCGTTTAATACATTCAGTATTGAAACTACACTCATTCTGTATATTCAACAAAAATTCGAAAATTCATTTGAAGGCTAAAGAGTGAGTAAAAAAATAATTATTTTTAAGGGATACCCAAGATGCTACGAGGGCTGTTCAAAAAGTTCGTGGACTGCGGCTCTACTGTTCACATCTTTTAATTTGCGTATATGATTTAACAAGAGACATATATGAAAATATGTCCTTAATAAACAGTGAAAAAATCAATACAATATGTTTACAAATAACAATTCTGTGACAGTTACAAATCACAAGGGGTGCACAATCCGGCGCACGCTGATGATGAAACAAAATGACGTTCGTGACGTCGCAATATAAATGAAACATTTTGCCAGCGTCATTGTTTCTGAAAGTACTCTGTTTAGTGTTCAATATCTGCGAATCATATACCAAAACCATTTTTCTGTTTGTGATGATGACCCGAGATATAAAGTGGTCATCTTTTCGCTCCATTCTCCGTATAAAGGTCCGAGTGCCGCATACTTTCCACTCTTTATCGGGATTTTTGAGTAAGTTCGATACTTAACGGACAGTGTTAATAACTTAATTCAATTGTTGATTTATAGTATCAATTTGAAACCGCCCTCGTCCGATCATTAAACAATATGATTATCAATGATAAAGAAAAATATTTTATTAACTGACAATTATTCTATGCGGTTAATGTACTGAACACCGGCTAGCAATTATTATCAAACGAACCAGGGAAAATACACGTAATACAAATAATAACTACAATTATTTATTGTAAATATACTTATATCCTGATGAATGAAATAAAATATTATTTTAATTAAATTAAATTGTTTTGTCAGAAGTGAATGCATAGACCAGATGCAGAAATTAAACATGTCGGACATATCGCAAAACTTTCATAATGTCTGGACTTTTGTAGATCTTTTGCAATTGACGTTACAAACGTCCGAACAATTTGCCGCTAAAAATTATCCGTCGCCCTTTCTGCCTGTGAGCATGTATTTGCCGTATTTGAATCGCTTGCGCGACCTGAAACCAAGAGACTTGCTCGCCAACTCATTGTTCTTCGTTAATTTAATCACCTCATAAAAATATAAAGGAGTATACCACATTTATTGGTAAAATGTCCGAAAGAGCGAATTTCTAGTTTTTAAACGGGCTTTATCCTTCCCAACTTACCCGTCTGTCTACTGCTGCTCAAAACCTTTTTGTTCAGCTATTCAACGTCCAAACGACGTCAAATTTCAGATTTATGTCATTTAAACATCAATAGATGATTACTTGTATTTTACTTCATAAAACAATCATTCACTTTGTTTCAACATTTGTTTATATTTAAACATTATATGAAATTTTCGGCGTGCGCCGATGATGCGTTGCCATGGTTATTAAAGTGCACATAACTCGTAAAGGAAATAAAAGTTAACAATAAAAGTAAATCTTACTTTTAGAAATAAAGACACTCTTTCGATTCATATCCACTAAGGGTGTTTTTATGAACCATGAAAAAAATGACAGCAAAAATCCACGAACTTTTTGAACATACCTCGTACATGCTCAGTTACACAAGAAACTGCACATGTGAGCTTGTTAACATGAATTTTTTTACAATCACTTGACCAAAATATTACTGCCTGTCCCTTTACTTTATATCGATATCAGTTATAATTGTAAATACTTGTGACAATTATAATTGTTTTTCTTTTAAAATATCGGAGGGTAAAAAATGTGTTTTTGTAAACTTTTTTTTCCAGTTACGTGACAATTTATAATTATATTTTGATGCTTCCACTTCGTTTAAAGACCAAAGTTTGTCTACGGATCCACGCAAATGTATCTTTTGAAGACTGCGTTGACCTGACGTGACGTCATCTGAGGACGATTGGAATGGTGTTTCATTCAAATATGAAAGTATTCCACCAAGTATCCAAAAGCAAAACCGCATTCACAAAAATCATAAGGCTGCAAACCTCAATGTTTCACTTCTCTGCTTTTTATAAGAAAAAATATATATTACTTCTTTAGAAAGAGCAAATATATATTTTGTGATGTTTAAATAAAGGTTTTAGAACATGTTAGACGAAAAAAGTAACGACAAATGTGAAATTATTTGTCATTAAAGATGTTGTAATTAAGGTTGTATACCACACTTAAGTGAAATTATATATATGTATATAATTATGATTATAAAACAATTTTCAAATATCGAAGAATATGTAAAATATGTACTGCAAATATTTATACATATTATATGTAATCATTAAAATTATGCATTCATTTTTTACTTGGATTTTATAAAAAATAATTTTTTATTACCTCACTTTATTTACATGAAATTTTAAATTCGGCAATATCATTATAGATAATGCTTTTTAGAACTTACAAAACTGATAAATCTTAATTTGAGCATCATATTTATGATATAAAAGCATACAAAATTTGTGTTACAGGATCTTTAAAGTAGTAAAATGTAAACTAAGTAGTATCTTGACTTCTATACAAAATACTAATTTACTATTACTGTACTTATTGCCAACACGCAACGAAGAAAATGTTGGTTTTGGTAATTAGCCAATGTGCATTTTTTTTCGAATTAAAAAA